TAATCACTAACATCCATCGACGTCTTGGACGATGGGCAGAATTTTTCGAAGGGCAATTCAACTGGCCTGCTGCTCCGGCAACATCGGTCAGACTGTCCTGCCCTCCATGGCCGGTGACGACTGACCCACCGAACGAGGAGGAAGTCCGCAAGGAACTTCAACACTTGAGGCGCTACAAATCACTAGGCCCAGACGACTTACCTCCCGCTCTTTTTAAAGATGGTGGTGACTTTTTGACGAATGAATTGACGACGTTGTTTACAAAGGTTTGGGAACTAGAGAGTGTACCAACGTCATGGAATGAGTCGATAGTTGTCCCTATCTTCAAAAAGGCTTCACGTCATTTCTGTATCAAATATCGGGGGACAAGTCTAATTCCGATTGCGTCCAAGCTATTGGCTTCCGTCATACTTCGTAGGTTGTTCAAAACCCGTGGAAGATTGACTCGCGAGGAGCAGGCTGGGTTTCGTTCTGGTCGAGGATGCATTGATCATATCTTCACCCTTCGCCAAATGTTAGAACACCCTCATACTTATTACAGGCCAACAATCGTTGTGTTTCTTGACATGGCTGCCTTCGATTCGTTGAACAAGACTGTTCTCTGGGGCTGTCTGTTGAGGAAGGGTGTGCCTGAGAAGTTTATAAACATCTTAAAGGCACTATATACAAACATCTCAGGTAGAATGAGGGCATACAACCACCTCTCTCCATTGTTCCATTCGAGCAGTGGGGTTAGGTAGGGTTGCCCAATCTCACCATTCCTCTTCAACTTTGCCATCGACGACATTCTAGAAACAGCTCTGATGAATGTAAGTAATGGTGGTGTGGATCTGTTGCCTGGAGAAAGACTTCTCGACCTTGAGTATGCGGACGATATTGTCTTACTGAGCGATAACGCCCAAGGCATGCAATCCGCACTTAATCAGTTGGCAATCAGTGTCCGTAGGTATGGTATGTGCTTTGCACCTTCGAAGTGCAAAGTACTTCTACAAGACTGGCATGATTCCAATCCTGTTCTCACCCTGGATGGTGAGCATATAGAAGTAGTCGAGAAGTTCGTGTATCTGGGTAGCTGCATAAGTGCTGGTGGGGGTGTGAGTGATGAGATCAATGCACGTATAGTGAAAGACAGAGCGGCTTATGCCAATCTGGGCCACCTTTGGCGCCTTCGTGATGTCAGTCTGGCTGTAAAAGGTCGGATCTACAACGCGTCAGTGAGAGCAGTTTTGCTCTATGCTTGTGAAACCTGGCTCTCCGAGTTGGGGACGTTAGACGACTCTGTGTTCGATCATCGCTGTCTCCGAAGGATTGCTGACATTTAGTGGCAACACGATGTCAGTAATGCAGAGGTTCGGCATCGTGTGTTCGGGCACAGAGATGATAATTCAATTGGTGTCACCATCTTGAAACACCGACTTCGGTGGCTTGGACATGTTCAGATATGGCTCAGAATAGAAGCCAGTGGCGGTCCTGCCGTAACTTTATTTTACTTTCTTCATAAAAAGTGGTTGCGTCTCCCTTACCTAAAAGATTTCTTCTGATTGTACCTTTCCGTTCTCTCATTTCTACCATACTACCTTACACCAATCACCTCGTTATTGTTCTCTTTTTTTGCGCTCCTTAGCTTTTTTTTCTATTTTTCTTCGAATTCTCATTGTTTTGTGTGGCGCACATATATTGGCGCTCTCTTGTACCAATATTCATGTGTTCAAATAAATAAATAAAAATTCGCTACTTTCGTGTACTGATAATGAACCATACTTTATGACCACCTTACCGCTTCTTAAGTCAACTATCGCTCTTTCTTCTCTTAGTAAGTCTGCTCCTAATATCGGTCTCGATAAGCTTGTGGTTACCACGAACGGAAAATTTATCTCAGCATCACCCACTTTTACGACACTGTCAGACACCCCCAACACTTCTAACATGTGCCCTCCTATGGTGTGGACAGCTAATGTACATGGCTTGAGTCTCCTACATTACTCTTTGCCTATTAACGATACTGCTGCCATTGTATCGATCAGACACACTAAATCTCGTTCATTTATGTTCACTCTCGAATAAACTGCCCCTCTATCTACTAGTGAAACAACTCCCAGATTCCTAGGGTAGAAAGAACACATGTTATAACGTCTAAAATATCTGCGTCTTCGTCTTGTTGGACAGTTTATATTCCAATGTCCTGTCCCTCCACAAGCGTAACATTTATCATTCCTTTTATGATCCACTCGCATTGCCGCAATCTCACGCTCCAGCTCCTCAATCTTCTCGACACTATTTATCTCCTGCTTTCCGCACCCGACCAGAGCTACTGTTCGTGTCATCAGCTGTCGAGTCACCTTCGTCAATTCACTAATATCCATAGGTTGCGCTGCGTTTACTAGTTCCAGCTGCTGGGAAACGGTGGTGGACACACTCTCGTAAAACTGCGACGCCAATAACTGTGCCTCTAACTCTTCATCGAGATTCGCCAGCGCACGGTGCAACAACCTGGTTAACTCCACAGCCAGCACCAGTGGGTCACCATCGACCGACAACCTCGCCAACGGGAACTTCTGCAGTGCCTCCTTTCTGTCCACTGGGTTGTCGAACTCCGCTACCAACCGCTCCGTGACTGTTTTCCATGTAGTCTTTCTACCAGCACCGTCCAAGCTGTATATATACAGCCTTTGACCTGCCTCTCAGCAGCGCAACCAGCACCACCATCTCCGCCTTCTGCTCCTTCACACCCACCAGCTCCGCCACGGCCTCAAACCCCTTCAGGAAGCCCACCACATATCCGTCCTCAAATCCCTTCGGCCATGGAATCTTCATCCTTAGTGGAGGTAGAGACACCAAATGTAGTGGAGGAGAACACAGGTGAGGACAACCGAATTATATTTAACACAACATTATCGAGTTACTTGGTAAAATAGAAAAACCATACTATAATACCTCATTTGCAAAATGTTCAATAATTGTCTCGGACTTCATTGTTTTTGCATTTCTATACTAATTGCTTTCTATTCCCGTTCTTCCTTTCTTGATCTTCCCAATCTTCGGCTGCCAGACATTACATTCCTGACTCGCGTTATATACTACTTATGTCAATATAAGTAGCACGCACCACATTCCGACGGGTGCAATAAACATTCGGTAAATATCACTTACATAGAAGTGATAAGACGGCGTCATTATTCAGAAAGGTCGAATAAATTGTATTTTAGAGCAACCACGCCACTTGAAAAATGTCTGTTAGTAAGCTGACATGATAGTATATATTTTTAAAGCTTAATATGTGGATATTCCTATAATTTTGGTGCATTTTAGGTGTGACTTTACATCAGATCTTTCGGTGATATATTGGGTATCATATTTAATAAATTCATATTATATAAGAAAGAAACAAAGAATGACAAAAAGAATGAGTAACTAAAATACTACATAACAACTTTAAGCTGTTATTAGTTTCATAAATGAACACCTCGACCACTCTAACTGACTTTCAGATGTTCACTATTTCAGAAATGTCGGATATTCATTTGATGTTTCATGAATGTATCGACTACTACTCCTTAATGGAGTGGTATTTTCCGCTTACAAATCTGAATGTTACTTATAAACCAGTTATTCTGTCGATAACGCTAATACTTTTTTTGTTTATATTGAATGATGATATTTATTTTTAATCACCATATAGTGATATTCAGTTGTGTAGTTGGGATATCCGAAAGGATATAAATAAAAGTAAAATAATCGAATTTCTTACATAATGTTGCAATAGTTTATCCGTTATTTATTACAAAAGGATTTACTTTTGTTTGTATAATGAAAATGAAGTTAAAAATACTGTTTACAGTTCTCAAAATCAAAATTCCAGGTCTGAAATAAATCAATCATCCCTGCAGCTTTCTGTAGCCTTTAATAACTTAATGATATCAACGCTGTTAAGAATCCTAAGTAAGGTTTATGATATAAGCTATTTATAAAGGAACTGTATTGAGTTCCGTGGAATTCAATTCATTGAAACAATGTTAAACGTTATAGGTGCTACATTCTTCCAGGTTTTTATCAGTGGAAATGAGCTTTTTATTCCTAGATTATTACTATCATAATGGCAACTGTGTAAGTGCCATGTGATCATATGGTAGATGATAATCACATTGATGAAATGAATAAACTGACGTTTTTCTCTGGGGCTCGGTTATTAAACCAATTTCGATCACTAGTATTTAGCAGAGTTAATAATAACTAATTAATAGAACCCAGTATCCAAGTGAGGACTAACATAACTGAGTCTAGCAACACACTTTGTGTGGAAGTTAACGAAAATGACCGGAGTTTGCATCTATGACTGTTTGTTCGGAAGTGAACTGCCTTTACCTACAACAATAGTTTCATAATTTCTAAACACAAAATTGGTGTTGAAATTTTCTAGATGCGATGGTTGATAAAAGATAAGAAGGACTTCACCCATTAGAGGTTTGTGGCAAGTCAGAAGCCAGTAGGAAGCACAATAGGGGAAAACGTCGGTATATTTATAGTTTTTACATAAGAAGATTCCAGAATATTCTCCGACTATCGACTAGTGCTGATTGGATAAGAATCAGCCAATCAGCGTGCACCAAAACAATCATGCATTGAGCATGCTTTAATCTAGTCTATGTCCCACTAACAGTAACCTTATTGAACTAGACGAAAGACAACTGAAAAATGAACAAGAGCAAAGTGGGAAATAACAACTGATTCCTTAGTTTCAAACTTCCAAGCATGATGCATCCTCAATAGAAAGCAATCGATTTTCGTGGTCACAGAGCAAGCTCGCAAAGACAGGATTTAAAGACTATCAGATTTTTTATTTCTTCTTGGAAAATAGTCGGCCATAAAGTCGTCTTACACTAATCCAACCATCATAATTCCCTAGAAGACTTAAGGTAAACCAAATATTACATTAATTTATCAAAAATAATAAATATGTTTCAGTAACAATGTGTGGAAAACCAAAGAATAATTCTTCTAACCTTCATTAGAATATCCCAAATCACTTTGTGGATCATTTTCTCTGTTCAGAGAATATATCGGTTTTGTAGGAAACCTGATATCCCAATACAGTACTCTCCCATCACGCCTGATAACAATTTGTGAGAAACAATATATTTGTTTAGCAATACTTTGATATTTTACATGGAAAAATATTTCCAGCTACAAGAAAATACATGAATATTCTAAATTATTTGATATTAACCATTTAGTCCGTAAACTCGATTACCACGCACAAATTTATAGATAATGATGTAAGAAAAAATGTAATTAACTCACAGTGATTCAGTTTTGAAATATGTCTGAGGATGAAAAATCTGAATATTTGTTAGTGAACATAGAAAATAGCGGTAAATGTCAACAAGAAATTAGGTGCTAATTTTACTAACTACTCTATCCATAACATTACTATTACCCAGTTAAAAGATAGGAACTGTAACCCTTTTCTCGTCAATAAGCATAGTGCTGCTTTTCTAGACTAGTTCAGTTGTTTCGTTGAGAATGTAGTCACTGCTCAATCGTAGATGCCACCGTGGCATGGTGTTCAAGCTTGGTTATTGTAATTATTCAGTCAGGCTATATTGGCTGGATCACTTATTCCCTTATGTCTGTCATGCCATGCACGTCGGTCAAACAGTAAGACTAAAAGTGGCAACTTAAAGTTTGAGGGTGTAAAACTGATAAATGTACAAAAGTAAGGTGGCGGTAAGATTCCCCACAGACGACCAACATCAGTGGTGCCATCTCATGATGGAAACAAGAGGTTAGGAAAGATCTGTCTTAGAAGTTACACAACAGATTTACGTCTCCGGTGGCAAGGACTTTAATCTATGGAGCTAATATATCAGAACTCGTGACATGCCGTATAAGCCAGACTCAAGCAGTTGTACTTAGGCTTTATAGTCAAGCTCCCAGGCTATCCCATTTTCACTTTAGGTACCTCAAGAAGTATCCATCAATCACGTGAACAATTTGGAGGTGGAAAGTGGCCACATACGTTAAACACCACTCAAGATCCTTTTGTTCATGATCAAATCCCTTCGTCACTTCTTAATACTTTTATTCCTAATCCCTACCCTTCTCCTATAACTTTATTTTTATCACCACGCATCACCAATTCTAGCCTCTTGGATCGGCGCCCTAAACTACATGTTAGGGCATTCAGTGTTTGAACCTTAGATAAAATAAAACATGATTCATTAGCTAGAGCACTAAAATCTCTTGCTATCGACATACATTATTCTCCGAAACACATTTACATCATACGAGTGTGATCATTTGATTGGCCTCATTAATTCGATATAGAGAACCATCTTGATTCACATTCCATGTATCTGAAGTCTCGACTGTTACCTCTCGTAGACTCATCAGTGTAGGTGAGATATCCGTCTACCAAACAAAGGACGTGTTTACTGTGCAGCAGTTTGTTCTGTCCTACTTTATGGCAGTGAAACATGGCCAGCAAGAGTGGAGGATATTCGTAGGTTACTAGTATTTGATCATAGGTGTCTTCGAAACATTGCTCGTATATCCTGGGACCATCGAGTAATTAGCTCAGTTGTTAAGAAACGGGTACTAGGTAAGGATGGCAAATCAATTGATGAAGTGGTGAAACTTCATCAGTTGAGATGGCTGGGACATGTGTTACGTATGCCCAACGACCGACTGCCTCGACGTGCAATGTTCAATGGCATAGAAGTAGGTTGGAAGAAAGCTAGGGGCGGCCAGACCAAAACATGGCACAAATCCACGAAGTCACTGACAAGTGGACTGAGTCATGTTGGTAGGTGTAGACTACCTGGTTGGGGACCGCGAGATGATAGCAACCGATGGTTAGAGACCCTGAATGACATGGCTCAAAATCGTTTGCAATGGCGCAGGTGCATACACTCTTTGTGTTCTCTCGAATTCTAATCTTCTGAATTCTTCATGTCCCTTTTTCCTCTTTCCAAATTTATTTCAATGAATTATACTACTTGAGTAACATCTTCAAACCCTAGTCTTTCCAATTACTGCTTATACTCTTACTACCTCTACCACTATGGGATTTGTATCGACGACTGTATCTCTGTGCTAATGTGGTATGGCAACTTGAACTGATGTACGTACGAAGTTTCACGTTGGACTGACTGACATCAGCGTAGATATGACATTAAGTTTCAGGGTGGAACATGCTTTCCTGGACTATACTCTGATAGACAGCCACTTGTGCGCTTTCCAATTGAGGGGGGTAATAGTCGGAAACGAAAGCAACACACCCTGCTGCTTTTCTGTTGTCTCTATCCAAACTCCCGCTGATTGTAGTTTAGATGAAGTAAAAGTAAGTTTTACAGTATGTTTCCCACTCCAGTTCAAAAAGTCAAACGCTTCTTTGTACTCGTAGCAGAGGATTTTAACCCTCAAGTAGCTAGTCTAAACTAAAATGGAAGATATTTAGAGGGGTCTTATAATATTCCAGCATAGTGAACAGGCAACGACAACCGCATGCTGAAACTATGGTCAGACAACCATTTATTTTTAGCAAATACCAACCTTAAGTATAAAGAGACATCATGTGACCTTCCTAAAATCGACCCAACGATGAATCTAAATAGACCATATCCACACCAACCGTTGCTAGTGAGGCTCAGTAGTAGATCGCTACTTGTCCTAGAGCACATGTATAGATTCTGACAATGTTACAGTACGATTTCGCATTTGTCTGAGTCCGGAAACAACAAAATCACCGCAAGAAGGCTTCAGCTCGTCGAACACCTAGAGGAGCATTTATCCGATCATCAAAGCAATGCTTAGCCCGATGTACGTTGGGACAATATTCAAACAGCTGTGAAAACAACAGTGATATTTACTAATGACTTAAACAAAAAGGTTTGGAAAAATCACAGGATTTTAGTGGCGTCTGCCGGATTGACAGATGTTCGGAAATTTATCCCATCAGACTCGGAACACGACGAGGAGTGAAGCCAACTTGAACGCACAATGACTAGAAGTCTATAAAATTATCGCGAACAGCGGTGGCAGCTGGGCCAGTAGAGACAGAAAGGGCAGCAGTGATAGACAACCAATAACAACTTCCAGACATATCAAAGAAACCAGTGTTAAAAATCGAAAGTAAATGAGACAATTTCGGTAGAAGATGGGACATTGATCTACTATTAGCCCAGGAGATTGGTAAGATGGGCATAGTATTTTGAGGAACAGTATGGCTGGTTTCCAGCTACGCCACTGTGGATCTATACATCATGTTTTGACACATAGACACATCTAGTGACGCCCAACAAGGGCTGTATTTCTTGACTTTAAGAAAGCGCTCAACTCCGCAGATTGACAGGCTTTATAGCAATATCTGTCATTGAAAAACGCACCAAAGAAGTACGTCAACTTTGTACAGACTCTCTAATCAGACACTACTAGTCAATTCAGGATTGATAACATCAAGTGTTCGTCGAGGTCGTCCGTTTCCCCACTTTTTAACCAACTTTGCCATAGACATCCTTTCAGAGATAACACTTTTCTCATTAACCACTTTACTTATCTTAAAAGTCTCGTCAGCTTTGGTGGGATTGAGTGGGACGAAATCTGGACATGGATTTAAGAAGCTCGCTTGAATTTCGCTAACTTACGTCACCTGTCCATCTCTCAACCAAAAGATGAGTATACTTTGCAGAAGTTCCTTTCGTTCTACTTTGTGGTTGTGAAACATGGCTTTTAAAAATGAAAGACATTCGTAGGTAACTAGAATGTTGTCATAGATGCCTTCATGTATTTTGGGACCATTAAGTGTGCAATGCTGACGTTAGACACACCATATTAGATGTAGATGGCAAATCATTTGAAATGCACAGTGATTCGTGGTCGCCTGAGATGGCTGGGACATGTATTACGTATCCTCAATCACGCTCTTACTTCAATGTAATCAGTCAGTCATCCACAATGTATGACCAGGCACATATATACATCGGTCCGAGTTGCCATACCTCATTAGCACAAGATGAACACTAAATTCATAGAAGCAGTTACTTCAATAATGCTTCGACACAAGATGATAGTCGATGTGAGCGGTTAGAAGAAGGCTAGGGACGGCCTAACCAAGGCATGGAATCAGTCCATGTAATCACTAACTGTTGGATTGAGGTAAATGGGTGGGTGTAGACTATTTGGTTGGGGTCAGTGGGATCCTCATAATCAATGGATAGACTTAAGGTCACATAGCTCAGAATTGCTTGCGATGGAGCAGTTGCATTCGCTATTTATCTCCGTCTTAATTTTGAGCACAAAGATTAACTTACAATTATTTATTTTACCAACCTACATTTCCTTACCAAAACAAAATTCATTTCGAAACTTTCTACTACCATCGATACTGTAATTACTTCCATTGCTAAGGCATTTCGCTATGTCAATACGATGTGGCAACTTTAACGGATGCACATACTTCCCAGGCTCTGTGTGACTAATAGCTGACTATTAATACGTCCTAGAAAAAGCATAAGAAGGCACCATGCGAACACACAAGCATCTTTTATTGATATACGTCTAATCACTAAAAAGAATCTGGCTTTTTGTTATTGCTGACCTACGATTTTTTACTTCAGTTAAGGTTTACAAGTAGTGAGTTTTAAAACGGTTTCTAATGTTACCTCACTTCCAATAATACGAAGTCTTAAATTTAGTAAAATTTATAAATAAAAATAATATATTTTTAATATCCCAATGAATAGAAAATTGGATTTTCTATTCATTGGGATATTACAAATATATTATTTTTATTTATAACAATCAACCCAATGCTCAATTTATTCGAAATTATCAAATCAAACCTTGGTAATGACACTTAGTAAAATTTACGTTTTTGATGGACTGGAAGTGGATTAAAACCATCCAAACACAGTTAGTCGCAGTCAGTCAGTCAGTTAGCTACAACGTAGGACCAGGCACATATGTGCATCGGTCCAGGTTGCCATACCTCATTAGCACAGCAAGATGAACACCGGATTCATAGGAGTGGTTAGGTCAAAGGTGGTAATATATAGGAGAAAGATTGCAATAAGGATATAGTATAGGAAGAAAGAATTAGTTCGTAGAAAGAAAGATATGAAGTGATTTTAATCTCTTAGTTTAAGGGAAGACAGGGAGTGTATACACCGACGCCATTGTGATCGATTCTGAGCCATGTCACCAAGAGTCTCCAACCATTGGTTACGATAGTCACGCGGACCCCAACCAAGTAGTCTGCATCTACCAACATGGCTCAGACTAGAAGTTAGTGACTTCAAGCACTGATGCCACGTTTTGGTTTGGCCGCCCCTAACTTTCTTTTAACCATCCCCTACACCGGTTAGCATTGCACGACGTGGTAATCGGTGTTCGGGCATACGTAACACGTGGCCCAACCATCTCAGTCGATGAAGATTAACAACCTCATCAACTGATTTACCATCCTTCCCTAATGACCTGCGTCTAACCTCACTACTACTTACCCGGTGATCCCAGCAGACGCCAGCAATATTTCTGAGGCATCTGTGGTCAAATACTAATAGCTTACGGGTGTCTTCTACTCTTGATGGCCATGTCTCGCTGCCGTAAATTAAAACAGAACGAACTGCCGCGCAGTATACCCGTCCTTTTATTGATAGACGGATATCTCGCCTTCGCCAAAGGTGACGCAAGTTGGCAAAAGCCAAACGACCTTTTCGAATCCGTGCTGAAATTTCGTCAGACACCAACCCATTAGGGCTGATCAGACTTCCAAGATAAGTGAAGTTGTCAACGCGTTCGACTACTTCACTCCCTATCCTTAGTTCAGGTGTTGACGCAGACCAGTCGTGAAGCAACAACTTGCATTTAGAGGGAGAGAAGCGCATCCCAAACAATCTGGCATTGTTGCTTAGTGCTACCAGAAGACTCTGCATTCTATCAGCGTCTTCACCAAACAGGACTATGTCATCTGCGTATTCTAAGTCGATAAGTGGACCTCCTGGAAGGAGATCAATACCCGAGAATTCAGTCGACGAGAGTGTTATTTCCATCAATAGGTCTATGATGAAGTTAAACAAAAATGGAGAAAGTGGGCAGCCTTGACGGACACCACTTGAGGTTGCAAAAGTAGATGACAGTTCGCCATAAGCCCTGACTCGACTAGTAGTGTTCGAGTAAAGAACCTTCACAAGGTTTATGTACTTCTGAGGTACGCCTTTCAATGACAGACACTGCCACAGAGTCTCGCAGTCTACAGAGTCAAATGCTGCTTTTAAGTCGAGAAAGACCACCATCGTCGGACGCCGATAAGTATGCCTGTGTTCTAGAACCTGACGAATGGTGAATATGTGGTCGATGCAGCCACGACCAGGTCTAAAGCCAGCTTGGTTCTCTCGAGTTTGTAGTTCACGAGTCTTAGTTAGGCGTTTGATAATTATCGAGGCCAGTATTTTAGATACTATGTTTGTTAAACTAATCCCTCTGTGGTTGTCACAGGATGATTTTGACCCTTTCTTATATATTGGGACGATAAGTGATTGCGACCAGTCAGATGGGATAAAGTCTAACTCCCAGATTTTAGCTAAAATATTAGTCAACCTAATCGCTAAAATTGGACCACCATCCTTAAAGACCTCTGGAGCCAGTCCATCTGGACCAGCTGCCCTTCCTCGCTTCAGATTAACTATAGCCTTTTGAACTTCAGCAAGAGTTGGGGGACCTACTTCAATGTTCCATTCACACTGTCTGGGAATGGAGGGTAGTTGTAGAGTAGCTGAAGGCCAGCTGAACTGTTCTCTGAAATGTTCCGCCCATCGTTCTAAACGCCTGGACTGGGAGCAGATGAGTGTATCGTCTTTTTCCGATATAATCTCACTTACACTTGACTTATTAATTCCAGTTTCTTTTATTAGTCTGTAAAGCTGTCTTGTGTTCCCTATAGTCGCCGCCTTTTCCATCTCTTTTGCTTTCGTTACCCACCACTGCTCACGGTCGTTCCTTAGACTTTTTCTTAACCTAGATCTGATTTGTTTACGCTCTTTATCATGTTCAGAACCTGATGGGACGAGTTTGCGAGAATCCATCAGTGTGACAGACCTTGAAGAAATCCACTGGTTCCTTGCAACTCTGTGGTTTAGGTCACTAATAGATGTCACTGCTGTTTCCACAGCTGATTGTATGCCCTTCCAAGCAACATCTGGGTCAGCCTCGTCTTCACATCTACCTAAGTGTGACCTCAGTTGTTCCTGGAACCTACTTTTGGTTTTCTCGTTACTCAACTCAGTTCTAACGGGTCTTTTTAATGTGGCTTTTTTGCGTCCAGTGAGGCGCAAGCAGATGCGTGCCCGTATTAGGGCATGGTCGGAGTCCAAGCAGGTACTCCAGAATGAGCGACAATCTTCTACCGACCCTCTCCAACGATGACTGATGGCAATATGGTCTATTTGAGTCCATCGTTAGTTTGGTGTAGGGGGTCGCCATGTTAGACGATGTCTCTCCTTATGCTTAAAATTTGTGTTTGCTAAAAATAAACGATTGTCTGAGCACAGCTGCAGCAGACGATCACCATTATCTGTTCGCTGTGTCGGAATACTAAAATATCCACCTAAATGCCTTTCTGTTTGGTTTAAGCTACCTATCTGAGCATTAAAATCACCTGCTACGAGTACTATGTCTGAGCGTTTAGCTTTCTGAAGAAGTTCGGACAACTTTCTGTAAAATTCATCTTTCACTTCATCTGAGCTGCAGTCAGTGGGAGCGTAGGCAGAAACAACAAAAAGGCAACGACGTGTGTCTCTATCCTTCCGAGTTCTTACGTAGCCGTTCAGCCGAACAGCACATAGACGACTGTTGACGGGGATCCACTCTAGCAGTGCTTGTTATGGGTAATTTTTGTGTTAGCTCCGTACTTATTGAGACCTTACCGCCGGAGACGGATATCCGTGGGATAAGGCGAGGTGTGCATTTTTAGGGTCGACCTTTTCTAACTCCACCCCTCCTTGTGGGAAGGCAGCATCGCTGTCATGCTGGTTGTCTGAAGGAAACACCTTACTGCTGTCACACCTCTGTACAGTCAGCAGTACGACCTCGCCTTCGGACCTTGGGTTTGTTGCTTTTAGTCTTACCGCTCTTCAACCGACCTGTCTGACATGGTAGGACCTTGAGGAACGGTTGTTCCAGCCAGTATAGCTCGGTTGCTTCATCACGATAGGCAAGCCCGACCACCACGTCAAGGTAGCAACAACGGTCGGGACAGTTAGTCGCAATAGAAGCTGATTAGTTATGAATGATGTTAGAGAGTGAACACATCTTCAGCAGTCACAAGGAGATAAAAGAAACTGTCGAAAACTATTCAGAAATTCCACAATGTAAAAGGCAAATAAATCTGAAGGTAGCACGACAAAGTTAGTACTATGAAAATTATTTTGAGTTGTACATTTATTCGAATAAACAATAAACATAAATTAGATGGTATTCAAATTAGTGTTTATATACAGAATTCAATGTTTTTTCGTTACTAACCCAAGTAAGTTGATATAAGTTACTCAAAATAAGCTTTTGAAAAAAAACTTATTAATAAGATCAGCAAGAAAGGTTTTCCAGTGTGGAGCTTTGGATTTTTTTCGCAATTGACACTTTGGTATAAGTCGTGTATTTATCAGTTCACTTGCACCTTCATAACTAGTTATTTCGGCTGTACAAAGTGTACTCTCTTTTAATACATTGCTGAACATTATCAGTTTGGGTTGTCCTAAGGTGAGTGTAAAACGATCAAAAGTTCTATTATTAAATACTTAGTTGACCTTTTTCATGAAGGCTCTCCAGAAGTATCATTTGAAACTATCTATAAGGTTAGACAATCTAACTCAGAAGCAATATAGATCAGAAATCTATGGACACAGGGTACTGAAGATTCATCATTTCAATTAAGATATGTGAGTTTAAAAACAAAACGTTCAAGCTCTCATTTTACTTTGATTTTAAAAACTAATGATGAAAGTAACCATAATACACCCTTGTTAATTTTGGAAGTTTCGACTCATTCTTTACTTGATCACATATTTTTAAAATAAAGTTATTTTCCATCTGTAATCTTGTTCCGTTTTACTACATTACACTACACTTTATTTCCTGATATATGGAAACATTTTCGATTATCTTTTAAATGGTGTAAAATCTATTTTATCGCAAACTTATGTACGAGTACGCTGAAGCCGACTGACGATATCGAAACTTAAATGCGAATACTTTTCAGACTTAAAGAGAATAATCTAAAAGAATTATAGACGATTGTTATAAACTCACCCTCCTGTAACAACAACGTAAGCAGCCCTAGGGGACCAAGTAACTTGTGTAAGGCCTGATTGAGAATGACTTCCAAGTAGTGTAGTGACCGTACAACCCATAAGAGGATCAACTAAAACGGCGCGGCCAGTTGATTCACCACTACATGGTCCCAGACTAACTGCGATCAGATTGTGACTACATGCCACAGGTGACATAGATAACCAGGACAAACTTTGGGCGAAACTTACTGACGTGACGCACTACGACAAAAGAAGAAATAGAAGTCGTCAATGATGATATTGATATTACTAGAAAGAAGTAGAAAAATATACGCTGTTATACACCAATAAATGACCCTATAACAACATGTTCTGTAGGACAGTAGTTTTCCAAATATATACCAAGAATTATGTTAAGAAGAGAATGCTACTCAGATGCCTAATGCAGTTCGGTAAGTAGGTCTTTATCATATACTATACCGAAGAATCTGCCTTTCTGTGTAAAGAAATAGCTTATTGATTGATTCAAAGTACTTTAGTTACTAACCCCCAAATTACTGGTACGGTCGAAGGTGGGGAGAGTTCGCCCTCCCTCTTGAAATGCTCTCACGTGGCCACGCGTATATAGCCTCTGCCAGGGAAGTCCTACTCACTGCCTTCTCGCGGCGGGGGTGTTGCTTACGAAATTGAGAGAACAAAAAACGAACTTCCGGTTCCTTAACCGGGTTGGTGGATATGGAAGATCAAACTGGGGGAATGGAAAACCGTGATTCCAAATCAATGGTGCACATGGGCTCCAGGATCCTGGGGGGAAAATGGCGTATGAACCTATTGTTGGTCACCAGATACCATGCAACTGCATCTCCTAATGTCGCTCCACTGTCTTGTGGATAAGACCTTTTGGTTAAAGGCTCGGGGAGCAGCACCCTAAAAAAACACCTGCTTCGGTTTGAGCAGTATTCCAGCCCTCACGCAAATCAAATGATTGGTGAGGTGCATATACATGTGATGCCTCATTGTGCCAATGTTCGTGTGTTTAATTAATTAATTAACTAGAATTAAAGCATGGACACCATTATATCTGTTTCCGTTTTACCTAGATCATAAGTCCACATAACAAATCCGGCTCATAACTTGGTGAACAAATATGAATGCAATATCTCAAATGCAACTTAGTAGCCATTTTTATTTAGTTGAACACATAAATGTTGGTACAAAGGGGCACCATAAATATATGCGCCACACAAAACAATGAGAATGGGAAGGGAAAAAAGAACGTAAGGTGCATATAAGAAAAAAGAAGTACAACAATGAACAGAAATTGGTGTATGGTAGTGAAATAACAATAATGGGATGGCCAGTTCAAATAGCAAAAGTACAGCCACAGACAATTCTTCCAAATAAGGTTACGTCTTTCTTTTTATGAAGAAAGTAAAATAGTTACGGCAGGACCGCCACTGGCTTCTATTCTGAGCCATATCTGATAACGTCTCTAGCCACTGTGTAGCACCATCTCTCGGACCCCAACCAGGGAGTCGTGAAGGACCGACAGAAGCCAGTCCTTTGCAGCTTTCTCTCATGCCACGACACCATGTCATATGCTGACCACCTCTCCGCTTATTCCAACCAGTCCCAGAGTCGGCAAATAATGCACGACGTGGAATTCTCTGGGACGACATTCGGAAAACATGTCCAAGCCACCGAAGTCGGTGTTTCAAGATGGTGACACCAATTGAATTATCATCTCTGTGCCCGAACACACGATGCCGAACCTCTGCATTACTGACATGGTGTTGCCACTAAATGTCAGCAATCCTTCGGAGACAGCGATGATCGAACACAGAGTCGTCTAACATCCTCAACTCGGAGAGACCAGGTTTCACAAGCATAGAGCAAAACTGCTCTCACCGACGCGTTGTAGATCCGACCTTTTACAGCCAGACTAACATCACGAAGGCGCCAAAGGTGGCCCAGATTGGCATAAGCCGCTCTGTCTTTCACTATACGTGCATTGATCTCATCACTCACACCCCCACCAGCACTTATGCAGCTACCCAGATACACGAACTTCTCGACTACTTCTATATGCTCACCATCCAGGGTGAGAACAGGATTGGAATCATGCCAGTCTTGTAGAAGTACTTTGCACTTCGAAGGTGCAAAGCACATACCATACCTACGGACACTGATTGCCAACTGATTAAGTGCGGATTGCATGCCTTGGGCGTTATCGCTCAGTAAGACAATATCGTCCGCATACTCAAGGTCGAGAAGTCTTTCTCCAGGCAACAGATCCACACCACCATTACTTACATTCATCAGAGCTGTTTCTAGAATGTCGTCGATGGCAAAGTTGAAGAGGAATGGTGAGATTGGGCAACCCTACCTAACCCCACTGCTCGAATGGAACAATGGAGAGAGGTGGTTGTATGCCCTCATTCTACCTGAGATGTTTGTATATAGTGCCTTTAAGATGTTTATAAACTTCTCAGGCACACCCTTCCTCAACAGACAGCCCCAGAGAACAGTCTTGTTCAACGAATCGAAGGCAGCCATGTCAAGAAACACAACGATTGTTGGCCTGTAATAAGTATGAGGGTGTTCTAACATTTGGCGAAGGGTGAAGATATGATCAATACATCTTCGACCAGAACGAAAATCAACCTACTCCTCGCGAGTCAATCTTCCACGGGTTCTGAACAATCTACGAAGTATGATGGAAGCCAATAGCTTGGACGCAATCGGAAGTAGACCTATCTCCAGATAGTTTTTGCATAGGTGATGTGGACCCTTTTTAAAGATAGGGACGATTATCGACTCATTCCATGATGTTGGAACAGTCTCTAACTGCCAGACCTTTGCAAACAACTCAGCCAGTTCCGTAACCAGAAAGTCACCACCATCTTTAAAAGGGGTCGGAGTTAGGTCATCTGGGCCTAGTGGTTTGTAGCGCCTCAAGAGTTGGAGTTTCTTGCGGACTTCCTGCTCTTAGAAGACCACTCCCCGAGCCTTTGACCGAGAGGTTTGATCCACAAAGTAGTGGACCGACATTAAAAGATGCGATTCCATGGTATCTGGTGACCAACAATAGGTTCATGCGCCATTTGTTACCTCAGGATCCTGGAGCCTATGCGCAACATTGGTTTGGAATCACGGTTTTCCAACTCCCCTAGGTGGATCCTCCGTGTCCATCAACCCAGTTTAAGCGTCGGACATTCGCTTTTCGTCCTCTCAATTTCGTAAGCAACACTCGCACCGCGAGAAGTCAGTGAGAAGGACTTCCCTAACAGTAGCTCTATACACTTGGCCATGTGGGAACATTTCGAGAGAGAGCGATTTCTGACTCTCCTCACACCAGACTATTTGTTGCCAGTGTCTCGGATGAGATGAAAGAACTTCCGGCAGCTACTGAGTGAAGCTACTGCTTTCAACTCGTTAGCGTTATCCCATCGCCAAGCTTCTCTGCCCTTACGCAAACTTACAAAAATTTCATTACGTAACAGTCTTCGTTCATCGTCAAACTTGTGGTCACTCGGAGTAGACAAACGTGTCTCAACGAGTTGTAAAGAGCCTGTAAAGTCTCAATGCTTATGAGCAGGACGTTTCGTGAAGCCACAAGCGACTTTGCTTGCCATTTTCATAGGGTCATGCAAAGCTGTAAGTTCTTATCCATACTTTCCACTGCGTTAATAGCTAACCTTGAATCATGTTCGGTTTGATATTTAGTTGCGACAGGAGCTGCAACCAATTTACTGACATTGCTCCTTTTAGGAAGATGAATTTGTTCACCACTGAGACGCAACGCAAGATTAGCGCAAACATGGGCATTATCAGGGTTCAGATAGGTACTCCAAAAGGAGCGGTAGTTTTGTACACAACCACTTCAGCTGTAGCTGATGACTTTGTGATCACTCTGAGTCTAGCATTGAGATGTAGAGGGAGAACACCAGGTAGCACTTCGGTGATAACTTTGTCGGTTGTTAATGATAGCCAGAAAAAGGATTTAGTTTGCGAACAGTTGCAGTAGACGATCACCTTAATCTAACCTGCGACCATCGAGTCCCCATCGGTCACGTAAACGACTCTCTTCTGTGCCTAGATGCCCGGTCTGTGAACACAAGTCTCAATATCTGTCGAACACACTTTTTATAGAAGGATAGTTAATTGATGGTGAAACTCCTATTGACGTCATTTGGGCTGTAATCTGTCGGAGCGTAGGCGTGGATGATGAAAAGGCATTGTTTTTCACAACCACTTGCTGAACCATTCTAATCTAACAGCACATAACCAACTGCCAATCTGGATCTGGTCGATTAGTGGTTTTTCTACTCTGCCGCAACTCTGTGGCAACAACTCCAGTGAGATCTGGAAAAAGTGTCACAGGATCCCCAGACAAATGCATGCGAATTTGTAGTATTTCACTAGTCTTGAGTATGAATATCAGATAGACAACAGACATCGGTGTTAGGACCTCCAAAGACATAACCAAACCTATCTGTTGTCCGATCTGCATTATTGTACGAGTGTTGCAGGAGTCTAGTTTAAAAGCCACATATAATTTCAGAAAGACTACTTCAGAAATCGTATTCGGTGGTAACATTCAACTTCCGACCAGTCAGTGACTTGGGATCGTTTAGAAAGGACAGAATTTCCACTATTGTGCTATTGGAAAAATAACAGAATAAACTGCTATAACTTGTGACCGCCAATTAGAGGGCAGTCAGTCAGTCAGTCAGCTACAACGTAGGACCAGGCACATATGTGCATCGGTCCAGGTTGCCATACCGAATCAGCACAATAAGATGAACACCGGATTCATAGCAGTGGTTAGGTCAAAGGTAGTAATATATAAGAGAAAGATTGCATATAGAGATATAGTACAAGAAGAAAGAATTGGTTTGTAGAAAGAAAGATATGAAGCGATTTTAATCTCTTAGTTTAAGGGAAGACAGGGAGTGTATACACCGACGCCATTGTGATCGATTCTGAGCCATGTCACCAAGAGTCTCCAACCATTGGTTACGATAGTCACGCGGACCCCAACCAAGTAGTCTGCATCTACCAACATGGCTCAGACTAGAAGTTAGTGACTTCAAGCACTGATGCCACGTTTTGGTTTGGCCGCCGATTAGAGGGCAGTGGATTATCGATCGGGCCAAGCACGCGTTAACACGTGCGAGCAGCCTACAGTTCTGATTGGTCCTGTTTTCCGCCTAGCCCAGCCAGTAAAGTCCAAAACACCAGTGTCAGCCTCTGAAATATGAATCATGTATTTCAAACATACTCTGTTTATATACCAGTCAAGCAGACCACATCGTACCATAAAATAGAAAATAACATTTGTACAAGACTTGGCCAAATGTGGCTGTGAATGTGGGAGGTAGTGATTAATAGACGGAATAATTCAAGAATGGAAAATCGTATAACAGTTCATAGGTTAAAATAAAGCTTATGATAAGAGAAATATGAATATGAATAGTTTAGTTAATTAACTATTATACGACAAAAATATACGCACAGTATTGGTCCATAAATAGGTCCCAAAAAATTACCACTCATTATTCTTATCGGGACACAACATAAACAAAGGGTGAATAGATAAGTGACGCAGTGTATAATAAAAACGAATGTTAGCAAATAGTTTGGAGTATGATTTTCAGGAATGGGGATTAAAGTATGGATGGTTTCCTTTAGTTGTAGTCATCAATAAGTTCGTATGTGAGCTGAGATACTGCCCGGGCACACAAACAGGAACAGGTAGTTTTCTTAGCAGTCAGTGCCCCCAATACGTTTGGCTCACTTACACATGATACCTAAGCTAGGTAGTTTCATTTAAAATGGCAATCAGTACTTCGTGAAGCACTTTACGAAGATATGTGGACAGATATACTTGATAAATTTAGTCGAATTAGTAACAATCGGATTTATTTGGCAGTGGTAGCTGTGGGTGAGGAGCGTGTTAACCTCCCACTGATACGTTTTATTTAAGTAATAAATACTCCTCGGAAATTTCCAGCCATATTAACCAAGTTTTTGACTTAAATAATAAAAATAGAATTTCATATCAGTTATTACACTCAGTACTCATGCTAACAGCAAAATCTCAGCGGTATGTAAACAAGACAACAAATGATTTGCCCGTCATATGATAAAGGCCCAGACATAAGGAATAACTGTGGGATGTTATCATACATACAGTTCATCACTAGCTAATTGCAGCATTAAAAATGAAAGCAAATGTCATAACTGATAAACGTTTGAACACCTGATTTAACAATGCTTACAACCAAGATAAATATTTACTAGAATTTCCATGCATAAAACCGTACACAAGGAAGTTATGGCGAATTCTGAACTGAATGATTCGGTCGGTATTCAGGACTATCAAGACTAAGACTCGGTTTGTATGCACTTCACACTTACAAGTGCAATCATATTTGTACAGAATTCTAACCAATGGCCAATATTTCACACCGGTGAAAATAAGTACATCGTGGAAATCTACAACAAACTTGTGCAACAGGACTTTATACAAACATAATGAACATATTGGAAAAGTTAGACATACTTCAAGGCGGTTGGTGTCCCATATCCCAAGCATTTTATTAGCTGACGCCGAAGTGAAAGAACCACTGTCAACTGGATACCATTGTACACAAACGAGTGGGGATCCTTTTGACAGAAATCCTGAACCTTTACTTCTGTTACAAACAGATGCAATCGAAGTGTGTTTAACTGAGTCAAGACTAAAAAAACGTGGGTCTTCAACATCAAATACATATATGTGGCCGTCCTGTGATCCAACAAGTAGTCTATAGTGCCAAGTGGGACGAAAATGTGATGCTTACAAGCGAGACTCGACGCTGTCGATAGTCATATCGCACAATTGTGCGTTCTGTTCAAAGGAGAACACGATCCTATGATCGACATCAATATCTTGGATTCTGTTCCGCAGGTGAGTATTTTGGTATTGATGATCCAGCAAATTATGACGCAATCCGTTCATGTGTTATTATTATTCAGTAAGAAACTGGAGTAGATAGTATTTACAGGTAAAATGCGTAACCCAATACGCACCAGTTAACTTACGATCGTCTTCAAGGACAGAAGCCAATGTCCAATAACTCCCACTCTTCAGCATTAGGGATTCGAACGCATTCAAATAGTTCTATACATAATAGAAAAAGCTTTCACCTAACGGACTTCCGTGTCTAGTAACAATGGATCACAGATGCCTCCAGTAAAGAACGTAGGTATAATTAACGAAAAAAGTTAAAAAAGGGACCCCATGTTAATTTTATTAGACTGCGATTTGTGAACCTTCTTGCTATGATCTCGGAGATCATTAGTGTTGGAGGGAGCAAAAAGATAAGGCAATATTAACACTGAAATCGTAATTAAAGATACGAAATACCAGTAGAAGGTCACCTGGCGTCCTACGATACGACAAGGGGAAAAGGTTATTTAAAAAGACAGTGGTATTGTTTCCCGTCGAGTTAAATTGACTGTTTTGATCGTAAATTATCGTAAATTAATATTTTCAAGGAGAAGCTCCCCAGATATTGGGACGGGCTGGAGCAGATAAAAATTGTCTACCATCTGTCCTAAACTTCAAGTAAAGTACAACATGATCACTGTTCACTAGTGGGGGAAGGTGCTGAATATCAAAGACATCCTCACAGTGGTGAATGAAGGCAAATTTCAGCAGCGACGGATCATGTTTCAAGTTAGTATGTGTCTTTTTTGGGATACAGTGTGCAAGTGCACACTGAATAACGGTTGATAAAAGGTCACTATTGAAACCGCTACCTGGAGCTGTAAGCTCTATCTAGTTGATATTCGGTGCGTTGAAGTCCCCAATGATGAGACAACATTCTACCATACTCCAAGAACAGATGTGTCTTAAGATAAGGTCATCAGCAAGACAACACGGACTACAGTACATTCCCCCTATAGTCACCAACCCATTTTTCGATTAAATTTTACAACATGCTACCTCACATGTACCAATAACATAAGTCCCCGATATGATCGATTGTAAAGGAAAGTGATCCTTAACGTATAACATTATGTCTCTTCCTTGCGACTTTAAATTCTATCACTTCTAATGCAGATATAGCCCGCAATGATGGGAGAACATTCTATATCTACCATGAATCAAGTTTCTGTAACAACAATTATGTCGGTCTTAATTCATCCACTATCAGACTTAGCTCGGACGTTTTATTTCTAAGACTACGAGCGTTTGTGTAGCACAAAGTTAGAATGTTCGAAAGACAACAACCCAGCTAGAAGACATGCACATAACCTGCAGTTAGTGGAGTCTGTGGTAAGAAGTGTACTACCTGAAGAGGTTTCAGGGGTAAATATCACGGAAGTAATACGACTTGGTAAATGGGTTGGAGGCGAGACCCAACCAAGAAGGATCTTGAAGCTGGTTCTTGGGAATTTTGATGGAAGAGATATGATATTGAATAACGCACAAAAAATCCTGATTCAAATATTCGTATCCGACCAGATTATCGGCTTGAGGATCGAATCAAGTGAAAGAACGCTCTTACGGAGTTAAGAACTTGGAAGTCAGATGGCGAAACTAACCTTACCAATAAGGGTTTTCGGGTAGCTAGGTGTTTGAAGCCAATGATTCCGAGGTCTGTATAGGAAGAACGAATGATTCCCAGAACATTCTAACTTTGTGCTACACAAACGCTCGTAGTCTGTTAGGATTAACACATGTTCAACAACCTACTATCCTTATTTCTAAAGACTAGTTGTTTTAAGCGCTCACCGTAAGGGAGTTTAGAAAGGCTCTTCACTAATTTCGTTCCCACGCGCTGAACACACTCAAGTGGGTTAGAACCCCTTATCAGACACGGGCCAGCTTTTTGGATACAGCAATCCAATTGTGGTCTTACACAGGTGAGATAGGAGATTCGAGATATTTCCTCGCCAAAGCATTCGAATGCTCAGCGAAGTGACGATAACGCACGAAATCCATTGAGAGCAGCTGTTTTCAATGCGTACTTGTCCGAAATGGTGCCTTGGGGTACACTACTTTTGACCGGCTTCCAATCGGATAGCGTCCCATTGACCCTCATTCTCGTTCTGCGGTCACATAAGAAGTTTCCTATACATTCCTGCACAGCATCTATGATTCAGAAGCTCGGGAGCTTCTGTATAATACCTAAGTGTGAAACCTTGTCAAATGCTTTGCTGAAGTCTATGAATATCCCATCAACTGACAGACCTTAATCTAAGACTGCTGTCCAATCCTCTCTCGCAATAAGTAAGTTAGTCGAACATGTATGCTTGTTACGATACCCATGTTGCTCCGAAGCTAACAGATTGTGTGAATCTATGTGACTTAGCTGCTTAACCCGTATAATCTTTTCAAGTAACTTAACGACTATGCTGGTTAAACTGCCAGGCCGGTAGTTAGATATGATCTGTCTCTAAACATCCTTAAATATAGGACTGAATATGGCGTCGTTCAAACTCCTAGGGAGTCGAGCGAGTGAAAGGGATATGTTGAGGAGTGTCGCGAGGGGTCTTGAAATAATGTCCACAAGAGACAACAGCAGTCGTCTGTGTAACCCGTCAGGGTCAGGCATCTTAGAAGGTTTGAGGTTGTTGATCAATGGAAGAACAGTTTCCTCAGTCACATGTACAGACCCTATGGCTGGTATCTCGGTGTGGTCGGGACAAGTATTTGTTACAATACACGTAGTCTTCGTTAAAATAATTTGAAAAGGTCTCAGCTTTCGCCTTATCTGATTCAGCTGGCAAATCTGAATTTTCGAATAACAGTAACGAAGGAGGGCCATCACTACGTTTTATTTGTCATTTAACATATAAAAACAATCGTTTAACGCGATCTTGAAATCGAAGGTAAAGGCACGTAGTTTAATCTGCTATAAAGGTATTCTACATTGTTAATCACTAGTACTAATCACATTCTAGTATGCATGCATTGCATTCACAACAATATAAAAACATATCTTAAAAATAGGCTACTTCTTTTTTATCGCGATGTGAGCTGGCGCGCTTTTCGAACGGGAAGTTTAGTCGTAACATGATTTGCATATATCAAACTTTGGCTGTGTTCTTACGCAACAAAGGTACCATTTCAGTTCTAAAGAATCTATCCTGAGCTATAAGTTCGGTAGATTACTTTTTTTTATTTTCACCATATTTAATAGTTACCTGTGGTTTTGCCTCAACTTACTATTCGGTTTTTTTTTTCACGTATAGACTAGTTTCAGTTTATATCACTCGTTTTTACCTATTTTTGTCCGTTTTCAGTGTGCTTTTCAGTATGCACAGATCTAACAGCAACTGCTTACAACAGACTCAGCAAGTCAGAGCAAAAGTGGGTGTGTGTCACGTGCAGCACAGACTCTGTATTCTTGCTGAGTAACATCATTGTCCTACTGACAGGTCTCCGGAACAAGTTGTCAGTTAACTTGGATAACGATAGTAAAAAACCGGTAGACAAACAAGAGCGTGCGACGGATACAAAAATAGGGATGTCGACAGGTGTACCATCGATGGAGCATCCATCAACACTAATGATGTCATGTCGAGGCTCAGCACCATCATCACGTCGACGGTACTAGACTCCTTAAGCGAACTCGAGTCTCCCAGCTCAGGGTCTCTGAACGCAACAGTGGTTCCCAGAAACCCTGTAGGTGATTCGACCCACGCTAAGAGAGCCCAAAAGAACCAGGCATCACTGCCTAAGCCGAGCAACCCAAGTGTTGCTGTACGGAAAATAACTGGTGATTTGGTCGCACAGTCTACCCCCAAGACTGTTCGTCCGGTCAATAAAGAGCCCAAGATTCATAAACGCACACTGACCTCCAAACAACAAGTTACTAAACCTGAACCCATCGTGAAACCTGGTAAATTAACAACAGTTCGTGACGATTCTCTCATTATCATGAACCTCGTTGACAATTCTGACCTTCCTCTCAGTCTGCAGGACAAAAATGACAGGATGCTCTGTGGTGTATTGAACAAGAAGCTCAAACTTCCTAGAATATAGCCTTTGACGGTCACCCGGCTCACTCGAGGAAAGGAATCTAGGCATCTAAATCACCCGAGGATTCTCCGAGTAACACTTAAGAATGCTACCGACGTAGAGGACGTCTTGCTAGCAAGTCACTTGCTGAAATCCGATGGTAACGTAAGAATATTGCCCGACATACCGTACTCTGAGCGAAATATCATACGGAACATCCCCAAAGAAACTCGCGAGAAGTTTTTCCGCGGAAGAAACAATTGTGCAAGGTATGCCGGAATATACGGACCCTACTCAATCAAAGACTGACATCAGGAAATGGAAATTCATCAGACAGTCCTTGAGGCTCAAAAACATACTGACTCAGCATGTGACGAGACTAGCCAAGAAGGATGGTGATTCTAGACCCCGTCTAATGAAGATAACCGTCACATCTTCCCATATGGTGGCTGCAACTCTGGAAGCATTTCGTGCCAACAGACGTCGACTGCCACCTGGAATCCACATGCACCCGAATAGGCCATACGAAGCTAGGACCAAACACAAAGGCAAGTTGGAACAGACCATTCCACTTGTGGACTGTCTAGACGATAAAAAAAGTGTAAAGGAACGGGCCTACCACCTCGGCAAACCTCGTATAGGTGGGCTACCTGTCCATTCACATAAGGCTCAAACAGAAAAACAGGACGAAGCTCACGCGTTCCAAATTGAAAGCATAAACTACTTATATATGAGCGCCGCGAGTCTACCAAACAAATTGGATGAATTACGTGAACGTAGCAACGCTAATAAGGCCCATCTGATAGGAATATCTGAAACCTGGATGTCTTCTCAGTTCTCGGACCAAGAGTTGGCATTACCTGGGATGACTTTGTTCCGCAACGACAGAAAAACAGGAATTGAGGGCGGAGTAGCCATATACATAAGCTCTTGCTTGGAGGCGCACCAAGTTCACAACCTCGAGTTTAACAATCTTGAGGAATCCATATGGTGCTCTGTAAGATTGTCTAGTAATTCGAGGTGTCTAGTCGGAGACATTTACAGGAAGCCAATTGCCGACATCGAGTACGATAGTCGTATGCTGGAAGGACTATCCCGCTCTACCCGTCTCGGTTTCACACACATCCTGATTCAAGGGGACTTTAACCTCCCTAGAGTCAACTTCGCGGAACATACGTACACTGGAGGCGACAACTCAATTGAAGCTCGGTTCTTCAACCTCATCGATGACTTGGGCTTATATGAAAATGTGAGGTCGGCGACTCGTTGGAGGAACAGTGAGACACCATCGCGCTTAGACTGTGTATTCACAAACGAAGAATTCCTAGTTGACAACCTCTCAATCCTGGCTCCTCTGGGAAAAAGTGATCATGCCGTCATAGCCTCCAGTTTTGTCATCAAAACTAAGCTAAGGTATCCCAACAATAATTTGCGTTGGAATTTTAAACGGCTGAATAAACCAGCCCTACATGACTATCTACAACAGGTGGTTTGGGATGTTCACCCTCAACTCGATGTGGACGGTCATTGGGACTTCCTACTGCACACGCTCTTATGTGCTACAAACCATTCAGTTCCTCTAACGGTTCCCAAAAGCTGCAAGCCACCTACAGTAATCAAGAACCGTACCCTTCGCCTGCTAAGCCGAAAAAGGCACTGTTGGGCGGAATACAAACGAACTGATAACGACGGAGCGTATAGACAATATAAACATATCAGGAACATATGCACGAAGGCTATAAGAGAAGACAGGCTTCAGTACCAGACAAAGCTTATGGACAAATTTGCCTCTAACCCTAGAAGCCTATTCCGTTATGCAGCCTCTCTTCGTCAAGCCAAAACAGGAGTTTCTCAACTGGTAGGTCTTAACGGCCCGACCAACAACGATGGCGACGCCGCTAACCTTCTGGCGGCACATTACTCTCAAACATTTCAACCGGCTGACATCAACTTTACTGACGACAGTTTCATCTGCAATTCCACATGACTTTCTGAAGTAGACCTAAGCGCTGACTTGGTGTTCCGGAAATTGCAGCAATTAAGATTAGATACTTCTCCTGGCCCGGATATTGTACATCCTTCTATACTGAGGGAGGCAGCCTCAATCCTGGCTACGCCGCTTAGCGTGATGTTTTCACACTCGCTAAGCCGAGGGAAACTACCGGAAAATTGGAAGTTGGCTCACATCACACCAATTTTCAAAGGAGGTCGATGTAATGAACCTTCAAGTTATCGACCGGTGGCTCTTCTGTCATTACCTTCAAAACTCATGGAGTCCCTGATATGCGACGGTTTAAACGACTATCTACTGTCCTTAAATTTCTTCTCACCCCAACAGCATGGTTTCAGGAAGGGTTACTCTTGTATAACCAACCTGCTGACTGCGGTTGACAGATGGACAAGCATCCTCGATCGTAAGGGAAAGGTTGATATCATTTACCTTGATTTCTCAAAAGCTTTTGATAAGGTTAACCACTTGTGTCTTACCAATAAGCTCAAACGACTAGGTATCAAACCACCTCTAATCGATTGGCTTACTTCATACCTAAAAAATCGACACTTTAAGGTTAGGGTCAATTTCACTTTATCTCAGGCTATGGAATGTCCTAGTGGGGTCCCCCAGGGCTCAGTACTAGGGCCTCTACATAAGTGATCTTCCTCAACAGGCAACGTCAGACTTATTACTTTTTGCCAACGACGTGAAACTTTGGAGAGAGATACGCAATCAAGACGATATACAGGCACTTCAGGAGGATCTGACTCGACTTCAAAGTTGGGCAGACGATAACGGACTTACCTTTAACACTTCAAAGTGTAAAGTAGTCCATCTGCGACATGTCGCAAACTACAGTTACAACTTAGGAAACTCCTCCCTAGTAGTATCTCAAGTCGAAAAAGATTTAGGAGTCCTGGTGCTCCATGATTTAAGGTCTTATGCTAACTGTGACAAAAATGCCTTCCGAGCAAACCTTGCACTGGTAACGTTGAAGTGCATTTTTGGACAGTTCGACGGACGAACTTTCCATACAATCTTCAATAGTTTCATCCGTCCCCATTTAGAGTACGGAAACATAGTACTCCCTCCCTCACTCCAAAAGGACAAGGTCACTTTGGAGCGTATCCAACGTCGAGCCACGAAATCAGTTCGAGGACTCAAATCTAAACCTTACGAAGAACGCCTCCATTCACTAGACCTTTACCCACTAGAGTATAGGCGTCTTAGAGGTGATTTATTAATGGCTTATAGTATTCTTAACACTTCTGGACATCCTCTTAAACACCTACTTAAGCTTAGTTCGAATAATAACCTAAGGGGTAACACCCAGAAACTGGAAACACAACATAGCAAGACGGAATGCAGACACAACTTCTACTCCTTAAGAGTTGTCAAATTCTGGAATTCGCTACCAGCCGAGCTAGTCCAAGCAACTTCTCAGGAGTCCTTCAAGAGGCAACTCGACCTATTCTTAAGGACCAAGGACAGCATCACACTATGATTTACCAATTATTTTTCCTTCTTATTGTTAACATACCTAAGTTCCTGCCTGGAGGATTTGGTGATCCCCTACTACTAGACACGGAAGCCTGTTAAGCGAAAGCTTCTTCTATTCCGTCCGCAACCATTTGAACCATTTGAACCATTTTAGTGTTCGTTTGCTATATAAAGTACTGTTAATCATTGATGTTTTATTCCCTACTACTTTCAGGTACATAGCAGAATTATCTCCTGTCCATGACTCTGCAGAGAGTAAGAGTCGCATTCAACAATGTGACTACTCGGTTCTGAAGTATAGTGTGTGGGAGTTGCTAATGTACGACCAGTAAAAGTATCCCATACTCACACCCTTGAGCAGACCAATGATGAACAAGATATATTGCGCGAAATTAAAAGTTCAGTTCTCTTTATGTCAACTAGATTTGTTCACCAGATTGTCCCAATCTCAGTTTTGTATTGTTTTTGATTATCCATAGTGTCTTTTGTGAATAAATGTAAGCGAATTTTCTGTACTTACTGGGTCTTCAGCTCAGTTTTTTTTTGCTCCCAAACTCTTCACATACTACACATCTCACTCCTTCCGTACACAAAGTACCTTCAGAAGACGCAAATCTACCGAAGCTAAATGCTAGAGTGCTAGAAAGCTTGTGTTTTGTGATTAACGAGGTACAGATTCTTAATATTCAGTTTCTACATACTTGGGATTTCTAAAAATGTTAATTATGCAACGAATCAATGCATATAACCAAGTGCTCAAAACAAATTATGAGTAATACTCGGTCCTTATGCATATTGTGTGTTGCTGTAATGTGATTGAGTGCATAGTTGAAGATGTTTATGTGGCTGGATAGCGTCTCCTCACTCTAACTCTTAATTCTAAACATCAACCTAATTTCTTTAATTTCGTGAATCAAAGGTTGCCTGTACCTGATTTCATTATAGCTAATGTCATTTGATGGCGGAAACCCCATGGGGTGTTATCCCAACTCACAAAGCTAGTATGACTCCTATTATTTCAAGCTTTCTGATTTTCGATAATGAGTAATTTAACATATAGGAGACTTTTCCTCATATCATAATCCCTACTCCACCTTCATCTTGTTGGCTGGGAATAAGCCTCACTTTTATCAAGTTATCTACGTGTACCGTAGTTAGTAACTGGGGTTATGTTTAGGTTTATTCAGTCACTCACTTGTGGATTAATTGGAGGTATGTATCTTGCTATGCTGTAATTTTTCTTCGGTCTTTACTGACTGCCCTGCACCTGGCACGTCCGCAACATAATGAAGTGGCATTTCCGTCGTATAAAACTACATTTTTGATGTAAATCAGCGAAGACGACATAACAAAATAAGCCCTCCCTCAAGGATCACGAAAGTGTAGATAATAATTCCCGCTTCATTATGGCTGGTCACCAAGATCAAGGTACAAATTGTAAACAAGAGTAGAGTCCATTCTCACCCGATATTGTTTTTAAATTGTTAATCGTTTCATAACTAAACAGAGTTTCTTGATTGACTGTTAAGTTGTTTAACATGGTCAGTGTAGCGTAAGTTTACCTTAATAAGCAGCTTTCATATGAGTAAAGAACCTTTATGTATAGATTACTAATGTTTTCATCACGAATTGACACCAGCTATAACAAAAAATGAATCTCAGTCTAAAATCTGATTGGTGTGTCCACATACTAAACTACCATAATACTTTAAGAAAAATCTCATCTTTACGCTCTCGATGTTACAGATAGTGATTATTCAAGTAATCGCTGAAATTTCGAATCAGTATAATTAACGTTTATTGCATTTCAATTTGTGTACTATCTGGTTGTTCGAACACATGCTTCAGGAAACTTAATATTTGTCATTCACACCATAGTTGTTTCCTCTTACTTTTTGAGACGTTTCCGTTATATTCGTTATCATTATAATGGACATACTGGAGGACAAATAAAACAAACAAAAACTAGAATATGAATAATCTTGCACATACATTTAGGTGATTGAATTGACTAGCATATACATTAATAATAAACAATCAAAGTATAGTAGGATTGGATGGATAACTGGAGCTAAGTAATATTGGCATTGGATTAACACCAGAATCAAATTACTTTGTAAGTAAATTGGTTTTATGTCGACACTAGCACTTAGAATCATCTGAAGTTGTATTGAAATGGAAATAACACTGGGAATAGGATATCCAGCAATTGTATTGTGGTGAAATAAATCCAGGACTGAATTAGACCCGTCTAATTTGCATTATATCGAAATGAATCCAAACTATTCAGAGCGTCAATTAGTCACCTGGTCTCTGGTATTTATGGAACAATGTAATAATGGAATATGGCTAACAGAGAACCGAACAAAGAGATATTGGAAGGATTCACCTGCAAGGTATTCGAATTAATCATACAAATGAACACGAATTAACCAATAGAGTTGAACTAATGCATTTTACAGTCACATGCTCAGTTAGATATCGTATTCCGAAATGAATGTACAGTTGTGTAGATGTAGTATGTCTGTACCAAACAACATAGTTTGTCCAGTCATTTTATGGTCACTTTTGCTTAATTGGTAAGTGGTGTTATTCTTTGAATACTTACTCTTCATTTACATCCTATAAGACGTTCATGAAACTTGTATTTTGATGCCACTCTTGTCACTGATAAGTTTTCCCACTAAAAGTAGAAATGTAACAAACCAAATACGATAAACTCCTTTGTATGACTAGATATATGAGGTAAAATGAGTAATGAGTGAATATACTTAATTTATTAGGTGGTAATCGCTAACTTATGATGTCTTAGGTGTTTGTCAATAAACGTGTTTCTGATATATCATCATAGACGACAAGAAAAGACAAAGGTCCAGTTTGCCACATGAAAAAACCACTGGATTTTTGGATTATTAGATAATAAATAGTATACGTAATTCAACAGTATTGGGACCAGCCTGTCTAGGAACATAAACCTTGTTGATTGTGCTTCTCAGAAACTAGACGTTTTTTTTAACTAATAATCTTAGCTTAGTATTTCGTTTTGTTCTCAGAAATCAAAGTTGACTGCCCTTTAAACAGTTTGTAGTAATTTTATGGCAATAAAAACGAAGTCGAATAATTATTAGTCCTGCTAATTATCACCATCTCATCTTTTTCAAAAACAGTTACTTGTAGTGGTACGGGTACATCCACTCTTTATCTTCCCTTAGATCCTAAGTTTCTATATTCCTTATAGTTTTTTCGAACACTTTTATCTCACTGATTTATATTTTTCCGGATCTTATCTCCAACCCCTAATTTTATATTACTATATATACTACTCTGCGATTCACCCTGACAACTTCATTTTTGTGTTAATGGGGTGTGGCAGCTAGGACCGATGTACACATTCGTCAGTCTCTACGTTTAGTTGAATGACTGTTAATCATCACTGGCCTTACTGGTTGGATTTTATAGTCTTCCGGTTGTCTGAGAGTCGTTATGGTAGACAGGAGAAATGATTGCGTAGTAAAATACATCCAAAACTATTGGGGAAAAGGATACAACTGATTTACTGTCTCTAGAGACACTTTGGCCTACTATTTGTGCGGAGTATGCTACCGCTATTATATCAGTTCTGGTTTCCTAAGTGTTTTCAACACTATTATTCAAACTTTTCCTGTTTATCTAGGATAGTTACCAGTATTTGTATGGATGTGATTATCGTCGGTTTATACCATATGTAAAGCCAAGAGAAGTATTGCTACTGTGATGCATGCTACTTACGTTGACATATATAAGTAGTATGTAACACCAATCAGAGGTGGTATGCCTGGCAGCAGATGATTAAATTGAGGAGAACAGAAAGGAAATCAGAGGGAAATTGTAATAACAACAGAATAGGAAAAATCATGAAATATATAAGAAACAACTGAATGAAGATGTGAAAATAATGTATTTTATGTGTGTTTTTCACATTTTACGGAAACACTGTAATTTTGCATTTAATAATAAATTGGTGTTCCCTCACTTGAATCTTGTTTACAACACTACTGTGTTTACAACAACTTCGACTTTTAACCAATCATTCCCAGGTTTGAATTTTTACATACTTATTTCTCCTTGAACAGCCGAATCGTATCCCTAACGACCGCACAAACATCGCGACTCAAGGCTGTGTACACTAACTCTAGTTATTTAGCTAAATAAGATCTAACGAAAAATGCTAACATGCAAGAGCTTGCCAGGTAGTTTAGTGTGCCCTGGCTGTACTAGGTGTTTCGTAAATAGTTAACCGTCTAAATTCTTGAAGAAAATATCGACTCACAAAAAATAGTATGGTTAACTAAGGTATTTTTTGTGAGGTGGAAATCTGTTCAGCATATGGTAACCGAGATTCGCCGGTAAATTTTATTTCTATTCATTTTGGGAAATTTCTTGTCAAAAAGTACAAATCAGAAACATTACAGGCTAAAATTGATTATCAGCATGAAAAATTTTAAATATCGTTCTAGTTGGATTATAATTTCCGTAATAATTATTAATGACTAACCTGAGGTGTAAGTCGTTCTTTGTACTACTGCCGAATAAGAACAGTTTTTGATCGGACCGCTTAAAATATATTCTCTTGTATTTCTGCTCTGTTAAGAACCTCCATGATTTAAAGTAGACCTCTCTTGTCCTGAGTCTTGCTTTACTCTGTTTATCTCTTATCAATCAACCAACACTAGTAGAAAGTGGTCGTTGAGTTTATGCTTAAAGCCTAGTAGAGTAAACATTTCTTACTTTCAGATATTACTCAAACTAGTTGTATACTATTTTGGAAAGGAGACTGTACGCCTATTTATATAACTGATTAAATGTCATGTCGCTTTCAAGTGCAACTATAAAAGATAAAGGTCAAGCAAGTATTGTACTGGTCCTAGGAATTGAAGGCTAGTCAGTATGTTGTACTAGTACAGACAGGTGAAAGTTGTGCCTGTATCTGTATGGTCAAACAAATGTTCTAAAAGTAGTTCGTTAGAGATCTAAGGGCTAGCTTTAAATCAGTAATCTGGGTATCACCTACAATTTGTATATGTGATCATAGTTTAAAGTTTTCCAACTAAAATTCACTAAACACCAATTAAATCGGTCTTGAATATTGCGTCCACTACTTTGTAGCAGTTAGCCTAACTGAAGTCTTAGCTAAGATATTTTCTCTTAAATTGGGACGATGAGAGTGAGACCAGTCAAATGTGAATACGTCCAGTTTCCAGATTTTAGCTAAGGTTTCAATCAATCTAACTGGGGAAAACGAACACCACTTGAAGTAACCATTTTTCTACTCGAGCATTACTGATCGAATCAGAGCTTATGGCGCACTGTCATCCTAATTAGTTACCTCCAGTGGTGTTCGTTAAGGTTATTCGCTTTCCCCATTTTCATCTAACATTATCATAGACATACTTCTAGAAATAACACTCTCATCGTCTGACTTTCTACGGATTCATCTCCTGACAGGAGATTCACTTGTTGGCTTAGAATACCCAGGTGATATCGTTCGGTTTGGTGAAGACATTGACAAAATACCATCTTCCAACCACTTTAAGCAACAATCTGAGCATGTTAAGGATGCGGTTCTCTCCCTCGAAATATAAAATGTGACTTCAGGATGGGTTTGTGTCATCTCCTGAATTAATGATGGATAGTGAAGTAGTTGAACGCATCGACCGCTTAACTTATCTTGGGTGTCTCGTTGGTCCTGAGGCCTGACGAAATCTTTGCACTGATTCGAAGAGCTTTATCGACTTTCGCCAATGAAATCTCAGTGACTAAGTCATAGTTAAATAGTTCAGACAACATCTTACAATCAGTAGACCACTTCAAACACTGAAATATAGTCAAGCTGGTTTCAAATTTGATATCAAAGCTGTTCAGTCACGTAATAGCCATATGGTAAGTAGTTAGATACTATATGCCCTATAATTTATGCAGGTTTGTAGGACAACTTACTAATTCGTCTGTCATGTAGAAAGAAGATAAAGTCAACGTCATTTTGTTTGTCAGGGTTTTAATGTGGTGTGACAACTTGGGTCTATACACTCATATCACAGTTTTTACATTGTATATGATCGACTGTTTGTCATTATGAACGAATAGTGTAAGTCGGTACTATTAATCAGTTACATGTTGTTATTTGTTTACTTTTAAGTATTAACTCTTGGATGTATTGAAGAGACGCATAATTGTATGCTAGATACTAAACCCTTCTTATGTGTCATAATGTACCCATTACAAGTATTATCTCTCAATATTTAGATTTCTTCGAGATTTAACCGTCAACAATTTCTTTATTATTTCACCGGTTGACGTATAGTGAACTTAACCAAATCAATACATTAGACTTTCATGCTTGTCTTTTGACACTCGCTTTTGCCGCAGGATGTAGTTGTTCAAGTCACTAGCCAGTACCATTTATTAGAATACCGTTAATTTCCACTTGTTATTTACTTTAATCTTTAAAAGGAATTTTTTTTCTTCCAAGTAGAAATTACCAACCTCGTTACCACTAAGTTTGTAGGGTTTAGGTATAGACTGATTTATTTTCAGATGAATTGCATATGTAAAATTTTCTTACGATCTATGTTTTTCAGTAGTGACAATTGATTTTAGCATTAGATAACTCACGTGTTTTGGTATATGGAAGAAATTACTTCCGACGATAGTTGTGTTTTTTATGGTATTCCGATACTATATCCACACTTAATTTCATTGGATTTGTAGCTCAGGATTAGTCTAAATATGTCAACCCCAAGAACATATGAATCAATGAAGAAACTGCTTGACTGTGCTAAATTGGATATCTCTTTCACATCAAACATATTTCAGTCAGTGAAATTTGACTATCCATTATTATCCGAAGAGTACAAATTGATTGAAGTGCCAAATTGGTTAGCCGATGAAGTGATTCATGAAAGAGGGGACCAAGCTATAACTTTAAAAGATGAACATAAATCTAATAATACAGGGCGTGTATTTGCTTGCATAAGTGACAAAACGTTTTCGGTTATAGAAGCAAAAACGTCTAATACGCTCCTTTTAGCCTCTAGTTGGTGGTTGCCTTCATCCGATGGGCCTAAAGAGAATTTAGTACTTGTTACACCAATTCAAGCTGTCAAAAATAATTACTTTGAACTTCAGCAATGTCCAGCTCCGTCTTTAAAACAACTGAGGCTTTTGTTATCTCCATCTCTCTACTATGGTCCTGTTGATGATGAATGTGATTCAGAGAATAAAAGCTCTAGTCTGAACTATTTTGATCGTGATACTGTTGAAACCCGACTGCCATGCAGTAAGCTGGAGCTTAATGAGGCGTTTCGACGATTGCATGTGTGTGAAATCAATGGATATTTACGAATGCTTGATCATGAATACATGACACAGGTATTTTAATTGTGTATATCTTCATTACTTTGACTATCCCCAGATTCAATCTTACTGTTCTTAGTTATTTTTAATGAAGTCTTCTTGTTGCAGGTGTGTCTGTTTTTCATTATTTAAACGGTACTCATCTATATGCTTAACACCTCTCATGCCTTCAGAAAGACATGTAGTTACTTCTTCCAGCACCTGTCTCACATTCTCATCTCTGTTATTAACTGATTTGCTGGTCTATTTTTTTATGCAAAGTTTAATAATACTTTCCGTTATCAGCAATATCTATTGTGTATCAGATATGTCGAAATGTGTTTTGAGCAGTTAACTTAGGCTAATAATAACTATTCAGAATCGTTTTTAGAGGTTCATGAGGATGAAAAGCTTTAATGAGTATTTGTTTTTGATTGCGAAGAGCAATGTATTAAAGAATAAGCAATTAGTTATTTAAGTGGACGGAAGGATCACTGATCAAAAACAAATCTACGATGAAAAATTGCTGTATATCCATATTATCGTTGATAAAGAGCAGAAAACTTCAGAACTTTAAACTGATTTAATAGTCGAAAGTTCGTCCTTTTTACCAAAGCATTTGACCACTGATATAACAGGTCTAGGAAAAACTGATCAGCTTTGATTAAAGTGACAAAATAGTACGTTATTCATTGCATGGCATGTAAATGTGAGCACTACTTCTTATCAGCAAGTTATAGCTTCTGATGTCTTAAATTATGAAAGTTATATTTTCTTACTGCCCCTCACATAATAATTGTGCCTCAACCGATTAAAAAAGTGTGAGTAGCTCATAAGTTTAATTTATTATAAAGTAATAGTTTGTTGATTTTATTTGGGATGTAGTTTAGCTCGATTCTACCTTTTTTAGTTTATTGGAGTGAAAAAATACACTAGAATGTTTCGGTCAGTCTTAAGATACAACCTATGTATAGTTCAGTATTATTTCGCTTAGGTTGAGTTTAGTGTTGCAACGCAGTTGTAAGGCAAACTTTGAAAAATACCAATGAACCAAGTTGGGAACTTACAAATTGTGTGCTTATAAATCCTGACTTGAAGTGTTTTTGATGGCCTGGCGGTCTAAACACTCGACTTTCAGCTACTTGATCACAGGTACGAATCCTGCTCTATCTAGTTTGGTTTGGATAGACAGATAGTACCAATAGCCCTCACACCGCGATTACTACTCACAACAAATTATGTAAACCTATACTAGGTTTTTGAGTTATATAGCTTCATTGAATTTAAATTGGGAGCTACAAAAGTTTCTTTTTTCCTATAAATAGGTAGTTAGAGATCTTTTTGCCCTTGCTGATGAAAATGCATGGGACTGGCGTAAATATGGCTTCCCTTTGCATGCCTCAATAGAAGGCTTGGCAAATCAGCACCTTCCAAATATTACCAAGCAAATTATGATGCTAATTTGTTCTCAGCTAGAAAATCGAAAAGCATTTGATTCTAAAGATGTATACGTTTACCCGCGGAATTCGAAAATTTGTCAAATAGTTGGGGAGCATCTACTATCAGTTATTAGCAGCTTTGACCTAAATGACTTCTTAACACTATGGAAAGCATCAGTTCCCAACGGACTGCGACCGAAGCTTCGTCGTCATTTAACTTGCGCTGGACGTGCATATTGTGAAATAACACCCTTACCTACAAACGGTACAAGCGTAAAACTGGAAGGTAATGATATACGTTCTCGATTTCGATGTATTTCCCTGTTACGGTCTGAGGACTTACCTGATGAGAGTGTCGAGGCGCGTCTTAATGCATTATTTGAGAGATGTTCTATGTGGCCCGAACCAGAAATAGGTAGTTTCCTAACAGAATTGTTACCCCCACAACCTCTCAGGAAAAAGTCTTCCTCTAAACACTTAGTCCCAGAAAAAGGATCTCAAGTAGATACATTTTCTGACGTTTCGTATGCTGATTCTGATTCAGACTTCAGTTATGAAGATTATTGTACAGAGTCTACTGAAACTGTTTCAGCACTGGAAGATGTACCCTTACCAACTCCACCTGCTGTTTGCTCACTTCTAAACAAATTCTGTCGTGTTAATAATAGTTCAGTCGGACGTGTATTAACTCAACGACATTCGAAGTAGAAATTAGCGTCACATCTTACTTTGTATATCATCTGTATTCTTCAGATGATCATGACGTTGAATAACTTTTTGTAAATGAAATTTCGTCAGATGAATAATCATGTCAATTATATTATGTTTATTATTGTTTGTATAATGTTGAATAAAGCCATTAATAATAATAATTACTATTATCAATAATCTATGTATTAAGATTGAGTTTAAACAGTTGTTCATTAGTTATTTATTTGGTTTGCGAAGACAAAGGGTGGGGATATGTAAATGTATTTAATCAGTATATCAAACTTTGGGCTGATGGAGAAGCAAATCGACCATGGAGAGAAACATGATTCATTTAACCGATCATATACGTTTATCCAGATATATGACTTAAAATTAGACTTAAGTTTTCAGACAGTCAGTCAACCATAAACAACATAGAACTTGGCATAGTTGTGTAACAAACCATTTTATCTCATTTCATATCAACATCATGAGTGGATATTAATTAGTAGATTAACCGATTATAATAATATCAAAAATATCACACAATTTTGATAACCTTCGTCTTCTCATTACATTATCGAAATTTACCATAGGGACTAATTGTTTTAAATACGAACAATAATCGAAAACTAAACATGATAAATATTAATTCATGTTTGTATTGGTTTTTTGAATCTTCTCATCGATCTTTAGAACCGCAAGTGATCAGTCTCTTATTAGAGAAGGTTCAAAATACCAGTACAAGAATGAATTAAACTTCGCCCCATTGCACAAGTCAGTGGCTATCTGGAATCAGTAGCAAAGTGGATAACGCGATGGCATTTGAAGTGAATGATAATGGGTCCGAGTCCCGGAGTAAAATGGAATCTGAGATGCAGGTACATCCAGCTGAAGAGTCCCGATTAGGATGAAACGCGCGTCCTGTGTTCCACTGCGAGCCACTATTTTCTCTGCTTATAGGAAATATTAGTTTAAAAAGAATGAGTAAATTTGGAATGTGCGATTTATAGTTTAAGATTTATATGAGGGTAAAGGAAGAACTCATCGTTATCAATCCCACTAATTTCAAGTCATATCTCCTATGGTCTCCAATCAAAGATTACTTCATGCATCGATGATTCCGCTTGACCATCAGCTTAGCCAGCATAGCTGATCCAGGTAAACGGTTGCTGAGTATGCTTAGGTCTCTTAATTAATAATTTGGTCTCTATACAAAAGAAAGTGACTTGACTCTACCTAAGTGTTATTTTCTCTGAGTGTCGTAAATTTAATAGATTTCATTCGTTATATAGAATAGTATAGCTAGTTAACAATAGTAATTTGTTAGTACGCTTTTGAGGTTTACGAATGTTACTGTAATACGGACTGTTTCTACATCAAACTGCTGGATTCAGAAGAGTTTTAAACTTGAGGGTGGGGGTCAAGTTATGATTTTCGGTAGGATACGATTCAGAATTACATTAGGATAGACATATAACTTGATATCATTACAGTGATCAAGTTAATAAAATGCTGGTAGGGAAATGTTGACCACTGTCTCTTCATTTCTGAGTGATGATAATAATGGGCTTTCGTTTGATCTATTTTCACCCTGATAACCCTACAAAGATTCACCAGGTATTAGTGTTAAGAGGCAGTAGGCAAGAATAATGAAATTTAGTTGTGAAAAGTTACAAAGTGTTTATATAATACATATACATAGCCTTCAAACGCCCAGTCGCATCTTTCGGTGTGTTCTGCCCTCTGAACTGTCTTCTCATCTGGTCTGGTGTTCTGCCAACCTTGCGCTTTCGATGTACTGAAACCACTCGGTCTGACAATTGTTGCAAGTTCGATGCCGCGTTACTTACAAACAGTCCTGTGAGTAGCGTTCATTTCACTAGTTCCTCACCATGCACAACATAAAATCACATATATGTTCACTCACTATTCGGAATTACACAATGTACAAAGGTGAATAAGATGCTGAACAAACTGAGTAATTTTGGATTGTTCACTTATTGGGTGAAAATCAAATGGTTGTGAAGAGATCATTATCCCAATAATCAGTGTTTTTTCCAACATCACTTTAATTCATTACTCCAGTTGAAACAGTTTCTAATTTACGTTATTTAAATAGCTGTGATTTTGGTGGAGTTTTTTTCTCTGAGCTGGATGGTTTGGTCGTGGAGCTTTCATCGTTCTTCTGAACGGCATCATATACGATTATCGTCATATTGCATAAAATACTTTCCGACCAACCAAATGTCAATTTGTTGATTATTTGGCGCCACTACCTATCAGGCAGATAAATTATATGGAAACTGGGGTCGATGAAGATATGTAAGCTTTTAGGGTTTACACCATTGTGATTAACACCCATCACTTTTAACTATGAGATCACGTTAATAAGCTTGAATTCATATATTAAGATTTTGTTTGTGTAGTGTAATTAGGATTTGATCCATTTAGTTAGTATTTTTCACTTTTTAATTCAATTTCTATTTAGTCAGCTGAAAGCAGCCAGTCTGTTGCTTCTGGTGTTTCATATGAATTAAGGCTATGAGTGACGGCTGGCCATCTATTTCAATCAAGTGAAAACAGTTTGGCATCTCGTTCATACATCACTATAAACCATCCTGGTCACAATTTTCATAATCAGTTTCTGGAGCTGCAGAATATGACTGCTTGATACTTACCGCATTTGAACGATGTAATTCAGCTACAAAGTACGTGTTTATATACCTAGTTTTCAGCTACTTTAGGTAAAGGATAATGGTACTTCACAATCTTTCAAACGGAAATAGGTCAGGAGGGGTTTGAACAACAACGTGATGATTTAAAGACGAGCGATCTGACCATTAAGCTACCTCTCTGAGCACCACATTCCTCACTTTGTCATGTCAATTGATAGGTTCAACTAATCAAAGCTATCAGATGTTGTGTTTCAATCACTGTGTGCACAAAATTATGAGAAAGCAGCTAATGAAAAATATGATATAAAAGATAATGAAGTTATTTGGTAAAAATAATTTAAGCAATACAGCTTAAACGTCATTGTACAACAATTGTCTCTGAATTTATGACCGATTATTCAGGAACACTATGTACTTATTACTTCAATAATCATGACACACCATCAATGGGAAGATTTTTTATTTTTATAAAGGTTCTCCAGCTTTCTAGATAATTAACTAACAATTGTTTACATAAAAGTATTTTCATGATTTAATTCACTATGAATCAACAAAACCCTAATAATGCGTACACAAATTGAAATCAAAGTTTTCTGTTTCATGTACCTCCTCAGTTGGCCTAAACCTTCTTACAATCGAAGTTGTAAATTGTGTTTCGTTTTAACCTAAAAGTAACTCTGTATAAACTGTTTCAATACAGAATGCATCTAGTCATTAGTAAAACAATAATAAATTAGAAGTGATATTGTTATCCAGTTGAGGGTAGGATTTTAGTTATGTTCAAAATGAAGTTAAATCCATTATGATCGCTTTTAGAATCAACACAAACTGTCGGCTTTTTGAGTTATTTGATTTGCTAATTTGTAAGTTGGTTCAACAAATGCCCCTATAAAATAATTTCAAGTTTGGCTTACGATATCGTCTGTGTATGTCTTTATTTGCTGGCTGGACAAGTAACAATACAATAAATAAAATGGAGTAAAGTTCCAAACTTGTATTGATCACTTAAGTATTAAATGCAGATTTGTTTTAATAGCCAATCAGTGTAAAACTGCACGTATAAACATTAGAGCAAACCAATGAAGTTAAGCTTATGTTGAATCGTATTATAGCTTTTCATTCTAAACAAATATATAAACTATAGAAACTTGAAAGCTAAGGAAGATTAATGATATCCTAATTATTAAAATGCAACAAACATCTCTTCGCCTTATGTAAGTCGATTATTTATACATAATTGGTAGTTTGTATTACTACTAATTACCTGAAATAATCAAGATATTGTATTAGTTAATTCTTCTGGCTTAAAAAAAGAAACATTTCACTGTAACGGATGAGATAGGCTTTGAAAACTGTCATCATTGTTCTGATTTATTGTTCACCATCAAATGAGTTGTTTGTGCAGTATATCTGAGTGTCACTTATACATCTGTTACTAAAATAGGAAAATGGACTAAGTTGTTTTCTCGAAGATAAAGTTGAAAACAAAAGCCTCTGTTGTATAAGCCTCTGACAGGTCCCATAATTGTTCTTCGTAAAATAAAGAGATTTATGCAGTAATAAAGAATCTGCTCCACGCATGTGCAGAACTATGATCACTAAGGTTTACTGATAGCTATAATTATTACCGCTAAATGATACCACAGCTTTCTATACATATAATTTAGAATGAGAGCTGTAAATCCAGTGATAATTATACTTTTCAACACCGACGACTTACAAATCCCACCTTATAATCTAAAGATGCTGTTAAATATTATCCGGTTTCAACTTATTTTCCATTTCGACTAGTCGAGGGTTAAACGAAATAATATATGGCTATTTAAAGAAGATACAATGAATCTCAATAAAACGGACTTGATGAACTAGTGTAAAGAACAATGGAAACGTAAACCGAATTGTCCTATTAAGAGAGATTACACACTACATTTATAAAATATGAAGCCAATAAATTGAATACACAATTTGTACATCCTCCTCGAATTGTCTCTTACAAGCTACATCGTTCGTTGATTCCTGTTGCCGAATGATCTGCTTCTGTTTTTTCATTCTCCTCATGTTCCTCTCCTGTCATTAACAATCCTGCTTTCAATTCTCGATACATACTACTTATATCTGTCCGTATGAGTAGCATACATTAAACTAGTAGATCGTTTGAAATCTCAATGAATATTTTGTTATTTGCTCTTGTGGCCACGCAAATCGTAAACACGTTAACTTGTGATATATTTTGTCTACTAATCAGGCCATCTTTATTCACTTTTATCAAGCAACTCGAACCAGGTTTTCTCATTTTTCGCTGGCGATATTTGAACTTTGGCAAGATAGTGTGTGTAGTGTGTACTCAAACGTAGAAAGATGTACTTTTGACAGCAGTTTACATCGAGATATATGTGGCACGAGATAATTCGTGGCTCCTGGTTAACTCTGCTTGACCCTACTAGAAATAAGTAGTTTCTTGTAATTGATTTTTCTAAAAAGGAAGTTGCTTTGCCTGCTTAGTCAATTTATTTTATGATTATGTGTTTTAAATAGCTTGTCGTATGGAAAGATGTGGAATTGTTTGATGAAACCTGAAGCTTTACACTAATGAACTAAGATTAATTCACAGTTAACTTCATTCCTTAAGAAAATGGGCTCACTTTTACTATTTCAAAGGTTTGTAAACGAGGTCCTGAGGGTATTCTCTTCATGCTTGCTGTCTGCGTTCTTCTGTTTTATGTGTGTTTCTACCTATAAAATAACTTGCCATCCAGGTTTTAGAGCGCTCTTCAATCTTTTCACCTTTTGTAGTCTTACATATATTTGACGATGTATCCGCTAACGTAGTCGAAACTGCCCATCTATAATCCTATAATCCTTTAAAGACTTTTATGATTCTGATTGAACAATGTAAATTCTTATCAGCTGGATTCGCCATATTGAATTAGTCATTTTACTTGATTTTAATTATGATGAAAACAAATGTATAGATTCAGTCGGTCAATTATTTATTGATGCTGCTAGGTTTCTGATAGTGTTCGTAAACGCATTACAGAAACCGTGAGTTGAAACTATGTTTAACCAGATTTTGTTGCACTTATGGTTTGAATGCTTTTGTTGAGGAATCTAAACACAAAAAAACAATCAAGAACAAGAAGAATTGTATAAAAGCATCTGTGTGTTTATAAAATATAAATTAGTGACCTTAAAGTTTGAGAAAGTAACAAAAGTTTGAAGACGACCTTCAATCAGAGAAACTGTAAATGACATCGCTTTCAAGTTTTGAAGTAAGATTTTAATTAATTTTTAACACATTGCACTTGTATCATTTTGAATGTTTGATAAAAATCAAACTAGATTTGCTGATACTAGTCACTTATTTGGAATATATATATATATATATATATATATATATATATATATATATATATATACCAAGAATTTAATTGTAAAAGAGTTCTGAAAGTTTACGGAAAATATTAATCTTTATCTGGATTGTGTAGTTGCAGAAGTATCAGAGATATATATAAAACAGATAAATAATAGTCGTTATGATAAATGCAGGTGAGTAATCGCTAAATGTTACTTATAAACATGTATATTTATTTGCAGATTTTTGTGTAGTCTATTGATATTTATTCAACAGTGCAATAAAACTGATGCTCAGATATTTCGCAATTTATCGGTTTCTATTAAAAAACGACTGGATGACTTAATCTCATCATTAACAATAGAGGAGCTTGTTGAGCAAATGGCAAATGGTGGCGCAGGTCCAACATACGGTCCTGCACCGGCTATACCTAGATTAAAGATCAAACCCTATCAATGGCGTACAAATCCAAATCAAGGTCTTTGTACTTCATTTGTAAGTCACATTAATCAAGCTGCCTCGTTTGATATACTGGATGTCTGGAAAATCGCTTTCGCAAACGGCTTAGAAATGCGAGCTAAATGGAATCAGTTTAGTAAACAAAATAATTACCGTGTGAGTTTTTTATACATTCATGTAATAATAATTAATCTTATATTTCATCTTTAATGAAATACTTACAATATTATGTGCTTGTATGAATTATATTTTGTGGTGCCTAACAATGAAATCCTGGGTAGGAGTTTTGCTCATGTTAAAACTAATTACCATGTTGGATTTCTCAACAAACTGAAACATGAACCGCAAACTTTACACGAATATAGTATAATGCAATAGACTATTTATATGTAGTTCCTAATTACCATCAGTAATGGTCTTAAAAACTAACCTCAACGAAAACTGATCTAACCATCACTTAGCTGAACATCGGGTAATTGGTGGAAATCATTGGTCAGAATATTTTATTTACTCTTCCTTGGAAGGCCGTGAAGTACAATAAAGCCGATATGCCATTCATTAAAACTGTTTAATTTACTGTGGAGTGATAGATTTTGAATTAATGACAAAAAAATTACAGTATACGGTGAGTGATGAAACAAGTATGCAAGTCCTATGAAGAGACAACCATTTAAACCATCTTTTCGTACTTCTATCTACTTCGACTTCGCTCAAAATTCCACTGATTAAAACGGAAATGAGGAACACATCCTATGCAGTTCAGTCATGTATAAACTTATATTATTTCTTCGGTAATAATTCAGGTTGTTAAAAGTATCTAAAACCTTAGGCTTAATTAATGGAGATCAACAGGCCTGACCTCAAATAGCCACTGATTGTGAACATACATTACCATGCTAACTAAAAATGGAACATTTGAAAAGAAAATAGAAGTAGTCAGTGATCATCACTAGGATTTGTGATACCCAACTTCATACACATGTAAAGTAAGAGTAGCCGAAAACCACTGATTGAGTGTAAATCACTTGGACGCAATTTTTAAGTTCAATGATAACAAAGAGTCAGCAGATGGCTAGTTTGTTTGTGTTTTGGTATGAAATGCTGATCCGGATTTAACGTTTTACGGGAGCTATTATCTACTGTTTAGTGTGAACCTTCTGTGACTGTTAGAAACATTTCGTTACCACCACTGAGGCTTCAATAAGTTGTCTTATTCAAACGACTTTTAGGCAACTCTTCTCTACATTACGCTATCTAGAAGTTGTTAGGTAATACCCTGAAATCTGAAAATGTTTGAATGGTTATGTGACGTACAGGTAGTCTATACTATCTTTTGGATTTTGAGTGGTTTCTAATATGATCTGTCATATCAAATGCAACGACTTCTTTGTACGGTTATCCAGTTGGCCGTTTTTATTGTGGCTTGCATATGCTTACAGGGATCTGATGTTATGGTAAAACAGCAAAAATACCCATGTGAAAGAAATTTGTCATGGAGTAATGTATAATTATTTCATAATGGAAGTTTATTTGGGTGCACACTTACTATGCTAATTATTCATCGTATATATTAAATGTTTTCGAAGATATGTGTTTTGAAAAAACAAGACAGAAAACTCAAAACGACTCATTATTATTTCTTTGAAATTTTGATGAAACTGTTTGTTTTTTAGTGAATAGAATAGACCCCTCTGTGTTCTGAAAACTAATGGAAAGAGGTGATTTTTGTGAGTAAGCTTGTTATATCTCCTGAGTAAAAGTGGTCTTCTGAAGGAATCCAGGAATCATTATTTATAAATAATCGCTTGACCTTAAGTATAATTTGTATATTCACTTGCTAGATACAAAACATGTTAACTTCCTAATTATGGGGTTGTGAATAACCATTCCCTACCTTTCTTTCAGGATAATACGGGAATAAATGTGTTTGCACCGACTGTCAATCTTCTTCGGCATCCTCTTTGGGGAAGGAATAAGGAGACTTACGGGGAAGATCCATATTTGGCGGCTGAATTAGCTAGAGCATATGTACATGGGATTAGTGGTTGGAATGTACCACACGATGGCTCAATCAAGGTTAATCTCTAAATAATTGTATATTCCACTTAAATCTTATCAATAATGATTGTTGCTACTATAATTACATGCGTTTTTCTAATTTGCCTTGAGAGCTATAAAATAATATAGGCATTAAGTCTAATATTAAATTAAAAAGCTGACTACAAGTACATTTAATTTGTTTGTAAATAATATTTCATCGTTTAAAATTCCTTATTGTTAGGTGATCCAAGACAATTGGTCTGAAACTTTAGTACTAAGTTTCATTTCTAGTATCTCTCATTGGAAATTTTTTTTCGTAGTGTTAGCATTTTATGGATTGCCCACGATCTTTTAATGTTCGATTAAATAAGTGTATGATAATATTCTTGAAGAAACCTTGATGGAAGGATATTTGTCATTTGACTTTAAGTTTTTCATACTAAAAAGATGGAATGCTGGTTCTAGAGCAAAATATACACCTAACACTGTTCAACAATAGATATGTGTTCTTGGTGTATGGCTAAAATGTTCAGTTAGCTTGTTTCATTTAATTCATTAACCTTTGGTCAACGGAAATGCTATTTTAAGTTTAATATGTGACCTTTACTCTACATTACGAATATAGGTTTATTAAGTAGACTAATAAAATCATTCAATAGTAATTCATCAGAAGATAACAATATCTACTCTACAATTATACTATCACGAACTTAGGGTGATATTTTTTTGAATAATTACTGACAAGTATAAAGTCACTGAGAGTCAGTTTAAACTGTTGATCTTAAACCAATATGATGGTTAAAAATCAATTTCTGTTACTTACGGAGACAAGCCAATAGAATTATATATATGTAAAGGAAATACTTCCCATATTCTTATTTATCAAATGTATTCTGTTTTTTCCCCGGATATTGTTCAGTTGTATTGGTCATCGTCTTAAGTTAATAGGACACATAACTTTGAAAATGTAGTGGTCAACTTTCAGCATTCAGTTAGCATTCAACTGCTTTTATATGGCAACACTCAAGTGATGTCCTTAATTTATAGCGAAATTGTATTTCGGAAGACGTTATCAGCTAAAACCACGCGATTAACCAATTTCAGTGTAATAAAGGGATAAGGTCTAACTCTATACAGTAGTAAGATCATACACAATTAGAATTCGGAAGAGAAGAAAGTAAGTTGGTGTAGAAATAAGTAGGTTAGTAGTGAGTCATATAAAGTTTTTATACAGACGCATTAGGAGCTTAGAGATGATAAATTATAATTACGGGAAGAGTTTCTATTAGTTAGTTAGTGTAATTAGAAATCTAAAGAAGAAACATAACTGTTTATAAACCATTATGCGACTAATGAAACGAAATAAGTAATATCCTTTTAATATACATTTGGAATTACTATTTTTCATTAGTTATAAATAAAGAAAAAAGAATTTTCAGAAACATTAGTAGTTTCTTACGAACTGTGATCATCAGTCCCGTTATGTGTTATTTATCTCAATCAAGTTTTAAATGACCAACTCTAGATGCCTCACCTCAACTTCTAAACAAACGACATGACCGATTATTGTTAACTGTAGTAGAACATGTTTTCCTTTCAATGACTATCTTCTCGTAAGCATACTCTGATACGTTAGTTACAGATAAGCGAATTCCTCTGTTTATCTTACTGATTAAAACACGAAGTTACTGCCATTGTTCGGGCTTTTATAGTTAAACAGGGCTGACAATTTCAGTTGCTGTTTGTATGCAGGCTCGCTGTATTTAATTTATAATTTTCTTGGTAATCATAAGTTGACTATTGTAAAGGTAAAGGTAAAGGTAATAAAATGTGTTTGTACTGTCTGTAAATCTATAGATTTCTAAATGATATTTGTCTAGTTCGAGCTCTATAATTAAAATGGAATATATACAGCCTGGGTAGTACAACAGGTACCAAGAGCTTAAAATCTTATTATTATCTTCTATCACACATAAACAGGATGGCTGACTGTATTTTAATTATTATGATATTTAATATACAGAGTTTAGACGTTGTAACTCTTTGTAGAGCACTGAAAAAACAATCTGGAAGACAAATGAACATAAAATTGTTTATTCTTAATTTATCCCTATACTAATTTCCATCAGGTAAACTTACTAACAATAAATCCAATCAGACAACATGTTGTATTGGTTGGTGCAAACTGTAAACACTATGCTGCGCATTCCGGACCAGAAAACGATCCTGTTTCAAGGTTATCTTTTGAAGCCGATGTTCCGGAACACGATTTGTGGATGACCTATTTTCCTGCTTTTCGCGCATGTATGGAAGCTGGAGCTGTTGGAGTTATGTGTGCATATAGCGGAGTGAATGGCACACCAGCTTGTGTAAATCACTGGCTATTAGATACTGTACTTCGGAAGCAGTGGAAATATCCAGGTTTGTGATATAAAAACTAACTTATATTCATTCTATCACCATATTATATTTTTCAAAAAAATGTTTGATGTTTCATCTAGATTCATCATTTATCTGTTTTCACATGTGTAGTTTAGATGCCTTGTTTTATCCATCAATGTATTTATGATATTTAAACTGCTAGACAAGAAGTCAGTTATTGGAAAAGATATTTGATCCGAGTATTAGTACATTTCAAAGGTAGCCACATAAATATGTCCTCGTAAAATTTATTAGCTTTGTCTAGTTTTGGTGTAAAGAAGACAGCTTACCTAAACTAGTTTTGCCTTTCAAACAGAATTGCGTTAAGTTAGACATTATACTGCTAAACTATCAAACTGTATTGTCTTCATCATAGAAGAGATAAGTTAGTTGGATAATTGGATAATTAATAGTTCATATTATTTAGGAAATAATTTTAGTTATGGCATACTTTCTCAAACATGAACTGTGACTGAATCCGAAAAAAACTCATACGAAGATTCTATTAGAATCGGAACCGTTTTTATAACCAGTAAGTCATCAGCCATATGCAACGTAGAACCTATGTATAAATAGTTCTATTCTGTACTTTTTAACCATCGAGAAGTGATTACAGTAATGGCTTTCAGTTCAATTAATCTTATTCAATATTTGCATGATTTTTCCCCAATTTTCCAGGTTTTGTAATCAGTGATGAAGGTGCCTTGCAATTTTTGATATCGAAACATCATGTTTATTCGTCTTTACAAGAAGCTGCTTTAGCTGCAGTTAAAGCTGGTGTAAATATAGAAAATGCATTACCTAATAATGTTAACGTTTATTCTGAATTATTAAACCTTACAAAATCTGGTAATGTGACTGAAGATGAATTACGAAATCTAGTTCGTCCTTTGTTCCTTGCTAGAATTCTAGAAGGTGAATTAAATTCGCCAGAAATGGATCCATATGCTCATTTATTACCCAGTACAGTATGTTTTTGTAGCACTTTGATAAATTTATATTTTGTTTTCTAAGTAATTAGAATCAGTTTTGATATTAATGAAGATAGCTTATAGAAATTTTCATACATAAAAATCTCATTGCGACAGTCAGTCAGAAACGACAAAAATATACCTTGGTTTTTGCAAGAATGAATATTACGGTATTCATAACGAAGATGCTTGAAAAGATAACCGATGTAATATTGAAGTTTTCTAAAGAAGTGATCAGTCTTACTAAACTGACTATTTTTTAGCTTCCTAATGGATCCTTTACAGAGTCATGCTTTTCACATATAAAGTTATCTTTAAACTGAAAGACACCACCATAGCACCAAGCATACGCTATTGTCTTTGATAAGGTTATTAAGACAACCATTGTAGTATGTAAATTCAATTACAGAAAATTTCTTAGCATCTACGTTTTTCTCCTCCATTAATCTGACATCATATCTTAAATGGATAACATGTTTAGATTTTCCAGTCAAATTTTCAGGAAATAATGATAATCCTTATTCTTAATTTAACAAATGATGTAGAAAAAATTCGCGATCAGATATTTGAAATAATGATGACCAAGAGCGATCAAAATAAACTCTATGTATAATGTATTTTCACTTCAAATAACTGGTCGGAAACCATGGGAAATTTTATATTCGTGTGGCGAAACTTGCACGTATTATTTTTGCTTTCTTTGTTACTCAGTCTACTACAAACATATCACTTACTACTCAAATGGGCACCGTAGTTTCTGTTATTAAACAAAGTTGAACAAAAATGTCTGCTAAAAGCTGGTGTTCACGTTGGATCAAGAAGAATGATAAGAAAATTCTATATTACATGAGTAAAAACTGCAATATTTTTGGTAAAATTAGGTTAGTTTCCTTCAAGAATATAATATAACTAATTCTTAAAATTCAGCTGTATTATGCCATATTACGAGTAAGCCAACTACAAGGATAATGAAGTTTGAATGACCAAATAGTGAGCATGTGACTTACGAGTTAATTGCAAGATGCCAAATATCCAGATTTCATCAAGTTTTGATTCATAGGTATACTTTTGAGAAGTTATAATTCCAGTGTCAGTCACTTGTAAATACACTGATAATCCATAAGCTTCTACTCACATCATATCATATGGAAATACATAATGGGTTGAAGTTGAGTAAATACCATGTTACAGGGAGGGTGGGGAGAGTCCTCATTCCTCCTTGAAATACTTTCTTATGACCGTGTATATATAGCCACTCCCAGGGAAATCCCACTCACTTCTTTCCTGCAGTGAGGATGTTGTTTACGAAATTAAGAGGATGAAAAGCGAATGTTAGGCGCCCAGACTAGATTGGTGGGTAGGAGGGGACCTACTTCGAGGAGTTGGGAAACCGTGACTCCAAACCAATGGTTCACATGAGCTCTAGAATACTGAGGTACCCAAAGGGGTTACCGTTGGATCGCATATCCTAACTTTATTCTACTGCTTTATAGATTAGATCTTTAGGTCAAAGGCTCTGAAAGTGGGTGCCTTAAGGAGACCACCTGCTTCACTCTCGGACCTAGGGCAGTGTCCGAGCCCATACACAAACTAAATGATTACTATAACTAAAGAAAACCATTTACACCGTGGTCCTCAATCCTGCAAGTCATACTCCAAACTATTTGTTAATATTCGTTTTTATCATACACTGCGTCACTTATTCATTCGCCCTTTGTTTACTTTGTTATTTTACAAACCACACAATAGTCCACCTGTAGTGGAAATTCTGTCCTTTCTAAACGATCCTAAGTCACTGACTGGTCGGAAGTTGAATGTTACCACCGAATACGAATTCTGAAGTAGTCTTTCTGAAATTATATGTGGCTTTTAAACTAGACTCCTGCAACACTCGTACAATAATGCAGATCGGACAACAGATAGGTTTGGTTATGTCTTTGGAGGTCCTAACACCGATGTCTGTTGTCTATCTGATATTCATACTCAAGACTAGTGAAATACTACAAATTCGCATGCATTTGTCTGGGGATCCTGTGACACTTTTTCCAGATCTCACTGGAGTTGTTGCCACAGAGTTGCGGCAGAGTAGAAAAACCACTAATCGACCAGATCCAGATTGGCAGTTGGTTATGTGCTGTTAGATTAGAATGGTTCAGCAAGTGGTTGTGAAAAACAATGCCTTTTCATCATCCACGCCTACGCTCCGACAGATTACAGCCCAAATGACGTCAATAGGAGTTTCACCATCAATTAACTATCCTTCTATAAAAAGTGTGTTCGACAGATATTGAGACTTGTGTTCACAGACCGGGCATCTAGGCACAGAAGAGAGTCGTTTACGTGACCGATGGGGACTCGATGGTCGCAGGTTAGATTAAGGTGATCGTCTACTGCAACTGTTCGCAAACTAAATCCTTTTTCTGGCTATCATTAACAACCGACAAAGTTATCACCGAAGTGCTACCTGGTGTTCTCCCTCTACATCTCAATGCTAGACTCAGAGTGATCACAAAGTCATCAGCTACAGCTGAAGTGGTTGTGTACAAAACTACCGCTCCTTTTGGAGTACCTATCTGAACCCTGATAATGCCCATGTTTGCGCTAATCTTGCGTTGCGTCTCAGTGGTGAACAAATTCATCTTCCTAAAAGGAGCAATGTCAGTAAATTGGTTGCAGCTCCTGTCGCAACTAAATATCAAACCGAACATGATTCAAGGTTAGCTATTAACGCAGTGGAAAGTATGGATAAGAACTTACAGCTTTGCATGACCCTATGAAAATGGCAAGCAAAGTCGCTTGTGGCTTCACGAAACGTCCTGCTCATAAGCATTGAGACTTTACAGGCTCTTTACAACTCGTTGAGACACGTTTGTCTACTCCGAGTGACCACAAGTTTGACGATGAACGAAGACTGTTACGTAATGAAATTTTTGTAAGTTTGCGTAAGGGCAGAGAAGCTTGGCGATGGGATAACGCTAACGAGTTGAAAGCAGTAGCTTCACTCAGTAGCTGCCGGAAGTTCTTTCATCTCATCCGAGACACTGGCAACAAGTAGTCTGGTGTGAGCGAAACAACCTGTGAAGCTGACAAGATGCCAATCAGTAACATCAAACGATGTCTTGGACGATGGACAGAGATTTTTGAGGAGCAGTTCGACCGGTCTGCTGCCCCGATGACTTTTCTGTGTTCCAAGGCCAGTAAAGGCTGATTCACCCAACGAAGAGGAAGTCTGCCAGAAACTCCAACTCTTGAAGCGCTACAAATCACTAGGCCCAGATGGCCTAACTCCGACCCTTTTTAAAGATGGTGGTGACTTTCTGGTTACGGAACTGGCTTAGTTGTTCGCAAAGGTCTGGCAATTAGAGACTGTTTTAACATCATGGAATGAGTTGATAATCGTCCTTGGAAGGCTCTTTTTACAAATAGTTTAGAAGTTCATGTATCTGGGTAGCCGCGTAAGTACTGGTGGTGGCGTGAGTAATGAGATCGATTCATGTATAGTGAGAGCCAAAGAGGATTTTGTCAATCTGAGCGATCTTTGGTGTATTTGTGATGCTAGCCTTGCAGTAAAAGTTCCGATCTACAACGCGTCGGTGAGTGCAGTTTTCTCTATGCCTATGAGACCTGACCTCTCAGAGTTCAGGATGCTAGACGACTCTGTTCAATGATTTTCTACTCTGATGGATTACTTGCGTACATCGGTAGCACTATGTTAGTAATGCAGAGGTTCGGCAACGTGTGTTGAGGTACAGCGACGATAGTCCGATTGATGTAACTATCTTGAAACGTCGGCTTCGGTGTCTTGGACATGTCTTAGGAATGTTGTCCATGGAATTCCACGTCGAGCATTATCCGCCGACGCTGGGAATGATTACGAAACGCGAAGCGATGGTAAGTTTATGATTTACAAATTGAAGTTCTATAGGACTGGCGTCTGCCGATCCTTCATAACTTTTTGGTTAGGGTCCTAGAGATAGTTGAGCACTGTCCTTAGACGGTATCGGACATGGTTTAGAATATAAGGTATTTGTTGTCCTACTGTAATTATCTTTTACTTGCTTCATATAACAGTAAAGTAACTTCTTTAACTGAAAGAATCCATTGTGGTTGTATTTTTGTTAACTGAATCAGTTCTTCGATTGTTATTGTTTTATACTCTCGCCTACGTTTTTATTATACTCACCTTGCTTTCTCTATCTCCTCACAATCTCATTTTTGTTACGTGGTTCACATTTATTTTGGTGACACTTTATACCAATATTTATGTTGGAACATATAAATAGTCAAGCAAAATGATCCTCTTAAATTATCTTAACTTTTCAAATTCTATTTAATTATTTTGGTTGTAAGCAGCTTACGAGAAACCTCGAAATATTATGAATTCATACTATTCTGCATCAATGTTTGTTCTGGCTCTATTTAAATTCATAAAGGAAACCAATTGCATGAAAATGATCTGTTATGTAATATCTTAATAACCAAACTGTAGGATGCTTTTAGTTCGGTCATTATGATATGGGATGTATGCAGACTTGCGTATTATTATTATTAGAGGTGGTTTTAAACATATATTAAATATTATCGTCAGTTTTACTGAAGCTCTGTTTGATGCTGCTAAAAGTGTAAACATGACACTTACGATTTTCTTAGGTTGTCAAGAGTGATAAGCATAAATATTTATCGTTGGTTTCTGCAGCCAAAACAATGGTACTTTTGAAAAACTCTGAAGAATTCCTTCCACTTAAAATGAAACCAGATACAAATGAACGGCCGTTAAAACATGTTGCCTTACTTGGACCATTTTCAAGAAATATCAGTGAATTGGTTGGAAGTTACACTAAACACATTGATCCGGCTGATACAGTTCCATTGGATAAAAGTAAGCTAACAGATACATACATGACAATCACATCTTATATATAACACTGCAGAATACTTCATAAAGTGGAAATTGTCAAGCAAGTAGTATGATTTTACCATCAGTTTACCTATAAAATTCTATTAGGGTCATTTTGATGAAGGAAAGGTGCAGTATCTGACAGAAACGGCAAATACATAAAGTTAGGGAGAGTTCTCTACGTCGTAGTTATTAAAACGTTAAATCAGATGGCCTCGGATACCTTACGAGGCTCTAGAGCACAATGCATAGTTTCCACAGATTATTTATGAGGTTCTAAAACTCACTTTCAACCAGATGAAGCGTTATTTAGGTTACTGTCGAAATTATATTCAAGCTTATCAATTATCAGTCTTTATATTATTTTAATACGACCAAGTTGTAAGCAACTGTTTTCTGTTCACTTAATTACAAATATTTGCTATTGACATGAAAATTTAAATCACAGAACTGTATATATTGTCATGAAGTACATCAAAGTTGTGTTGCATCTGATCTGTAAACTGGCATGAAGCATATCACATAAGTACTTATACTGGCACATGTTGAGTATTACTACAAAAAATCATTTGTATAATATTTGATTGCTGTTATGAAAACTTTGATGATAAAAACCGAGATTGCAGTAAATTATTTATGAATGACCTGTTTATTCTGGAGTTCCTATATTCATAAAGTAATTGTTGATTACTGTATTAGCATTGGAATTATTTTTGCTGTTGGTTTGTTTCACCCATTCGGTTTATCATTAATATGTATGCTATGATAACACTGACTCTTTCCACGTTACATTTTGTAGCTCTTGAAAAAATAAGTGAAAACGTTACTGCTTCAGATATTTGCATTGATGGTGGGAAGTGTACAATGTACGACGATTTAGCTATCCAAGAAATACTTTCCCAACCAGATATTGACCTTGTTATCATAACCATTGGCACGGGACGAAATGTTGAAGACGAAGCACATGATAGACATAATCTGAATCTACCTGGACATCAGAATGAATTTTTATTAAGTACACTAGATATGGCAGCCGGTCGGGGGATAATTAGGCGCAAGCCTGTCCCAGTAGTTTTATTAGTCTTTTCTTCTGGACCAATTGATATTGAGCCAGCAGTGGAAGATGAAAATGTATGTTACTTTACACGTATCAATCAATGGGCATTTTTGAAAAGTTAATATTTGAAACGAAGTAATAATCATGACACTATGGTGGTCAGTATTCAATATAATCCTTAAACTTCGTATACAGTTCGTCTTGATAACCGTCACTAGATAACGCCCCAACGGTATATTAATCAGAAGACGAATACGAAGTGTTGATTACGTTTATTATAAGACCACACACAGATATCCAAAATTACAGATGCGTTAAGCAAGCATGAAAGAGTTGTGTCGAAAAGCAAGCAGGCAAGTGAGCGAGTAAGCGAATATGAGTATGAGTGAGCGAGTACAAATAAGAGAGAGAGAGCAATGAACATGAATAGCATGGACATATATATACATAGTGAAATGAATGAATCATCGAATCAATTAAGCGAATAGTAGTAAAGCTAGTAGCGTGAATAAATGCGTAGGCAGTAAGCAATGCTCAAGCATACATGTTCATACATTCGCAACAATAATAAAGATACAACGATATAGATAAGTGTCACTGGTTGAAATTATGAGTCGATTGAAGCTAGACCACCATGGAAAACCTGGAAGCACTGGACGGCCGTTTCGTCCTAGTATGGGACTCCTCAGTAGTGCACATCCACGATCCCTCACCCCACGAAATTCGAACCCGGGACCTATCAGTCTCGAGACTGTGCTTCCAGGTTTTCCATGGTGGTCTAGCTTCAATTGACTCATGATTTCAACCAGTGAAATTTCTAAAAATCACCATAAAATGACTTAATCGAATTAAATGTGAACAAACTCAATTGCACGTGAGTCGCTATAACACATTAAAAGGAGATTGGATTAACTATTCCGTAATGTGCATGTTATTGAATAGTTTAGTATAAATCAGTCAAACCTAGTACACTAAATAGAGCTTATTTCCAATAAACAAGTGGCTTGATGTTATTTCAGTAATAATAAAGCTGAACTTTATTCTAATGTGGTATTGTAGACTTTGAAGTTTACCAGTTGTTAAATGCTTACATTTATATGGTGATAGTTTAACATTTGAAACTGACTCAATTCAAAATCATTCTGGACAACATCCAACTTCATAAATAATTTGTTATATTTACCACAGGACGTGATTATGTGTAATAGTGAACACTGCTAAAAAAGACAATAAAAATAAGACAATTTTTATTTGACTGTTTTCGGTAGTTTTTCAGATAGTATCAATTTTTAACAAGAAATCGTTATTATGTATACAATATTTGCACGCTCTTTTTTGAAATCCTCTTCATACGCTGGATACGGACAAATTAAGTCTGCCTGACTGAAACATCGTGAATCTAATTATTAAATGAAGTTAATAATAGTTCATCGATATCATTACTTCATATTTTGGCTACTCCAACTAATCTCTAACGCTTGGGTGCTTCAATCATTTGTAAGATTCCAAAATCGAAACGGAAAGTTTACTAAGTGAAGTAGTAAATTACATGATTTAGAACTTGCGGTTATGTTTTCTCAATTACAGTCAAAAATTAGAGACAAATCGATAAATCAGAAGAGGGTTTTGTGGAGATTTTAGTAATTTAATAGTTCAATTCATGGGTCAATTGAAGCTAGACTCATGAATGCAAATACTAACTTGCTAAAATCTCCACAAAAGCCTTTTCTGATAATAACTATGATGTGCTCACTTGTAAATGACTTCAAGAGGAATTTCCTGGAGTTCTTGTGAGAAGCCGTGACCAGTGGAGTTCAACCAGGTCTGTTATGAGATAGTAACTCACTGAAGACAATGGTGGACGGTGGTGCGATTTCGTGAGTTGGTTGAAGCTAGACATTAATACCGTTGGATGCCAACTCAGTGATCTAGAGGTTAAGCGTTAGCGCGCGAGACTGACAGGCCCTGGGTTCGAATATTGTGGGGTGGGATCGTAGATGCGCACTACTGAAAAATCACATACCAAGACGAAACGGACGTCCAGTGCTTCTAGGTTTTCCATGGTGGTCTAGCTTCAATTGACTCATGAATTTAACTATACAATTGCTAAGTAAAATAAATATTGTTTATTAAACAACCTTCCAATATATCAGTCATCTTATGCCAATTATTTTAATCGAATTGCTATTTTTATATCACACACATCTGACTAACTTTACTTTATCATCACAACTTCTAAGTTTGTCAGACAGATTACTTGTGTTTGAATTGTTTTCCTTTCCACATCGATGAAATATTCATGTGATTGTAGAGTGAAGATATGTCAATCTGTAAAGCAACAATAGAATTTGTCTGAATTATCGGTTTTGAAACCATGTTTCTTATACATCTAAACGGCCCTTTTTCATATTCTTTATTTTTGTAGTAAGATTAAAGGTAAATTATTCTAAAATGTTATAAATTTATACTTTTTTCTTTGTGTCGTTTTCCAGCTGTATATACAATGGTTAAAATGTGGGCAAACTGATATAAGTAATGAAGATCAGTGGGAATGCACTGCACCTAATATTCAATTGGCAGGCTTTAAACGTATTCGACTAGATGTTGGCGAAAAAAAGGATCTTCATTTTCAAATATCCCCAGACCAGTTAAGTGTATGGTCTAATCAACATAAATCCATGGTTCCTGGTCAAGGCACTCTCCGTATATCAGTTGGAGGACAACAACCTGATCAACCAGTTACAGTTGGATCAAACTATTTGATTGGTATAGTTAAAATAGATCACATATAGCTGGAAAAGGCTTGGAACTTAAAACAAGGAATGAGTTTGTTATCAATTAATATTGCTCTATATTTGAACTCAATGGATAATGGTTGATATTAAAATATATAATTTGAATATAGCAAAATTTTCTGCTCTTTAAGTAGACGATTGATTACAAGAATTCCTATTCTAACTCCCCATAAAAATAAAATTTCATGAACTATTATTATTTGGTATTTTTAAAAAAGCTGATAAACAAAAGTGTAAGCTAACGTGATTGTGCTTGTCGATTAACTTATCATCACTATTAAACAAATAATGGGACTTGATTATATTCCAACTCACTTGTCATCTATCATTCAGAAAGCGTTATTATTAGGGATACTATCAAACAGAGAATAATCTTCTGTGGTAAACCAAATTAGGGAATTACGTGCTACGAAAAAATTAAGTAATTCATCGTTTGAAATGTAAGTCCTATTTAGGAATCCCTGATTATGTGACAAAAAATGGATCGTTTCTTGAGGCTAACAAGTACTTTTAATGATCCTGAATTAAAGCAATTAATTTTAATCGGACTTTTTCTATTGAGCTCTGAAGTTATGTATGTTGATCGTGTGAGACACATATACTTCATTAGTTTCCCTTTAAGTACCAATAAGGCATTCTTTTTGTTGCTTTAGCAGCGTATAAATCTTGGTTCTTTAAGAAGCAGCAGCATGTGCTATCCAGTTTCCTACTACTCAACATGCCCCTCTCTTTTTTCAGAAGTGATTCGTGTCGTCACAAATTTAAATTTCTCTTATTGAAATTCAGCAAATCTATTTCACAATTTTAGAAAACACACACAATTTATTTGAATGCATGAATGAATAAAATCATGGTCATCAATGAAAGCAGCAAACCAAAATTAATTAGAACGACTCTAATACTCTCATTAAGAGATTTGTCGATATACACAAAAAAGTGTCTTTAGATTTCTGACTACTGAATGTTCTTAAATGTTGATTTATTGACTAAATTTTGATAATCGGTAGAAGTCAATCTCCACTTACCTATTACTGAGAATGTCCTCAAATGTACTTAAAATCTTTAAAACTTAACGCAAAATTGATTTTCTGAACTGATATTTTGGATTAATCATGATTTTTAAAGCAAGCTTCTGTTCCCGTAGAGAAAATTCGTTTTTTTAGCATGGTTAAGTAAAATATGTATCAATATGAAGTTTTAGACAGTGACTCACCACTCAAAGTAAGTTGAAAAATAAGTGATTCTGACTGACTTGTATCCCTCACTCTCAAATTGTAACAAGTCACTGCTTTTCTTTTATATCTTTCAGTGATTTCGAATTCCAAGTCTATGTAACAATGTAATCTATCAAGCATCTTTAATGTGTAAGTATGTTCATCATATAAGTTGGAAACTGTAAATCGCATTATTTTGCCGTGTTTCATATATCACACCAGAAATTGTTATTCTTCTATTTATCACTGATTATTATTAGTGATGCCACTAAATAATTAATGCTGAGATTAGAATAAAAAATTTAGATTCTTCGACAGTAAATTACTGAAAAATTCCTGAAAAACTATACCATGTATTTAGATTATGTCTACATATTTAGTTCATTTGTGAGTTTATATTTAATATGTAGTAGCTTATCATTAATTAAATGTATGTATAAAGCCTAATCGATCATGCTAGACTATGGTGCACGTATAACGGATCGATAATAGTTGTAACGTATTTAGACAACTGGCTGATTTTCTGTGACATTTTCTTCTTTTAGGTTGTAATACAGATTTGGTCACAGATAGCTAATAGCCAAAATAAATAATACTATCTAGTGTGCCTTTTCATTTATTCATTTATTTAAAACTTCTAAAACCACTTAATAAATAGAAAACATTCAGAACTAAATGCGAATTTCTCTCAAAGGTTATATATTCTGCGTCATAAAGTCATTTCCAAACATTTCATGTGCGTACCACATCATATAGTATTAGTATTAAATCTCAATAATTGTGTTAATTCAGATGATCGAAATGTTCACAATAATGAGCTTTTTCTTGTACTCTTGGATATGTAGTAGATTGTATTCAACTTATTCAAAATAAACAACTCTATTTATCTCATTGTACTCACATAATAATGTGTATCTAAGGTTTCTAAATATTTTTAAAAGTCAGATATGGGTATAATCATTTCTGTAATATTGTAACAAATGGAAAACAACGTGTTCGAACAAAATCGTTCATTTTAACTAAAAAGTTAGAATGATTTCTTTTACTTAATAATTTTATAAAGCAAAAATGATATTGAGGTTAGCTAGAAGCAGTATTGTCAAATTGAGACAAAATATTAGGGTATTCATGATATAAGGGAGTCATTTTCTTTCATCTATTAAACACGTAATGCTGAATTTAGACCAAAGTTGGATAGTGACTACATAAATTCAGGATGATTCATTATTTCCACATAGTTTCAAAAAAGTGTGTTAATAGACTTGTTAACTGGAGAAAAAAAATTAAATATAACTGGGGCTTAAAAACCTTGAATTCTTCACATTCATAGATAGCTAGAGATATATCAACCATGTTTATATCAAACCCGTGAAATAGATATAACATATCTCCTTATTAAAAGATTTATTCTAAGAAAGCTTTTATTTGCAATATGAATTTCATACAAGGTTATTTGACATAATCTTTAAAATGGAAATCAACATACAGATTATCGATTCAGTTATTCAACATTTCGTCATTTTGACACTCATGTTTAGCTCCGAAAGGCCCCTTAGCTCATGTTTATTTTAAACTATTTCTAAGTTTCAAATAATCATTCCTGTGATGCGATACAGAAACATGAACATTTTTTTTCAATACACTGATTACCTAGATAGAATTTTATATCATCATTCAAATTCACAAATTAGAAGGACGACCTATGGACTAGTTACATTGATAAAGTAGCTGCATACTATAAAAGGCAAATATTGGGCTTAGCTGAACTATTGGAAATGCACAAATAAAAGTTGTCTACCTGTTGTGTTGTTCTATTCTGGTGGTCAGCGGAGTAATTGTGAGAAAACTGCATTCTGGACCAATAGTTGCCAAGTATTTATGTCGGTTGTTACCTCATTATCATAGTGTCACTGGTTATTAGACAGTAATTAGCCCTATGTTGGAAATGAAAGCGAAATTATCGATAATCTGACTAAATCATACAATTCTTGATATAATTACGGGCCCCAGTACAAAACAAGAAACCTATTCTTTTTGACGTCATACCTTTAAGAATAGAATTTTAAACTATTGATCCACTACTATTTAGATTTCGTAATCCAGTCAGCGTTGATCCAGTTATTATCAGTTCATTTTAGCTCACAGGATCTAGGGAAACTACGTGGTAGGTCTTGATGAAAAACCATCTTAATATTTATACATATGATTCATATTCGTTTTGCTTGTTAGTCAGTCCGTGCCAGCCTACTTATTAATTCACAATAAAACACAAACTATTAACAAATGTTGTTATTTTATGTTATTGTGTAGTGTTAGTCATTAGTTCGTAAAACGATAATATTTTTAAGTAGGTATTGGTAGCAGACAGAAGATAATGTCCTTCAGTTGTTGTTCCTGTTTTACATAGATTATTTATTAAATGAAAGCTAAAGGAGATATAAGAATTCTTCAAAACAAATGGCGAAGTACTTGTGCTACTTGCGAAAACAGTTTAGTTACAACTTTCCTTGTTTAGGTCCACTTAACAGACGATTATGGTTTACAATCTTCGTTTACTAAAAATTAGTTTTTGTATCGTATTCCATGACTTTCGTTAAATGTAACTCCCAAGTCTTTTCTAAAATAGGCAGTATAACACTCGCTTTGCCAAAAGCTCCATCAATGCCTGGTCCTATGTTCAGAATGATAAACGAGGAGAGTACCGTAGAGAGTCAATAGCCAAATAACTAAAAAACTTTGCTAGTAAATATTTAAAACAAAACTCTTGCTCTTCGTTAAAGTAACTCCGGTTATTGCTAGCCATAAAGAAGTGAAATACACCATTTTTCAAACAACCACATTATTTGATCCTTCTGTTATGGAACCTCTAAATAATTTACGATACATTATGTACTATGTTTAGCAGCTCTTTTTTACTAAGTGGTTACTGGATATTAGTCAGTATCATCCTATCCAAAATCAAACTTTTCTAACCACATTTACGGTATGGGTTCAGATACGGATGACAACATTGCAGCTGGCTGTACGTTGTTTTTAATGGTTGGATTGAGTAAACCATACGACTGAGGTCTGTTCTTCCCAAACTGTCGATGCCTTTACAATGATGTATCTGCTAACTTTAAGAAAACATTTCTCAAAAGACGTTGTTAGTGAGTGGTTCATGGTTAAAATTATATACATAACAAGATAAAACGTGCACAAGTGGAAAGATATTAACATTACTATAAAAGTGCAAATCAGATACATAGAAACTAACTATTTGACCTAGAATTTAAAAAAATTATCTACAGGAGAAATAACACTATTAGTTAAGGGGGTACATTGGAAAAGAAGCATTATTTAATACTCATGGATCTACATTCGTAAATATATTTAACGGGTCCAATTTCTAATAGTGAAATATATATACATCGAAAAATAGTAGTATAAGGTACAATTACGGGATACAAATGTAACGATATAACATTATTAACTTTCTAGCTTGAGTCTGATCATGATAAATATTGAGATAACAAGTATTCTCTTGATGATAACAATATCATGTAAAACTGTTCGAAAATATTAGAATACTTAATAGCATAGCTGGCAAGCCTTTACAATTAATGTGTATTGTTCATGTTGGTATTTAGTTAGTTCTGAATAAAATATGATTTGTTTTGGGTATGAAACCAATGTTTACAAATCTTTTGTTTATCATCTTAATACTAGACTATTAGTTAGATATTTAATATTAACACTATTTAATAAGTTAAAGACTGTTTCCGCTCAAGAACTATTACCGATAATTTTTTCAAATTTCGATTAAACCTTAGAATACTGAGTCGAAATCACCATCACAGATTGAAAGTTATTTGTTAACCAAAAAACTCAGGTCTATGGATTATTGGAGATCCCCATAAAATAATAGAGTAGCTTCCTGATGAAACTAATTTTGTGATACTTTTCAGGCATTTCAGTTTGTATCATACATTATCAGTTAACTTTATTACTGCCAATTAAAGACGGAACAGAGTTATTTCATCCGTGCCAAAGAAGTAATTGAAAAGATCCATAAGGACGATTCCTGCACCCTTCTCTGGGCGACTAGCTTAATTAAAATTATTTAGAATTAAACGAATCTTATTTTGTAGTACTTCTATATTTCATAATTAGACTTGATGAAATTTGACTTTGATCACTCGAGTTTTGTAGTTCAGTTAATAAATCCTCAAAGGAGTAATTTTAAACACCATTCATTCAAATCCATATGAACCTCATACCTTTGTTTCACTTAATTCACATCAATTATATTGATGATAAATTTCATTAAAAATTCAGTAGATTTTTAAAAGTTCCAATCGGAATTAAAATATTTAGCTTTTCGCTTGAAAGTCTGATGTGAAATCCATATGGAAGTAATAAAAAAAAACTAATATAAATATATGGTTCATAAAATGACTATATTTTAAACAGTTGTCTTACTATGTTGATATGCTGGATTTGGAATCTGTGTGAAGATAAGTAATTTGGTGTGAAATTCTGTGAAATTATGGTAAGAAAACAAATGTATCTGCACGTAGATCTGATGCGGAAAGATCATTGATCATATGGTTGGTGATAAAGGTACTCAGTCTGACAGATGTCATAAATCGGACCTATCACAGTATGTACAGAGAATAAAAAATAAGTGTATCTTTGTGTTGTTGTGTTGAACATATATAAACGTACATAATAACTGACTGGAACGAATGGATAGGCGTCTTCTTTTACATAACATCAAATAAAACGGAATTAGTAAAATAAATTCATATTTACTTTATTGACCATTAAATACTGAGGTGCAGCTAAATATGTTCCATCTCTTCTATTTGTATAGTTTGCGATTAGTCATATATGCACGCGTATTCCATAAATTAAACTCCCAACTTCTGTGAAGCTATTTGTTAAAATGTCAAAGTGAAGAAAGCTAGCATCAAATAAATTCGATTATTACATTTGTGAACATTAATTTGCTTCTCTTTACTCAGTTAAATACATATTAGGACGAAACTGAAGACAAAATTATCTGAGGCAAATCGTGGTTACTGGTTAATTCGTAGAACACCTTGGCGTAACACTCGAAAAATCTACTGAATTTGTGTCTTAGTACAACTGATACCATTTAAAGTTATTTAAAGCAGCCTGATTTTATGCGTGTTTTATGAAATAACAGTTATTGTACAAGAAGATCATCTTTATCGGCAAATAACATGATAATTTTGTAGATCAGTGGCCTTTTAAAAATAAATCACGATATATTCAGTTAAAAATATTTTTGTGATCTAGGTTTCACCATAGCAATTAAAACCTATAAGTTAAAATTATAATAACGTCATGTAATCAGTTACAAACCAGGCTACAAAAATCGTATCACATACATGTACACCTACGTGTTGCAAATTTATCATGAAAGTATTAAAAAGTATACTTTTCCTTAGCAAAGTACTGGAGTTTATGATCTTATTGTAATGTGTTTTTATGACTTAAGGATAAATCTAATGCGATAAATACCTCTGAAACTTAAAATACGTATCGGTGTTCATCCCACTTAGAAGAAGTTGATAGGAATACCTAGAAATTCACTAGTTTTACTGATCCTCATCCAATCGATTGCTATTGTTTTATGCAAACATTTATTTCTCCGGAAAGCGAAAATATTTTTTGTTGCATATTAGTTTTCCACTATCTCTCGTATGACTCAGCACTTCAATATGGACTTTACACGCTGTATTATGCAATACAGGTTTGGTATGAAAGTCAACTAAATTACTCTGTGAATGCACTAAAATAGGCGGACTGATTTAATCTGATGAACAAATAGGTGAAATTCAAATGTCTAGATACATAATAAAGCAACAGAATTTTATTGTAATGGATAACTCACTTCGAGCATCATTAGTCACAAAAAAATAATTATAGGATATTTTGTCAATATCTGTAAGAAATAATTTGTATTGTGACGTATCAGTTACACTGACTAAACTCTCAAACGACGGCTTCACTTTCCAATAATAAAGTTTCTAGTCAAATCAAATCAAAAATGTTTCAGTATTATGAATGACTAATAACAAAGCACAGAACTAATAGGACATAAAATCTGAGAAAATTCACATTCTTTTACTTCCTGTTCGCTAAAAAAGTATTTCATTGACTGTTAAACTAGAGATTTTCGAGACATAACCTTTACATAAAAACGTTCATACTGGTTGTTTGGTTTCATTGATTTGTGTTTTTTTTTCAGTAGATAAAAGAAGCTTTCTATTCAAATTTGTATCAAGTAATTCTGCTAACAATGTGTTCGCGCATAAGCAACTATCATTCCGTTCTTTGTGTAATTGGTGGGATCATTATTCAATGTACTTACGGGTACTTTTATACAATCGGTACTGTTTATATACATTAATGTTTTAATTAAACCACTGATTATATTATGTAGGTAATATGGCTCCGTACATTTTGGACTATTTTCAATACCATAATAAGTCAATTTATGATAATTCCATCATGTGGTTGACATCAGTTGCATTAGGAATGGAGGCATTAGCCATGCCAATTGGTGGAGCATTGTACCGTAAATTAGGAATCAGGGCAGTGGTAATAATTAGCAGTTTAATCCATAGGTTGGTGAAAATATTTTTCTCGATTTTTTTGTCGATATCGGTATTTATTAGTATGTTTATTATAAAAATCATTTACTTAAGAAGTATTATTTATTGCTGGCTAAGCGAAATAAGAAATAATTCTAAAAATAATTTTGACATTAAACCCAAATGATTACAAATATCAATTTGATTGATGTTAAATTTATATATAGTTGGGAACCATCTTGGTCAAAGTGAGTTTGTGTGGTTCCAAAACTTGGTCAGCATTTGTTATTCAGATAACTAAGTTCGATGACAGCATTTTTAAAAAGATTCAGCTCACACATATGAAAAAGTGATGCTCATCAGTCAATACCACGGATTTGTTGAACAGTTTGAATCGTAGATACTGGCGATTTACGTATTATTGTTTTAGTATTTTAATATAAGTGATTGCTGAATTAATAATTCATACTAAATAAGAAGAATTCTCTGCAGTTATTACATGTTCGCAATTGAAATTCAGTAAATTAAGTGAGAAATATTCTTTCAACATAGTGGGATTAGTTAAGAAGAACCATGGATTAATCAACGTTGATATAATTGTTTCTTCTCAACACAAGAAGTCGGAAAACACTTAATAGTTAGTCTGAAACGTTTTTTGCATTAACCCCTATAAACTAAAGAACATCCTCTGAGTATTCCTCTGAGTCAAACGGTGGGAAAAATTAGCCATTCATTCATGTTTACTACTTCTCTATTTGATATATCACTATCAGTCAGACTGTTAAGTGACATGAATATTGTACACGCTTTCAGACGATTCTGAAAACAATCCTAACTGTTACTCGATGGAAATGAAGGAATATATGGTCTAGAAATTTGAATAATTTCAGTTTGTAAGCAGGACAAAACATTCATTATTCAATAAAGCATCTCACATTCAAATTCACGTTAGCTGAACAGAAGTCATCTTAAATGACATTTTTACTTCTGTAAGTACGTAACTCTATAGTTAGTTATTATTCCAGTCTAAATGTGTATTATTTGGATAAATCTTAACAAAGTATATTTGTTGAATAGCACATATAACCAAGAAAGGTATTCTTTATGTTTTAGCGGAGGAATCACCTTGAGTTATTACACACTGAAATTGGGATTCATTCCATTACTGATTACTTATGGTGTAATGCAGGGTTTCGGGTTTGGATTCGGTTATTCAGCCACTATAGCTGCATCAATTGCAGTAAGTTAATGAATTGAAAGTTGTACTCTTATGTATAATAACTAGTGCCAGTTCTACGTCGTAATGTCTATGATGAGGTTATTTAGAACGGTAATGAAAATTTTCAAAATAAATCGGCTATCTTAGAAAACGGATGAAGCTTGCAAAAGTCAGTCTATCAACAATTAGCCGACAAATCACGTTGCATCCAATATATCAAACCATTTGAAAAAGTTCAACCAACAACTTGATGAAAAGTCAATGGAACAAAATAATGGACTGGAATAAACTGGAAACTGGAGACACTGAAATATACGAGGACAAGCATTCACAATCATGCTCACCGGAACAAAATGATTTAAGACTCATAGAACAACTAAGAAGCTCACTTCTACATAAAGTAAACAAAGTAACAATGGAAGTTCCTCAAATATACCATCTAGCTCAGAGAACTCGACAATACTAAAGGAATCTATCCGTGTCTCAAATCTCTATCACGTTTAGTTATATTTGTGCTTGAGTCATCATCTTGTAAGGGTTTACGTCCCAGCTCAACACGTCGGGAATTGAAGAGGTGTTAATTAATTTGTTTAACTAAATTAATTAAACATTGAGATGCATTAGCACGTATCAAAATTACAGGACGCTTTCCTTGTATGAAAATAAGAAATTTATTTAAGAGTCACTTTATATAGTTGATGTTGAATCACATTACTGTATGTTAATTTAACACTTTTTGGTAATAGTGTTATATCCGAACAAATTATTTATGGACTGTTAATAGATAAACATATTGAATAATTATTAAGTAACTAGATTATATATATATATATATATATCCGTATTCCTTATATCATAAGCTTTCATTTGACGTATTGGCTACTATTGTACGATTTAGTATTCTTAATTTATTCCCAATCTGTTAGTTACAGTCCTTAATACTCGCAGCCATTTTGGGCTTGATGTTGCATAAATATTATTTTTCATTTTCTGGCTTTATGCGGTCTGATTTGCTTATATATAAACCACGTATGTCTGAAATACACGATTCATACAGTGAAGGCTGAGATTGTTTTCTAGACTTAATGGGCAAGGTAGAAGGATCAACAGGGATTCAGAGTTAACACAAGGCTGCCAGTGTTGTTTTGACGTGTCATTGACTTAGCGCAAGAATAAAATCATATAAGTCGGTATTTGGATTGGCGACTTTGTCACGTGATAATTAACAAGGAAAATGTCATAACAAACAGATTACTCTTGGAGTTAAAGTATAGCATGATACAGTTAGACGTTTATCATTGTTTTTGTATAGAGTTCATAACCACAGTTGACGTTGATTATAAACGTTTTTTGTTCGTATTGACTTCTTTACTTATCAAGAATTTATTTATTGCTATTAATCTATTTTATACGGATGTATTATCGAATAATTAATAGGATCCGTGAAACGAACATTATTTCGATACTCTATCCCATGATTCCATTAGTTTTTATAAACCTATAGATTAATGTATTACTGACGGATAAATCATTTCCACATGCCCGACCGAAGCTGCTACCTTGACGCGGTGGTCGGGCTTGCCTATCGTGATGACCCAACCGAACTATATTGGCTGGAACATATGTTCCTGTAGGTTCTACCATGCCAGGCAGGTCGATTGGTGAACGGTGAGACTAAAAGCAGCAACTCAAGGTCTGAGGGCGAAGTCGTACTGCTGACTGTAGAGAGATGTGACAGCAGTAAGGTGTTTCTCTCGGACAACCAGCATGACAGCGATGCTGCCTTCCCACAAGGAGGGGTGGGGTTAGAAAAGATCGACCCTAAAAATGTCACACCTGATCCTTTGAAGAACGGAGCTAACACGTCAAAAACCTTCCACGAAAAGGCCGTGCGCGACTGGCCTCAGGTAGTTGTCCCTTGGGATCTGCGGTCACGCTCCCAGGTCGTTAAGACCAACACTAATCCGATTTCCTTTTCAGGTTCCTCAAAAAATACCCTTTCACTGTGTGGGCAGCCGGGAAGTGACATCAGCCCTCATACCCGTAACAGCACACGAGACAAAGTTGGTCACATTCAAATCCTTTCTACACCTCCTAATACCTCTCTTATCTCCATGACTAACCCTCCTCACGTCTCTTTATCACCTCGCACCGCTAGGGCAAACGATTCGAGTACGCGGAACGCTATTCCTGGTCTCCTGAAACCCTGCTCTAAACTACACGTAGGAGCTTTTAACGTACGAACACTGTGCCAAATAGGACAGCAGGCTTTCTTAGCCAGGACTTTAGAATCTCGCGCCATCTATGTGTGCTGCGTCTCCGAAACGCGCATACAGGATCCGAGTAGCGTCATTCATTTGACCTCACCATGCCAAAATAAAGAACCGACTCGATTTACGCTTCGTGTATCTGGAAGACCAGATGCTGCTTCTCGTAAACTCGCCGGCGTAGGTATAGCATTGAGTCCTAGGGCAGAACTAGCTCTCTTAGAGTGGATCCCAGTAGACAGTAGTTTGTGCGCTGTCCGACTAAACGGAAGAATAAGGACTCGGAAAGATAGGGACACTCGTCGTTGCCTCTTCGTCGTCTCTGTCTAGTCTCCCACTGACTGCAGCTCAGATGATGTAAAAGATGAGTTTTACAGAAAGCTCTCCGACCTTCTCCGAAAAGCAAAGCGCTCGGATGTAGTAATAGTGGCCGGTGACTTTAATGCTCAAGTAAGTAAACTAAGCGATAGGGAAAGACACCTAGGTGGATTTTATGGTGTCGTGGCTCAAAGAACAGATAATGGCAACCGTCTGTTGCAGCTGTGCTCAGATAACTGCCTGTTCCTTGCAAATACTAACTTCAAGCATAAGGAAAAACATCTTTTAACATGGCGACCCCATAATTCGTTCCAACGTTGGACTCAAATAGATCACATCGCTATCAGCCACCGATGGAGGGGCTCGATAGAAGACTGTCGCTCATTCTGGAGCACATGCTTAGATTCAGATCATGCTCTAGTGCGAGCGCGTATTTGCTTGCGTCTTACTGGACGTAAGAAAGACGCTGCAAGGAAACCTCTTAGGGGCCTACTTAATGATAGTCAAGCTGAGATTATATTTCAGGAACAACTAGGAAAACGGTCAGGCAGCCATGTAGGTGAAGCCCATCCCGAGGCAGCATGGAATGATATCCGAAAACCTGTGGAAACAGCAGTGATATCTGCTAGTACGGTAAACCGTAAGGTTAGGGAACAACGCTGGATCTCAGCAGCATCAACCGCACTGATAGATGCTCGGAAACTCATTCCACCTGGCTCTGAACATAATGAAGAGCGGAGTCAGCTTAAGCGCAAGCTGACAAGAAGCCTACGCAATGATCGCGAACAGTGGTGGGTGGCGAAAGCAAGAGAGATGGAAAAGGCAACGGCAATAGGAAATAGCAGACAATTGTTCAGACTTGTTAAGGAAACCGGTATTAGGAACAATCTCAGAGGAAGATGGACATATAATACATTCTCAATCCAGGAGACTGAATCGATGGGCAGAACACTTTAGGGATCAGTTCAACTGACCTTCAGCCACACTTCCGTTTCCCACCATCTCCAGTCAACCTGAATGGCAAGATAATGTAGGTCCTCCGTCCCTTTACGAAGTTGAAAAAGCCATAGGAAATCTGAAACGAGGGAGAGCAGCAGGCCCTGACAGGTTTACTCCTGAGATTTTTAAGGATGGTGGTCCAGTATTAGCAATGAGATTAACCGAGGTCTTAGGTAGAATTTGGGAACTGGACGCAATCCCATCTGACTGGTCTCAATCACTGATTGTGCCAGTCTATAAGAAAGGACAAAAGTCCTCTTGTGACAATCACAGAGGAATCAGTTTGACTAATATAATGTCTAAAATATTAGCTTCAATAATACTTCGACGCCTAATCAAAGCTCGTGAAGAGCAGATTAGAGAAAACCAGGTCGGTTTTCGACCTGGACGTGGTTGTATAGATCAGATATCCACACTACGTCAGGTTCTAGAACACAGACACACATTCAGACGCCCCACAATGGTAGTATTTTTCGACCTTAAGGCGGCATTCGACTCTGTTGATCGTGAGGTTCTAAGGCAGTGTTTGTCACTGAAAGGAGTACCAAAGAAGTACATTAACCTTATAAAGGCTCTCTACTCCAACACAACTGGTAGAGTGACAGCTTATGGCGAACTGTCATCAGAATTGATTACCTCAAGTGGTGTTCGTCAGGGCTGTCCACTCTCCCCATTCTTGTTCAACTTTGTCATTGACGTACTTTTAGAGATAACACTCTCCTCATCTAAATTTCCAGGGGTTGAACTTGTACCGGGAGGTTCTTTTGTTGACTTAGAATATGCCGATGACATAGTTCTATTTAGTGAAGACGCTGACAAAATGCAGAGTCTTCTGATCACTCTAAGCAACAATGCAAGCATGTTCGGCATGCGATTCTTACCCTCGAAATGCAAAATTTTGCTTCAGGATTGGGTTGCATCGAAACCCGAACTAATGATAGGGAGTGAAGTAATTGAGCATGTCGATCGCTCCACTTATCTTGGGAGTCTCATCAGCCCTTGTGGCCTGGTGTGTGACGAAATCTCAGCACGGATACAGAAAGCTCGACTAGCTTTTACCAACTTGCGTCATTTATGGCGTAGGCGAGATATCCGTCTATCAACCAAAGGACGTGTTTACTGCGCAGCAGTTCCTCCCGTTCTACTTTATGGCAGTGAAACATGGCCAGTAAGAGTAGGGGATATTCGTAGGTTACTAGTATTCGATCATAGGTGTCTTCGAAACATTGCTCGTATATCCTGGGACCATCGAGTAAGTAACGCAGTTTTTAGGAAGCGGGTACTAGGTATGGATGGCAAATCGATTGATGAAGTAGTGAAACTTCATCAGTTGAGATGGCTGGGACACGTGTTACGTATGCCCAACGACCGACTGCCTCGACGTGCGATGTTCAGTGGTATAGGAGTAGGTTGGAAGAAAGCTAGGGGCGGCCAGACCAAAACATGGCACAAATCCATGAAGTCACTGACAAGTGGACTGAGTCATGTTGGTAGGTGTAGACTACCTGGTTGGGGACCGCGAGATGATAGCAACCGATGGTTAGAGACCCTGAATGACATGGCTCAAAATCGTTTGCAATGGCGCAGGTGCATCCACTCTCTGTGTTCTCCCAAATTCTAATCTTCTGAATTCTTCATGTCCCTTTTTTCCTCTTTCCAAATTTATTTCACTGGATTATACTCTTTAAATAACATCTCCAAACCCTAATCTTCCCGATTACTGCTTATACTCTTACTACCTCTACGATTACGGGATTTGAATCGACAACTGCATCTCTGTGCTAATGTGGTGTGACAACTCGAAGTGATGTACGTACATACGAAGTTCTACGTTGTACTGACTGACTGACTGTCAAGTTTTAAAAATATGCATATTTATTTTGTTCTCCTTTTCATCAGCTGTATTCCTATATTCCTATCAACAAGAATGCTTCTGATACTTTGTCTTTCTTCTATTCAATAGTGGTTTCAAAACAATCGAGGTTTAATTGTTGGCCTAATTGTTGGTGGTTTCGGGGCTGGTCCCATCATCTTTACATCGATTCAAACAATATACATTAATCCAAATAATATCAAGACAGATGACAAAACAAAGTCAGTAAATATATTTGATAAGCTGAACATTTGACTGAAACATAGTGCACATCCTCACTTCCTAAAAGTAAATATTCATCTATTAGTTGTTCAAGTATTCTAGAAGGACAATGTCACGATTTACCAGAGATTGGCTCAGGTCACTTTAAATAGTTTAGCTTATTGCGAGATCTCTCATAAATTTCTAAATCATATAAATTCGTAAAAGTAACAACGGAAAGACCCAATTACCATACGTTACAATCCCCAAAACGCTATTACACTAAAATAACTTCCATAACATTGAAAAACACCTATAAATTTATAAAGTACCGTGATAATGTGTACGACAAAATATTAGATATAAGACACCTACTATCACCACTACTACTAATACTACTATTACCGAACATATTATTGCACTTTCATGAATAAAATCCATCTGACTAAGAAGCATTCTATCAAATCAATGTCAACTATTTATGCAGGGATTCGTGAAGTTAGTACAGATCAAACAATTTTGTATGACCACTTTTTGAGCTCCGATTGGTCATTAAGAGTGTAATTCAAACAAAGTTTTAAATAAATGAAAAAAGGTCGGTTTTTTCCATATAAGTGCTCGATTCAGATTACTAAGGTTATGAACACTGAGCAAAAATACACTTCTTTAATTTGTCAATCTACACTTTTTGTAATTTGATCTGATCAATCATAAGTTTCTTCTGAGTTCATATTAAAAAATCTCAATTTTTAACTGTTTATTGAAGTGGAAGATAGAGTTATTCTCCTATGTTATTAATAATTTACTGATTTACAACCGCTCACCAATTTAGTTAATTGTGAGATTTGATTTTATATACAAGTAACCATGCAAAAGGAGCTATTAGTTATTACATATGGTTCCTATTTATGCACTATTTAGAGCTCACATTCATCATAACATATTCTGTGATATGGATATTCTTTCCATTGTTTTAGACTGTAACATTCACTACATTTTGTTAAAGCATCACTTTGTAACAATGAATATATTTTTTTATCTTCATTCAACAGGCGATTTGTAGATGCTGATCTACTTAACCGTGTTCCTTCTGTGTTTCTACTTATTGGTGGTGTTTTGTTAGTTATACAGTTAACCGGGTTATATTTGATGAGAGATAAACAAAAGGTAAGAACACATTGATTAAAGGATGATGTAGAGATATGAAACAACCTTTTCACCTTGAAATGATATTATCAGTACAGCAATTATAATATTGTATTTTACATACTGAACCATTATGATAGTTGGCTGGTTATTTTGAACAATTGATTGCAAGAAACTTATCGTAATGCCATAAACATGTACAATATTTTCTATTATCCATTCAAAAGTTTATAGGAATAATCGCTTTTAATGTATCCTACATGTTTGTGTTTAGTAGAAATCCCAAGACAAACAAGTATTCTAGTTTGCGAAAAATGATTTCCTGTTGTAGCTGAAGTTGTTCAGTTTTTAAATTTTATTTATAATGCCATTTTATTTGTTTAATTTGACATCAATCTTTATTTTCTTTATCTAAGAAGGCGATTGTTCTGTTAACGAATCACGACTTCAAGGATCCAGATAAGTCAGTAAGTTAAAATAGCTAAATATAAATTTCTGTATCTAGCAAACTTTATCAGTTTTGGATGTCTCACATTATTTTTTTAAAATGTCAAACACCAAAGTTTTTGCATAAACCACAAATTACTTGAGAATTAGTTGCATCTTGTAATTTAGTTAACAGAACAATAGGATTGTAGTCTACAAAGACTGTAAACCAAGCAACAAACTTCGTTCGATTGATGTTTTGACTACTCATTAGAACAGAATTCAGGTTATAAATTAATTTCCTTTGTATTCATTTAATAGAAATGCAGTAAGTAATAAATTTCCAGTTATAATGAACTACAGTGAATAAAACTGTAACTTACACCAGACTGATTTAGTCAAAAATAAATACTGCTTTCGCTTCAGAAAAAAAGATAGTACCAGACTAAGCTTTAATAGATTTAGTGAAAGTTTAATTATATTGAATTAAGATTTACTACATAAGTGGGTTTAATGTCTAAAAAGTTGTCTAGTCCTATGATCACAAAAAATTGTAGGGAAATTTCTACAGAGTTAGAATGCAGGTTCAAAAATACCGTAAAATAAAAATGGTTATATTCTGTGAAATAAGCAGTTTCTAAGAAGTGCATTAACTTTGTTTCTTTATATAAACATAAACACGAACGATGTCTCACGGTAGTTACTTAAAGCGTAATAATGTGGACAAGATAATTATGAATCAAAAAGTAAAGTAAAACTAAGATTTCTGATTATTTGAGTTACCCTATATTAAGTAAATAAAAGTATCATGTTGATCTCATAATAACTACATTTTCTGTTAATCATGCATCCCAATTCCTTTATTTTATATTATGTAACAATAAAAACAACCTCAGTCATTGTAACTAACAATTTTATAATTTTTCTTTGTTGCTTAGCATGAATTTCCACCTGTTATAAAGTAAGTTAACGGATTTTATTGGTGAGTTACTATTTGTCATAAATAAATGTCGTTGTAAATTTTGCTGCATATGTAAAACATTTGAATTTCGAAACACGATAAGGGAATGTAGCGTGAATGCTAACAAATTTTCGTTTCACTTTCAAAAACGAGTAAACCTGCTTATTTAGTAATCGGTGAATAAGTCATACTTCTACGATAGTTTCATTTACAATCCACAACCTTGATCATTGATGATACTAAACTAGTCGACTTTTAACCGCCTCATAAATTCGCTCCATTATACATGATGAAAACATTTTGCAGTTATCAGGGTTACTATTAATCTCAAGTTGGAACATTGCTGGCCATCAATAAGGTCTAATTTCGATTTATTTGTTTTTCTTGTGTATAAACTTATGTTTATAGAAACATGTATATAAATAATACTTCTGAATCACCAAATTTCATCACACTACCTCAAATCAGATCTTTAACCTACATCCATAATGTTAGTTTACATTTTTTAGGCGAACATAATCAAGGAACAGTAGATGTTACTTGGAAAAATAAATATTATCTTCAGTATCGGTTAACCTTATTTTTGTATTTTCTTAACGTATATTTTGTCTCATAAATTAAAGTCTCAATCCCGCAATAGACCAGACAATATGAACAAATTAGCTAATAAAACATTGAGATCCTGGTAGGACAACGATATTTACAACGTAAATGTGTGACGGTTTATGTTTGAATCAAAGAGGATCTCATAGAGACTTCGGCCACATTTTTCGAATCCCCGGACAAACGTTTGACGAGAATACTTACTACCTGATTCTTATTGCGTGGTCTTTACAATCTCACTATCACTAGCCTACATAAAGAGTAATGTCACAGAATTTTATATTAAAAATACCTCGCAATAAACAGTGGCTCTATATGCTTTTTAACTCTGCATATGAGATATAACAAACAAAAACTAATCACCATCATCATTGCTTCAATAGCTTGAAAAAGTCTCAACAACCTTCCACTCCGTTTTTCAAGAAGACATTGTAAGCTGACGCCAGCGCATTCTGGTGTAAGAAGCAATAAATTTGAGTTTGATTGGTTTGAAACGTCACCGATCGATACAAACACGTTACATCAAAAACATTAATGTAGACACGAAAACACTAGTAGACCATACCACAGGAAACACATAGGACGATCCAACACATAAAATCTGATTGACAGGAATGCAATATTTGAAGTGATCAAATCAAGAATGAACGGAAGTTTTGTTGGTTAAGCTGTCTATTAAATAAACATGTATTAATAACATATTCTTGGAAATATCACCCTATAATGTAGAATATTTCTTACAGATCTTTAGGATGTGAAGCAAGGTGAGTAATGCGCTGTTCTTTAGTTATCATTTATAACTCTATAAGGTTAGATTTTTCTTCGCATTTGTCGATGTCTGATTGAAACTGAGACGTATTTTTGTTAGAATATGCAAAACAACATCTATGTATACATTATTTCGCCAATGTGAATTAATAACAATTTAATCCTTGCTTGCATGACTCAAACTCCCACCGTCTACAGAGGTATGAAATGGCAATTGTGATTAAATTAAAAATTAGGACGATAAAGAAAATCAGAATGGCAAATGTCGTATTTTACTCTTAACACTGAAACAATCTTTCACATTGATAATTTATCGAAAAATAATCAATGTCATTAGTCAAACTTTAACGAGTTTGGCGGTTTGATACCCATCAAACGATTTAAAACACCGCATTTTATAACATTTCAAATCCCTGGTGAAAAATAAGTTACATAGTATCTCTAAACATAGTTTATCTACCTATTATTGAAGTTCAAAACCTTAATCTTTACAGTTCTTGTCTTTGCTTATCTTCTAATCATGCAAAACCAAGTATTGAAACTTTAATACACTTAGATCACTATTAAATTACAAGTCATTCGTTCAGCCTTATGTCGGTGTATTTATGTACTATGTTTACATTTCACGGCTATTAAAAGATCTATTCTTTTATTTAAATAGTAGTACTTACACAAGTTCAATTAGTTGCAAAAGCGATATGATGCCCAAGAATTAGGCCTAAAAATTATGTCTTAACTTGTATGAGAGTAAGTGACCTACAGATTAACTTCCTCCATTAGTCCGTAACATTTAATCATCTTTGTTTTGTATCGATATTTTGTTCATAAGCACTCCATCTTATTAGACAAAAAACTACAGCTTTAGTTATTGGTTTTGCCTTTGATTTCGATTCATTTTGAGGCTTACGTAAATAATTACGATTTCATGAACAGTCAGCGTTCGGCCAGATCGTATCATTGAGATCCTTTCATCCGAATCCTAAAAAAATTCATTCATCAAATCACTAAAATCCTACTCCATAATAAGATCTAATTTATTCTTGACTTTTATCATTACATTAAATGAAATAAGAAATCCGATAGACAGCTGACCACATATGAACAGTTGATTAGCTATTCCGAAGCAATTATTCTACGTTCATACTGAGAATTCGCAGTTCAGTTTTTATGACATTGTAACCGATGACTTTATATCGGTACTCAGGAATTACCTGTGTTATGTGGGATGCACATGTTCATATCTTGGAAATCTATATATTATTAATCAAGTGTTGATCTTAATACATTCTCAACTTCTAAACATCACTCATCAAATATCAAAGTATAATGTATAGCGTGACAACTCTTTAAGAGCCATATTTAATGCACTTTATACTAGGATTCCACTAGTACCATTTAATATCGAAATACAAGTCATTATTCCAAATATAAAAAGCTGGATTATGTTACTGATCAATATCATGAAATGTCGTCACAGCTACAAAATATACCAAATAAACATCAAACGATTTGTTTCATTGTAAATATTAATTGAATTAAATAAAATGGTTTGTAATTGTTAAGCGTGTTTATTTTTCTTGACAAAGTTCAGTAAATTTACGACCTTTGGAATTATTGAAACAGAAAGAATTTTATTTTTTATGGATCATTATATTTTGTGCTGGAATGCCTTTGACATCGTTGGCAACACTTTTCAAGGTTAGACATATTTCTTTAAAATCCAGTAAGGTTTGTTGTTCTATTTGGTTTAAACTGATTTTGTACAGAATTCTGATCAGCTACTATGGCTAAAACATGTGATACTGTTTGATTAACATAATCAATAAAATAGCAATCTTGATTTATAGTATTTAGGTTTGCATAGAAACTAAAAGTGTTGAATCAAATTTTGGCTATTATATTGTACAGTTAGAATACAATTTACACTAGTCACCTTTAGCAAAATACTTGTTACTAAGTGACAGTACCCAGCCAACCTATTCAGAATGCATATTTGCCAGAAACGACAAATTAATTGCATTCCTATATAGTAGTGACGGGAAAATCCAATTATGTACAAATAATTTGCATCCGTCAGCATTATCGGGAAAATCGGTGAATATTAACTGTGTCTAACTTACAATGTTCTCTGGATTTGAGCAATTACTACTCATATATTAAGAGGACTGTGGTTATCAGTGATTACAGTGAAAGGCAGTGTGCATGCAAATAAAAAGATTTGTAAAATTAATAAGTCAACAATGGATTTTAATGTAAATAGGATAAGTTAAATGTTTTAGTGGCAGTAATGAAAGGTAGTAGAAGGGTTAAATGAAATCAGGTGGTTTCAGAAACAACTATGGATAAAGTCATGAGGCTATAAGAAATGATCTTTCATTGTAAGTATTTTCATTTCATAATCTAATATTATAACCTTCCTACTACAATATTACGCTTATTCAAAAATCAACTATTATCATCACAAGAATTATGTTCTTAGTCTAACGACAAATTATATCACAATTCAAGGTTGAATTATAGTCATTATTGGTGATATAATGTGAGTATGCTGTATTAAATAAAAAATAAATTGAGATTCCTGGTAAAAAACAATATAAAGAATATTTAAACATTGTCTATTAACTTATTAACTTTTGACCCATTTTATCAAAAACTGATGAGAGTAAACTGTATCTTAATAAAGTTAGTAAAAAATTTTCTAGACTATACATTCAAATATTTCAAATCTTTCACAAACAATAAATTTTGGATTAAACAAAACTGAACCTTTGTTTGTTTGTAAATTTAAATGTTTCATTAGGTTTGATGATATATTAGGATTGAAATGGAACTAGTGGGAATTGGAATATTCATCCAAATATTAATTTCATTCATACATTTACAATCCATCGCCACAGTGAAAGTTAAATATCAACGTTTTTCACTGTTTTTATAATAATACTAATAGCAACTAACCTACATTCAACTAAAAAACTTCGCTTGAATGGATGAAACTATTTGCTTATCTAAACCTCACCAATCAGCCTTATCTGATAGATATGGTAAAGATGAACTCTGATTTTAGTCTTATCCCACTCCATTTTTTCCTCTTAAACTACTGAGTAGAGCGGATTGTATATGACTTATTATCAAGTAGTTATTGGCAATGTGCTGGTAAAAATCGATGCACTGATTCACAATGACAAACCACCAAAATCAGAACAAATTGATGACTGAACCAAACAAGAACAAAAAATATTTGCAGAATACGGAAACCTTATTGCATTTCGTTAACTTCTCTGTAGCTATATAGAAGCTAACAAGTTTAATTATTTCCAAATATTAACATAACATCCGATCTGAAGTAATGGACTATTATTCGGTTATTGGAAATGTAAAAAAGATAATAAGTGAATTTTTAAAAAGGTTTTATTATTATTATTATTATTTAAAATGGTAGTTTCAGAATACGTGAGAAAATATTATAGCATAATGTAACAACATTTTTAGAAAGTTTAGAAAGAAAAATGGGACGCACGATTTTAATTCTCTAGATTGTGATTTTCATCAATTGGAAAAACTAGAAAGGAATGAAAGCCTTAAGTTGCTTTTGTTCCCAAGCTAGTTGAAGACTAACCACAAAGGTCAGCCCTTTAAATATTATGGGCGCTGCGAATCTTGGGAAGACAGTATCAGATTGTTTATTGATTGATTTAATACATTCAATGAGTTAGCATATAATTCTTAACATTTTTTTAAGCCACAGTCAACAGATTCCTTACTAATAATCGAATTTTCAACATTATGTTAATAACTGGAAATAATTAAACTCACCAGCGTTTATGTAGCTGAACAAAAGGCTACAAAATAAAGTCTTCATATTCTGCAAGTACTGCAGTTCGTCCTTGGTTTAACTTCGTGAAGAAAATCAATTATGTGAAAAATCGATGACCGTTTTGATTGCACTTACTTTTAACAATTGACTTTTACTCTCGGTGACACTAGTAAGATGATCTATCAATGATAACTATTAAGAGATTTTGGGTTATATGAAACCGACATGCTGATTTAAGTAAAGGTATTTTCTAATGACCGTCAAATCGATAGTTTATTCTGAATGAAGTTGCAGAACCATTGAAGATCAGAAATCACTAAGCATTTTTATGGACTTCTAAACAATTTCTGTTTTAAACGAGTTCGCTAAGGTTTGGATAAAAACCTTCCCTGTACTCAAAACATTTTAGGTAAACTTCTCCATAACTGCTACATTTTCAATAGATTCTAATGGTGCATCAGATGAAAGAACCGATGTTTCCAGAAAATTCCACTTAATATAAAGTTGTGAATCGTAGTTACTTGGAAATGGGAATGACAGTTCTTCAACTTTAGTTAGTTTTATTAAGTAAACGACCCATACATTTTATGGTAATATTTCATAATAGTAAATTTAACTTTGTAAAAGCATTTAAAATAAGACAAACTGATCTGTAAACCTCTTTGACATTTTGATGTCAAACTGTTTAATTAATTTGATGTTTACCAGTGATTCTGTAAACCTTAGATTTCTTTGAGACAATTGGAATAGTCACTTCGTAACACCAGGAATAAGTTGTTTGCTATAATAAAAATGTTTGTGTTTTATCTGATTGCTTTTCCTATTGGAATTTTCATGACTGTTGAAAGATTTAAAAAGCCATACTTAAGTGAGAACAGCATCCCCAATATTTAAAAGAATTAATAATGAACATTGATTTATAATTTTTCAGCTTTTTGGTAAAACTCATATTAACGATGACAGATTTCTTGCTATTATGGGTGTCGTTGCGGCTGTATTTAATTCCGTCGGACGTGCTTTCTGGGGTGCTATCAGTGATCGTATTTCGTTCAAGGTAAATTTCTAAAGTTTTTTCTTCATTCTGAAGTTTAGAATATCTTATTTATAGAAATCATTACCTCAACATTTGTCACACACTTAACACAAAATCTAAACTTCACTATTTACAATAAAATTCCTTTATAATCAGAATATTATTTTTGACTGATTGATTCTTAATGAATTTCCTGCTCGTTGAGCATAAAATTGTTTGTTGCTTCTCTAAATCAGCCAAAAAAATCAGTGTTTACTCAGTGAGCTGTCTAGTGTTATCATTGACTGAATCGAAACAATAATTACTTATACTTGTTACCCCTCGTAAAGGAGCATAAACCGTTCAACAGGTTTCTACGTCATACTCTGTTCTGAGAGATAATTCCCAGTTCTTTCCAGTCACTACCCATTCTTCTGATGTCTGCTTCCAACTCAGCCGTAATGTGTTCCCTGGTCTTCTTCTTTCTGTTTCCCTTCGGGATTCCAAGTTGTCGCTTGCTTCGTGGTGCAGTTTGATGATTTCCTTAATATATGTCCTATCCACTTCAAGCGTCTTTTTCTAATCTCCTCCTCAGCTGGAAGCTGGTTTGTTCTCTCCCACAATAGGCTGCTGCTGACAGTATTCGGTCAACAGACATTGAGTATCTTACGTAGACAATTGTTTATAAATAATTGTACCTTTTTGGTGATGGTTGTGGTAGTTCTCTGAGTTTCGGCTCCGCACAATATAACTAACTGTCTTGATGTTCAAAATAAAGGTTCTGACTTTGATGTAGGTTAACATTTATTTTGAGTTCTATATGTTCTTCAATTGTAGGAATGCTGTTGCTAGTTTGTCAAACCTTGCTTTTACGTTTGCATCAGATCCTCTATGTTTATCGATAGTGCTGCCTAAGCACGCATTAGTTTCCACCTCATCCAGAGCTTCTCTATCAAATGTGATTGGGTTGGTGTTCTCCATGTTGTATTTGAGGATCTTGGCTTTTCCGTTGTGTATGATCAGGCTTACTGATGCATAGGCTGCTGCTACACTGGCTGCCTTCACCGGCATTTGTTAGTGCGTATGGGATAGAAGAGAGGTCACCTGCGAAACATAAATTACCAACTGTATCCAAGCTGTCCGTTGTATTCCGTGATTCCCCTGAGAACCATAGGTCTTTCATGCCCGTTGTCTTTACAATCGATGGCCGAGGAAAAATGAATTCAGTAAGAACTAGTACACAAATGTACTTGAATATATACTACAATAATTGGATTCACCACTATATGCAGTGGTAATAAATAATCAAAGTATAATAGCACCGAATGGATAAGTAAAGCAAAGTAATGGTGGTTTTGGATTAACAGCAGAATTAGGTCACTATGTAACTGAACTGGATTTATCTTGAAGCTGGAACTTAGAATCATCAGCACTTGTATTAGAATGGAAATAGCTTTGACAATAGAACATCCAGTAATTGTATCTTGGTGAGATAAATCCAGGAATAAGTTACAATGGTCTAATTTGCATTATGTTGAAATAAATTCATAATGTACAAAGTGTCAATCAGTCATCTTGTCTCTGGTATTTATGGACCGATATTATAATGGAATATGACTGACAGATAGATAAATAGGGAACCGAACAAAGGAAAATTTGAAAGATTTACCTATAAGGTACTCGAATTAATCACCCAAGTGAGCACGAGTCAATCAATATAGTTGAACTAATTTATTTGACAATCGCTTGCTCAGCTATATATCGTATTTCAAAATGAATTTACGATCATCTAGCTGCATAGCCGTTGATTGCATTTCGTGCTTCTCTTGATATGTGGAGGTCTTTGTAATCGAGCCGATCACCAAAAAAAATTGAGAAAGAGTGAGTAGCCTTGTTTGACACCGATCTCCACTTGCAATGAATCTGTGAGTTGTCCTTCGTGCATTACTTTGTAGTGTAGTCCGTCGTATCAATTACGGATGATGTTGACAATTTTGTGTCAAACAAGGTTCCATTAAGTTCTCATAGCAACGCCGTCAAATGCTTTCTGACAGTCAAGGAATTCGATGTATAGTGATGAGTTTCATTCAATTGATTGTTTAACAGTTATCCGTGATGTCGCGATTTGAACTGCGCACGACTAATACTTACAGAATCCAGTCCGTTGATCTCGAAGTTGAGTGTCTACTGAATCTTTCATCCGGTCCAGCAACACTTTGTTGAAAACGTTTCTTGGTACCGATAGTAATGTGATGCATCTGTAGTTCTGACATTTGTTCAGATCTCCTTCCTTTGGTATCATGATGCGGCATCCTTCTTTCCAGTCTGTTAGAACCTGTTCTTACTCCCAAATCTCTCTGAATAGAACGTGGAGCATCTTTACAGTTGATTCTATGTCTGAATTCAGTACTTCGGCTGATATGTTTTCAGGTCTTGCTGCTTTCCCGCTCTTGATTTTTCTGATGGTCATCCTGATTTCTTTGATCATTGGTAGAGTGACATCTATGGGAATGGCTATGTGCTGCTTCTATGTCCTTTGGATTCAATGGGGCTGGCCTATTCAATAGTTCTACCCACCTGTTTCTCTTTTCTTGAATCTCAGTGATTGACTTGCCTTTTTTATACATGACTAGTCGCTCTGGTTTACTATATTTCCCTGCTAGTTTGTTGATTGTTTCATATAGCTGTTTCATCTTTCCTTCTCTTGCAGCTTTTTCTGCTGTCGCTGCTAGCTCTTCCATGTATTTCTGCTTGTCGCCTCTAATGCTTTTCTTCACTTACTTGTTTGCTTCTGTGCATTCAGCCTATGCCTTGACTTTCTCTGTTCTTGTTCAGCTGGTTTCGTGTTCTTCCTTTCCTGAATCTTATTCAGGGTTTCGATAGAGATCCATTCCTTATGATGATGCTTCTTGCGACTCAGAACCTTCTGACACATTGAAGTTAGTGCTTCTTTGATTCATTTTCAATTTTCCTCCATAGTAGTTTTTTTCAGTAGACCTTATAAGGCTTGGAACCTGTTGTCGAGAGCTATGTTGAATTGGTTGAGTTTACCAGTATTTTGAAAGAAGGCTGTATTGAACCTCTGTATTGCTTGTTCTGTAGTTGTCCAGTGCTTCCTTATCTTCAGTTCCATCTTAACAACCACCTGATGGTAATCTGAAGCTGTGTCACACCTCCTCCTGCTTTTCAGACCTTCCATGAACCTTCTGAATTTGTTAGCAATGCAAATATGATCAATCTGGTTCTGTATAGTGTGATCTGGTGAGACCCGTCTAGCTTTGTGTACTCGTTTGTGGAGGAATCAGTGCCAATTATAACCGTTTTGTTGAATACACATTAATTTGCAGATCTCTCGCCATTTTCGTACCTTCTCTACGCCTGTAGCTCTTCTAGGGTTACTTCCAGTCTTAACTACGGGTAATAGAGGAGGTCTGAACATGGAGTCAGTAAACCTAACCCGTAGAAAACAGTTTTGCTGAAAAAATGAATCGAAACGTAGTTCAACTATATCCAAAAGCGAGTCAATTACTTCAGGATAGTAAGATGAAGGGTAGTGACGTGTCAAATGTATAAACACAAGTAGAATATATGATCAAACATCATCACTTCACGACTGCATTAGCGTACCAATCAAGAAAAAGCTTAAATGTTAAACAAAAAATCGCTTCAAGTCTTGAAGCTTAACGTTTGGGTGGCTAACTTCAAAATTTCTGGTGGTATTTAAATGAATGTTATGTGTTCAGCAGACAGTTCATGAACTCACCATTAATAATGTTTACTTATATATATTGAGTTACTGATAAAACACAGATGTGTAAGGATATTCTGAACTTCAAGTGTCACCGGAACTGTTACTCATTGTTATTACTGATAAAACTGACATACTTTCAGAGAAGTTGAGGTATAACCGTTTTCTCACAATTCGACAGTTTTATTAAACAGTATTTAAAGCTAGGGTATTACTTTTTAGTAAAAAATATAATTTTGGACATTTTACGTTGATGTTAGTTTACTTCAAGCATTGAATAGATCTAATGACTGAATCTATTACAAAGATTAATGCACCTGATGACAATGATGAATTTCAAGAAATATTCTAAGATCTTAACACATGTCTGCCCATACTAATGACTAATTTTAAATAACCATATCAATTACTAAACAGTAGTATGAAGTTTACTAAAAACGAATCTAAGGGAGTGGTGAGATAGTTATATTGTATGTGCTACTTATACAGTCAGATATAAGGAGTATGTTTCTAGCATTGGAAGTAGAATTTTTACTGACATAATAGGAAAATGAGAAGAAGGGAAAAGTGAAAGTTGAACGATGTAGTTTGTAAAAGACAATTCAAGAAAGGTACGCAAACAGTGTATTTGATGCATTGTTTTCATATTTCACAAAAACACTGCGTAATTTTGTATAACATAATTTATTTTCCCTGCCTAAGTCTTCGTTCAGTACAGTATTATCATTTCCGATCAATGGATATTTGCTTTACCTTGATCTAATGTATTTCATTATTTGGATGTCAGGTTCCATTGTGCATCATATTTTTATGCTGGTCACTTTTACTAACTTCATTCCCACATTTACCGTTGATATTTGGACCTCAAATCAAAGTTGGTTTTGGTATTTGGTTATGTGGTCTCTATTTATTAATTAGTGGTGTGCTTGTCTATGCACCAACTGCTACAGAAACCTTATTTGGACCAATTAATATGGCTGTAAACTACGGATTAGTTTTCAATGCATTTGTAAGTAGATTATTTTGTTGATATTTATTCGACTTATGAAATTTTCATTTTCCACAAGATGGATGGAAAACAAGAGTTAACCCATGATTTGAATAGAAATCCTTTCTTATCATTTAACCTTTCTAAAACAAAACTCGAGTTAGTAGGCTCGGAACAAATAAGATGTTTGAATTATTTTGCAAGTTTACCACCTATGATAAAAGTGTGATAATGAAAGAGTGTAGCTCGTGTAGACAAATTCGGTTACGCCAGATGGTTTAATCTTATAAGCAGCCTACCATAAAGAACCTAAAATATTGAAGATGTAATCGTTTAATTAATAAAATATTTAAAAGTGATAAGTAAACTTCTATAAACCGTAAAATGATTTTGTTCTGAGTTTCTTTATCTACTTGAGATTTGATTGAGAGGCATAACAGTTTATGTATTCGCACAAACACAAGACCACAAAGATTTTTCTAGGAACGTACATAAACAACAACTTGATCAGATGTATAATTTTCTCATTGTTATGTTTCTAATAATTACAGTAAAAATGAATCGAATGACCACCATTAAATCACTTTTGATATCTCAATAGTTTTCGAAACGTTGTGAATCATACTTGGCGAATGATTTACAGTTTATAAAGCATTTCTTAACAACTTTTAATCAAATTCAGTAGAACTTTTAAGATCCTATTGTAAACTTGAATGTTTTCTCATGATATTTTCATCTACATATTATCAAGATGAAGTCGAAAACAATAATAATGCAGTAGAGATAGAAGGAACACATGTGAAAATCTTGTAAACTATAAACAAAACGCTTATACCACTGAGCTGGCATCCAACGGTGTTAATGTCTAACTCCAACCAATCCACAATATTGTGCCACCGGACACCATTGTCTTCAGTGAGCTGATATCTCACAACAGACCTGGTTGAACTCCACATGTCACGGCTTCTCACTAGAACTCCAGGAAACGCCTCTTAAAGTCAGTCATTAGTGAGCAGATGATTATTGTCAGGAGAGGCTTTTGTCGGTTCGAATCTCACGGGAAGCGGGATCCTGGATGCGCACTGCTGAGGAGTCTCATACTAGAACGAAACGGCCGTCCAGTGCCTCCAGCTTTTCCATGGTGGTCTAGCTTCAATTGACTCATGATTTCAACTATTGAAATTTCTAAAAAATCTCTCCACAAAACCCCTTCTGATAAAAAAGTTTGTGTCGATATTGTTATGCATCAATTGACTTTATAAGAAATACAGACATAGACCATAGTTTTATAAGTAACGAAAAGGTGTTGCTTGTCAAAGTACTTACATATTTGATTTAGTTTGTTAATCACAAAGCAAGTATATAATGTTTCATTAATGTTCCAACACATAAAAACATAAGTTCGAAAAGTATTGAGCTATTCCGTTCAATAATGGTTAATCTTCAGAAAGAATACGAAAACAGTGTTCAAGAGAGACGTAAATTTCAGGTCATTAAATTTGTTAAAAGTAGTAAAAATGGAGCAACTCTGATATTCACCTTATAGTTTTCTAAATATAACTCTGAACATCTTTTTCCCGATATCTTTTCTTCAGTCAAAGTCAGGCAATTAATTAGCTAGTGAAAATTAATTGATAAGTACTATTCAAGCCATAAATTGGTCACGTTTTATTTTTTTTTAAACCAAATTCTGCAACTGCATATCTTTTACATTACAATTCAAAGAATCCCTATGGTGTAAAATATGGACTAGTTTGCATATAAACAAAAAAACTATGATACTTTTTTAACTTTATTCAACCCTGAGATCACTGTAAAATAAGTTTCCTGAAAGCATAATAACAAGTGAGAAATCTTGTTTATCTCTTTGCTGAAAAAGATCAATATGAAAATACTTGAAAATGTCATTTTTTAAATATGATGTGATAAGAAGCACTAAACTTCCATGCGCGAAGTTGAGATGTAAGGTGGACTTCTGTGCTCAATAAGTAGTGTGCGATTGTTTCAACAAACTGAGTTGGTGAAATAGAAGCCTGAAATAACTTAGATGGTCATTACATGAGAAAACAAGTTGGATCAGCAGTTAAAATCAATTCAGTAATTATCACAGTATAATCTGTATTTCATCTTGAGCATCTGGTGAATAAAGTATGCTATACAACTACTGATTTATATCACCCTAATTTGCAGGGTATTATGTATATGATAGAAAATTGCTAATTATTATCCCTAAACCTTCTAATTTGCCGTTTTCATACATCCTGGAATTCTTTACAAGCTGCTTCTGGGTAATAATTTCTATATAACAATAATGATAATAATAATAATTCAGTTCGTCGATGATGGTTTAGCTTAATGTCAGACAGCTCTGAAACAGTATTTTTACTAATACGTAAAACCAATTTACAGAAAGTCATTTAATTTTATTCATATATGACCATATTCTTCACCTATTTAATTAAGTTTCCGAGTTCATCTTTTGATAATTCTGACTCATGAATAACCATATGTTCCTGCAACAGCTAAGTACCTGTTACTAGGTCAACCCAAGCTTTCGAATAAAGTATCATCACTACCTCCAAAGTTCAACAAACAAATAGAGGCTTTTTCAAAAAATCTATGCAGCAATTACTACCACTTATTTATCTCCTTTTACTTCGTGTTGTTTGTTTTTTATGGCTAATAATAATGTAAATTAACTTCATTAAACCATTTCTGGACAAATTCCTTAATATTTATCAACGGATTTGCCATTTTAAAAAAATACAGCCCTTATATGAGATTCTGTTTTGATACTAATCTTGGCGACTAGCATCACAATCACCATTTATGCGACTATTTATAAGTATTCTCAATCGACAATTAAAAAGTGGACTAATTTTTTAAGAAAATTCGTTTGATCAAAAATTTGCTGTATGATGGACCAGATTGTACACCGATTTTCATATAATACGTGTAGCTAAGTAGAGTTACTATTTTGTGAACTAAGAGTATTCAGTTTTAGTACCTTTTTATTATTAATTATTTTCATTATACCCTAGGTTAGTATAGTACATATGCACACTTATATTTTATGCTATGTTTCCTATACATACACAAATAGGTATTCGGTGGTCTATTCGTTTCGCTATTGTCCATCCTAATTCCACAGTTTCATGAATGGAATAACCTATTTTATCTATGTGCTGCAATGTGTATTTTAGGTACGTTATAACAAAAACCTTTAATTGTATCATGTATCATTATCCTGTAACAACTTCAAGAACGGAATGGCTCACTCGTTATAAATAGTTAGAAACAGTTTAAAACGAGCATTGTTTTCTATTAATTGGTGGAGGTTTCAACTAACTTAACAAAACATACGTTTCTACCATGAACTCGTATTCCGAAATAATTAACTTAGCACTTAGATAAATATCAATTGTATTCTAGTTATACTGACTTCACTATTTTATAGAAACGTACAATATCAGTGACAGGAAAGTGTATAAAGCATGACCAAAACTTGAATTACCAAAACGAAACATTTTTCAACCTTAAACGTTTCAAGCAAAAATTCAATTCTGACCTACATTTTGTTTCTTGGCTAAAACTGTCATTTGGGTGCAAGCAATCATTCTGAAAATACGTACGATTCACTGTACATTGATGACCTGTCTAAAAAAGAATGTCCTGATTTTCTTATATGAATTCACAGTTTTAAAGGTTTGTCATGTAGGATGCGACAAAAGATTACAGTAGTCGATATCGGCTATTGGTGAAGTTGTAAAATAAGCGTATTCAGGCTCCCTTGAGGCACTTTTTGTTCAAATTAGAAAATGATATTTCCGGAATTAAACAAAAGCTTTAAATATTATAATCAACTGTTTATTACCTCCATATACGCAACGACATCTTTCTGCAGAGCATTGCTAAAAAGTAATTTCGACGTAATAAATCAAAACGATGAGCTTAAAAAATTAACCTACCGGTTTGGAAAATCGTGAATTACGATGAGTGAAATCGGGACTTAAAACTTAAGTAATTACACTTTATGTACATAATGCGATTTGTTTTCATCGATACAATTGTTAGCACTCCAGTACGTTACAAAAGGAAGTGTAGTAAACACAAAACATGTATTATTTATCAAATATCTTTCACTTAAACAGCTATCAGGTCTAAAAATTGGCTAGTCTGTAATGTACCGTGTTGGAAGTGTAACCATTCACTCTAAAATAATAAATATTGTCATGTGTTTATTATTATCACTGAGAGTTCTTTGATATGAACCTATCAGAACAAAACGTAGTCTGCTTTTGGACATCCACATAACATTTTACTTGACTTTTTGTATCCTTTGTGATAAATTTCCAGTCGACCTTTTCAAGCTGAACAAAATTGACTGTGCACATATCTCACATAAAAACGGAGAGTGGCAATAATGTAAAGTGAATAATTCACATATCGGAGACTATTAATTGCTCAGTACACTTGATCTAATCATTTGCTTACCATAGATGACACTAAGGAGAACAATAGTGGTGTTAAGTACGTGTACGTTAACGAGTTCAAACGAGAACACATCTAGAGTAAGGGGTTTTATGCCTACTTCTGAAAACCATAGAATAATAAGTTAGGTTGGTTAGATGTTTTTTTACATAATGATGGATTATTTCGAAAATAATACTAACTTGCTTTGCTGAGTAGTTGTAGTAGTGATTCTGGTTAACAGATTTCTTGTTGAGTAGTAATAATCATTTCATCAACCACCAACTATAAGCTCATTTCCCGTAAGTATTTAATTTAATGCCATAAGCCATAGATATTCAGCCACTAATCAGACTTCTTGTAACGATTTGTATTTTGGATACAGCGTAGTAAAAATGAGTAGGTCTCAGTTTAGACCTTTACAATTTTAAATTTTAATCCATTTAGTAAAACATTTATTTAGTTTGAATCTATTTCCTTCTGTGCAAAAGTTAGTCATCAGGTAGTAAGTTTTGATCAATTGTATGTTGTGTTTAGAATACTTTTCAATCTCAGTTATAACTTTTGTCTGTTACTTTTAATGATTATTACGCACAAAATAATATTGCATTATACTCACTAAATGAAAATATTTCCTTTACCCTAGCTTTATTAATTGTGCCATGGATATATGATAGGAAAATGCCTAAATATTTCAGCTTGTTTCGATTTTATAGGCAAAGTCACAGTTGAATTCTTCTAATAACTTGTTCGACAAATACTGTTATCCTGAAAAATTATCATAGTTTTTTTAACAGGGAAACACGAAACTTATCTTTTATTGGTGTCATTTCAAAAATATAATTTCATCTGAGCAAATGGACAGAATTAATAACCTCTTTTTACAAAATTAGCATATCTCAGAAAATACATGGTCCCTTTCATCAATTTACATTTGATTTGCAAAATTTATCAATCGCATATACCAGATAATCATAATGATAATAATCAGTTAATACATTATAATTATGTCATGGAAATGTTTTACCTTCTGAACTAACTTACAAAATTCAGCCGAATTCATTGTTATTTAACTGAATGATGAGTATTTTCATACTAGTAGGGTTTCTTTACTTAAAATTTTTCCATTTCATCTCATTATTCACAATAAATGCATTGGGTAGATGCATATTCATTTACTAAAAGATTTAATGAAGTTCTAGGATTGAATATTGTCATCTATATTTACAGAATATACAAATATAACTTTATGAATGTATGTGTTGAACTATATTATTTATGCTCGAACCTGACTATCCCATATCATAATATCTCAAACTCTAGATTGTTGGTGTTCTAAGCTAAATCACTTGAACACTTATGTCTAATCAACACACTTATGTATATTATTCATCATATTACCTCATTTTGTTTTAATCTGAATAACCTTATTACCATTTATGTGATTCATCAACGGTAGGTATCCCGAATTCTTTCAAGATAAACAGGATCCTTAACATCCACACATGGCTAAGCGCCATGACAAACGCGTCAATCGTAAGAATCGTTTAAAAACCATAGGCTCGGTCATCTATGTCACATTTCCTATGACTCAATAAGTACAGTATAAGCTAAACGATCCTAAAACAAAATACTGTCATTCCTGCTATTTACTATTTATTGACGCAGAAAGTTAATAAATATTTGACAGATTAAAATCGATAACATCAGCAATGCAGCGAAATGGATAGGGATAAGAATATAGATCGGTAGTAACAAGGAGGTATGCATAACCAAATGAGCTAATATCTAAGAAAAAAATAGAGAATAACAGAGTTCGCGCCACTGTAAACACTTTTACGTCTTGTCTTCTACAGCTACAAACCATTGATTTTTGAGATTCCAAAAGCACAAGTTCTTTATTCCGTGTTGGATACTAAATCTTATTAACTCAAATCTGAAAATCCACTTTGCAAATAGCTACAAATACTAGGTAATCACGCAATCTTATTTGAAAGTGTTTAATCAGATCAAAAAGTACACTAAAGTCATTCCATTTTGACAAAGCAATTGGCTTACTGATACAATAAATGTTTTAGATCCAATCAAATGATCATTACGTCCATTTTGAATTAGTTTCAATTATAAACCAAAAGGTTCATGACATAACATAACTCATGATCGAAAAATAATGTCCAGTATAAACTAGGTGAGCAAAACCAATTAGGTCATTTTCGACTTTTTATCTTCAGCACAATCTAATATCACTTTCTGGAAAACAATGATGTTATTTTTTTATCTTATTACATAGAAGAAACTACAATCAGAATATTTTTACTGAATAAATTTTACTATCTAAAACCTCAAAACTTAGGTATGGTTTTGAAAAAGCTTAATATTCCTATGAACCAAAAAATAACAGTAATGAAAGTGTGGTAACAATCTAAAGACTACTAAAAAGAAAATAAGTGTACGATAACCAACTTTGACTTTAACAATTTAACGTATAGTCACAGCAACAACTGCCAATTTTGATCAGCACAATCGACTAAAAATAAACATCATACAAAACATCGCGTGATAGCATGATCGTTCAGAAATCAGTATCCAGAGATTATTCTGGAAACGTGTATTAAGAATGACCCAGTTTATATGCAATTAATTTTTTCATGTTCAAACTTACTAGAATCAAATAACATGACAACAGAGTGTTGAAGGCGCAATTTTAAAGCAATCAACAAGTACATTGAAAGCGATCTAACTTACCAACCAATCAGGAAAATTATGGACAAACATAGGACCAAAAATCAAACCAATGGGAGATACAACCAAAACAAAGAAGTAAATAATGACAGATTTAAGCTCAAAAAGAACCAATGAACATCGAGGTCTACAGGACAAGCTGTGAACCATATGTGGGGAAATTCGAACACTTGTGCTGATGATGTTGTTCAGAATAACGATGAAAGCTCCACGACCAAACCATCCAGCTCAGAGAACAAAACTCAAAAGTTTCTAGGATACTTTATTTTTGTTAGTTTTTACACAGAAAGAAAGCAGATTATATGAAAATGACAAAACAACACCACCGACACAACAAATAATGTTATAACCAAACATCCGTAAAATATGTCTATCTTACTATGTAATAAAGTCAAAACATGAGGCTTTACCCATGTTACCTCAAAACTTCAGTTAATTGTCAGATGATTAAGAACTCTGAAACCCGAAAACAATGTAATAAAAGTTGACTCCCCTGTAGTTATTACAAGAGTTTTCCTTTTATTTTTGCAGAATAAGGTGACCAGACAAATAGAATACGTCTTACAACGAGATAATCGCTAATACTTTGGCTGATCCAACGCACAAATATTGACCGATCTCCCTCTTCTCATGTTTGTTACAGCTATTATGTCTTTACTGCAATCTAAAGTCTGATGTCAACTTCCAAATTCAGTTGTTGATTGGCAGCCATCAACGGAAGCGTGACTGACCCTCAGAACGACGATATTTATCTACCCTTTTTCACCTGTATTACTAATAGCTGACCCATTAATCTCACTGTCACCTACCACTTCTTTTTTTCTGTTTCATTCATGTTTATTACTCACCACCTCTCAACATTACCATATATACGCTTCAGGACTCAATTAGGAAGTTTTGCGCTCGTTTATTATTAAGACCAAGAGAAGTGTTTCTGTGATTCTAAGTTTAGAGTTCTCCATTGCAATCCGCTGGTTTTCATTCCTTCATTTCAAAGCTTGCAAATATCGAAACAGTAGACCTACACGTCACAAATATTCTTTAGCCGAGTCAGTATGTTTCGACAAGGTTGTATACATGCCACACTGAAAATTTCAACTAGGGAGAAACCGAAATTGTGGGCTTATCACCCACTGATTCAAAACATAAACCAAAATTTACTATATAATCTACAATAATCATCGTAAGTTAACAAGATATGTTCAAGGAATAATAATTCCCGATTTCGTAATGTTCTTAGCTTTCCGCTGTAATCTGCGTAACCGAACTTATGCGACCGCAGTTTTAAATACATTTTGACTTTCTTTGGTGACTACAGAAGGTTGTACATGATCAATAACTGTTTCTGTAGTCTTTCTCTTCTCTATTTGATGTACCGAGCTATCTGACATGTAGAATGGTACTTTAAACACATATCTTGTGGATTCGGGTTTGATATTCTGCTTAAGTTCCAGAGCATTATCCTCCAAGTAATACCATTCGCATCGAGAATAAGGAACGGGTGCTCCAGATTTGTATTCGTTTTCTCTAAAACATAGTAGATCCCGCTTACCACCCATTTTAGATAATCGTACATACGGTGAGTCAGTCGACTTGAGATACATTGTATGCTTTTTATCGTGGATGGATTCTTCAGGCATAAAACCAATACTTGGAATTTGCGAAATCGGGGGAGATAACTGTTGCACTTTATTTTTCCTCAATGGAATAACATGACACATCCAACCAACATCTTTTAGGTCGGTTTGAACGCTCATTTAAGTTCAAATATCTAGTAATCATGAAAGAAGAATATCAAGATGAAAATGTAGTTAACGTCGATTACATAAAACGGATTTTTCTCACGTATATGTGTGTTTAAAATACATAGTTTTCAACCAGGCTTCTGTGGTTGAATATTTTTTAGTAACCCGGGATCTGATTCGAGTTGAATTGTTTCCAATTGCTATTGAGATACACATATTGTCATTCCTCGTATATTTTTATAGTCACACAAAATTATGCTACAGACACGTGACGAATGGGATATGAAGGGCACTCACATATGTGCTCATATAAAAACAGTGAAGATTGATAAGCGAATAACTAACAAGGTCAAAATGTGACTCAATTAGAATGAATAGATTGGCCTGTTCGAAAGCTGGAATAAGGCATATGGGCTTAACATAATAACTGAAACTACAATTTCTGTGAAAATACGAGGTTGCTTTTAATAACACAGCAGTTTCGTTTTCTGAAATCTTTCTGTGACAACTGGCAGTGCACTTTATAGAACATATTTTGTCTTATTCTATATTTTAAAATAGACACCTCCGATTTATATTTTTAATTGCATTTCACGTAATATTTATTATTTATCACAGCTACATGACCTAATCGCAATGTATTCTGCATTTTTTATGCATTACAAAAAAGATATGCTTATCATAACTAAAGAGTTTGACGAATAACCTATTGATTTTCGAAACACTGATTGCTGCACTAAAACCTTGGTAAAACATAAACGCCGGAATGCATAAACATACATTTAAAAAGCCAGGAAAAGAAAAACATGCATGTGGATATCATTGTGAAGGAATGTCAACATACAATTAGGACTTCAGCTTAGTTATTTCTCATGGACAGTTAGTTACACGCATTGTGAAACCTGGCATATATGTACATTGATTGAAGTTACCACGTCCCATTAGCACAGCAAGATGAAATTGTCTGAATAAATTGTAGAGTAGTACAGATAGTAATAACATTATCGACAGTAGAAAAGATTAGGTATCACAGATACAATTTGAGAAGGAAATATGGATTGATTCAACAGAAGTTTCTAGGCAGTTTAGAGACTTAAGGTCTAAGGGAAGTGAAAGAGTGAATCCATCTGAGCCACTTCACTAAAGTTTTCATCTATTATCTACTATAGTCAATCAGACCTCAACCAGGTAGCCCACATCTGTTTGTTTGGATCAGTTCAATATTTGGTGCCCCCAGAGAGTAGTCTGACATTCTTTATTCGATCAACCATAACTTTCCTCCGAACCACAATTACACCAGCCATTACAGCGCGTCAACTTGTGCGGATAATAGGCATACGAAATACACGTTACAACCACTTCGGTTGATAAATATCCATTATTTCACTATTCAATTTGCCATCCTTACCTAGAACTCTTTATTTATCTCAGCATTAATAACTCGACGGTATCAACATATAAGGGCAATGAATACTAGTAACAGACAAATATCCTCGAGTTGTAAAGATTGTTTTTCGACTATCAAGTTGAACGAAACAAAGAGCTTCATGGAATACCCTTCTTGTATTCTAAGTAAACAAAAAGTCTCATAATAGATAGGTTGTCGAAACCTTAGTTGATAACAAAAGAGAAAAAATATATTAAATATACATGTCTAAATATGTGGACTCAGGACATTTCCTGAGATGCGTATGTCCAAACTTTGTTGTATTCCGACATGCCAAGTGGTAATCACAAATAGCTTGCGTTATACAAGTAAGTGGTGTTCTCTATGTGCTTATATTTATTGTCCCTGCTTCAGTTTGGGCACCCGGGTGGTATCCCAGTTCTCACACAAATCGAATTATTTATGTGACACATATCTATTCGGTGCCTTCTTGTACCAATCTTTATGTGTTAAAATAAAATAAATAAATAAATAAAATTATGTTTATTGTCACTAATCTCCTCGTTTGCTCTATAAGATGAAGTCAGTAAAAGTGTTCGTAGACGTAGGCCAACACTGAACCTCGGTTGTCACAGATGGATATATAGCAGAAGGCTGAATAAAATGTAAACGACTTTCATGAAAAAAATTACTTGCTTTCGTTTGGTCAACTTGATAATGAAAGCGCAATCAACGGTAATTAACTTTATCAGTGATTTATGTTGCAATAATAACAGTCAACACTGAAATTGATTATTATTAGAAACTATTAACTGTGATAGCATTCAGTGGCCATAAAAATGAAAGACCTCTTGGTGATTATAGTGTGAAAAAAGTAAATTCGTTAATCCATTTCACAGAAGTCCATAAACCGGAAAGAACAGATCAAAATAGCATTGATGAATTTGATAACAAACGGCTGTCAGAACATCAGAGATACTGATCAACATTCTGAATGCGTTTCGAGATCTTGTTCCGGACTTACCAAGCAGCGCAACAGAATTGGTCAGAAATGAATAACTTAATTTTTCTAAAGATTATGAGTGGTGTTATGAATCCGAAATTTTAGTATATAATGTGCATTTGTAGCACCTTCCCGATGACGTTCGTCCAAATGGAGCTCTAGATTCTTTTCCCCCCTCCAATTCGAGTCTTATATGATGCAGATTAAGCAATTAGTGCATAGTGAGTACGCTGTAGCCAGACAAGCATCTCAGAGTTATGCGGAGAAATCTTTCCGTGGTAGGCTTTAAGCTAGCACATTGGCTACGAACAATCACCAAGTTTGACCCGGGGAGACAATTAAATATGCTTAAGAATACTAAAATAGCTTTATTTAAGCCGAACAATGTTATACTAGTGCACGGAAGACCTGACATTGTAACTGATGTAGGGAAAAACGGATTAATGAGATTTAGACCTTTCACAAACTTATGTGATTACTTTAATGAACCATTCCCTTCTAGTGACATTGGTCAATCCTGAACTAAAAGGTCATTTACGACTGCGGTGAGTCACGAACATAAAAAACAACCATTTCCTATAGATGGACTTCAGACTGGAAAGGATTTGCTGGTTTTGTTCAACAAATGTACTGTTTGCCGTGTCAGCAGTTCTGCGGACGAAGACACCATGCCACTAAACGAAAAGAAGGAGTCAGTACAGTAATCTTAATATTTCATAGAAGTGCATTGAAACAGAAAGAAGGGCTTCTACACAATTCCTTTGACATCGATGTGGCCGAAATGCAAGCTGGAAACAGTTTGGGTCAAAAGCCTAAATTTCGGTTGCTGGACACTTTTGTCCCACCAATTCCCAAGTAGGAGTGTTTTCTTTAAAAATGTTAATAATCTAGTTCAGCACACGTGGATGCGCCGCCCTCCACGTCCGTGTCTAGTCATGTGGCCAGTTCGTTAGTGGCTTAGTAAGCCACGTGACCGATTGAGGTAAATGCTCAAAATTTTATAAAATGCATGATGTACTACAGAACATATCATCAGCTATATCATACTTCAGTGAGAACATTATGCAGTTAATGTCGTAGTCTGGACAGCATGAACATTCACGATAATTTGATATTGGACTACCGAGTTTGCCGTCCTTTTTGTCATCTGGAGAGAAACTGATAACACTGGACGCATATATCCAGCGAGAAGACATAAGGAACAAACTTGTAAGTCAATAAAATTCACTGGATTAACTGTTCCTTATCCAGAAGGCCACTCTGACGTAGTTAATGGATGACAATCCTAAAACATTTGTACGCTTTATTTTGTCATAAGTCATGATGCCTGAAGTTGCCAGCCATTTCACACAACTTGGAACTTTATCTAAAAGAGCATCTTAGAAGCAAACGAAGCAAGACGTTTTTTCTAAGCTTTAGGCGCTTTAACATCTTCGTTCTTGTCTTCATCCATCAACAAGAAAAATCTTGCTAAAGTTTATGAAATCGCCACACAAGCGTGTTTTCACGACATAAGAAACATAAAACAGAAGCGTCATATAAAAAACAAAAACTTGTATGTGCTTATTAAAAGTTATAACTATTCACTCCCGTTCTGAAGGTGCAGTGTTCAGTATTAATGAAAATAACCGTAAATAACACTTCACGTAGACAGCTGTTTAACAGACTGTGGCAGTTAGATGGTGTTGTAATTTTTGTGTTCATTAAATTTCAGAATTCACAAGGTCACTTTGGTTTGCAATAGTTAAACTGCAGTTTAAGGAAGGTGTTACTATTGAGATTCTTTTTATGTTTAACCTAATTTTTAGTAAAGCTTTTTCTTACAATGAGCTGCATTTCCAACTTGCTTGTAAAACCCTCTAAGTGAATGTTGTAAAAGCCTGTCTGATTTCATATGCACTTATCATTTACGACACATTCCTAATTAATAATCCAAAACCTGCAATTTCTTTTGCAGATCTCTATAAATTACAATAGGTCATGGCACTTACTAAGAAAATACGTAACAATCGTTGCTCAAACATCGGTCTGTTACTAATATTCTTGTGCCATCTGATGTTTTTCCTTTCAATAAATGTATTTAATTATGTGCCACTTTTTAACATAATCCATTACAGTCGTAGTGTTGTGTTGCTATGGAAATAAAGGCGAACATATGGGACATTTTTAGTCGGACAAACGATGAACAATCAAATGTAAAATCAAGAGTATATTAAAAAAGGCGAAAGTAGACTGTTCAGCGATATTCTTAAACAGCAACAAAAAGAGAAACTCACCGAAACAGGTGTAAAAGCAAACGCCTCCGAGTGTTTCTCTCTAATTTACCCCTTATTTTATTACTCGATGTCTTCTTGTCAGTTGCTTAAGCATAATGAAATCATTTTTTCATAAGATTATCCTTCAAATAAGACATTATGAGGAAAACTCATTGGTACAATTACTTTCGAAGTAAACTCGGCGAGAATATAATTTATGGACGAACCAACCACGTATAAGATAACTGATCTTGCATTTTGGGGCGAAGTTCACTCATCCATTTAGATAAATACAGTTTTGGCATTATAGCTGATGTCAGCTCGTGATGAAAACTCGAAATCTAATTCCTAACCTTGGTCATCAACTGCAAATTATAATTATAATTCCTCACACAGGTTTATAACCCTCATATGGTCCTGGTTATTAAGTGGACACTTTCAGGGTCAGTCTAGCATCGCTCAAACGGTTATGGACAGAATAGAAGAAGTTTTCACTTAACGGGCTTCCGTGTCTAGTAGCAATGGATCATCAATAATTACAGGCAGAAACCCAGGTATATTAACGATAGTAGAGGGAAAACAAATTGGTCAATCGTAGTAACACATTATCCTTAGTCCTTAAGAATAGGTCAAGTTTCCTCTTAAAGGACTACTAAGAAGTCTCTTGGATTAGTTCAGCTGGCGGTGAATTCCAGCATTTGACAGCCCTTAAAGAATGAAAGTTTCGTTTACAATCTGTTCTACTGTGTTGTAGCTCCAGTCTCTGAGTGTTAACCCTTAGGTTTGTGGTGGAGCGAAACTTAAGTAAGTGTTTAAGGGGATGTCCAGAAGTGTTGAGGATGCTGTAAGTCATTAGAAGGTCACCTCTAAAACGCTTATACACTAATCAGTAAAGGTTTAGGGATTAGAGGTGCTCTTCATAAGGCTTGAATTTGAGTCCAAAAACTGATTTCGTGGCTCGCCGTTGGACGCGTCCCAGTGTGTCCTTTTGCTTTCGGAATGAGGAGGAAATACTATTTTTTCGTACTCTAAATGGGGACGAATAAAACTGCCGACGATTATGTTCAAAGTCCTTCCGTTAAACTGGTCAAAAATGCGCCTCAATGTTACCAGTGCAAGGTTTGCTAGAAAGGCATTTTTGTCACATTTAGAATAAGACTTTAAATTATACAGTACCAGCACTCCTGAATCTTTTTCAACTAGGGATACTTCTAGAGAGGAGTTGCCCAAGTTTTAACTGTAATCTGCAACATGTCTCAGATGGTCCACTTTACACTTTGAAGTGTTAAAGGCAAATCCGTTGTCGTCTGCTTAACTTTGAAGTCGAGCCAGATCTTCCTGAAGTGCCAGTATATTCACTTGGTTGTGTATCTCTCTCCAACGTTTCACATCACCAGTAACACGTAATGAGCCAGACGATACCTGTTGTGGAAGATCGTTTATATAAATCAAGAAAAGAGGTCCTAGTACTGAACCCTGGGAAACCCCTTAAGATGTTCAATAGCCTGAGAGAAAGTGAATTTAACCCTGACCTTAAAATGTCGATTTTTTAGATATGAAGTGGGCTAATCAATTAGAGGTGATTTGATACCCAATCGTTTGAGCTTATTGAAAAGACATATATGGTCGATCCTACCAAGAGCTTTTGATAAGTCAAGGTAAATGACTTTAAATTTCCCCTTTGTGTGATATGAGCCAGCTTCCAAATTTCCGATAGTTTCTCTTGGCTCAGCGAGTGTGAGAACATCACGCTAAGCGGTGTTGCCAGGAATGAACCTGCTTCTCCCCAAGGGAACCAGGATTGAGAGTTTGTCAATTAGAAATTCCTCGTTTGTGAATACGCAGTCTGAGCGCGATGGCGTCTGACTGTTTCTCCACCGACTTTCCCACTTCACATTGTCGAATAATCCCAAATCCTCATTGATGTTGATGAACCGAGCTTCAGTCGAGCTTCCACCTTCAATATAGGTATGTTCCGCGAAATTGACTTCAGGAAGATTAAAGTCCCCTAGAATCAGGATATGAGTGAATTCGAGACGACTGTCGTACGCGATGTCAGCAATGGGCTTACTGTAGTTGACTCCAATTAGACACCTTGAGGTGGTAGACAATCTTACTGAGCACCATACTGATTCATCAAGATTGATAAACTCTTGGTTGTGCACCTAATGTACCTCCAGACAGGATCGTAAGTATAAGGCTAATCCACCCCCACTCCTGTTTTTCTGTCATTGGCAAACAAAGACATCCCGGGTATTGCTAGCTCCTAGTCCAAAAACTGAGAAGATATCCAAGTTTCAGATATTCCTATCGGGTGAGTATTATTAGGATTGCTGAGTTCACATAGCACAAACATTTTATTCGGTAAACTTGTGGCGTTCATGAATAAGAAATTCATGCTTTCAATTTGAAACGCATGAGCTTTTACTGTCCTGTTTGTCTGTATGAGACTTACGTCATTTTTATTGAAGTTTATCTTTATGAATCCAATGAGCATTCCAGCTTTGGATACTTGAAATAAAATGTGCTCTAAAAAGTTCAGACTGTTGCTATGCCACAAACCCTAGTCATGAACAGTGTAAAGGGGTTTCTATGTATGATTTTGTATAGCCAGATTTAGGTTAAGGCAGCAGACAATGTGTGTAAATTCACTTAAATCAACGTTCAGTGCCAGATTCCATGAAACACTCTATCTTTCAGCTTGTTTATTTCAGGGATTACCGCTGTAATATAGCTTCCTTTGGTAATAGGAGAGAATGAATATACCACTTTTATGTCATCGGCAAAGAGGAAAGTTTTACTGTATTAGCAGTATGAACCATCAGGACCAGGAGAAGTATCTTTTCGTCTAGAAAATATAATCTCACTGTAAACTCATGTGGAGACATAAAAAATCAGTCAGAATTAAAAATTTCCTAATTATTTTCGTACTTGCTGAACTCACTAATATTGAATGTTCGAATAATCATACCAACTGTTGTCATGACTGAATCAATATCCAATATCTTCATGTTGAGCTTGAATAAACTGATGGATTTCTTTGTGTTTTCTTTCTTGATTTTAATCTACGGCTCTAATTCGTTAGTGTTAAATGACGGTGTAACTTACCGTTGTCTATTACTCAGTGTCCCATTTACAATGTATCACAAAGCCGACAAATTTTGGCATAGAAGACAAATTATCACTATATAGTGTGTTAATATTCTGGCATTCGTGGTCTGTGATATTTCGGCAGTTTGGTTGGTCAATTTTGATTAGTTAGTTGAAGATGGGTGTTGTAAGTTTAAAATCCATATCTGAAGTCCAAACCACTCATCTCATTTCATTTAACATTCAAATGATGAAAATATGTTTTGCATTTTATACTACATGCATGCGAAACCCCGAGTAAAAACATGAATCCAAGAAGCCAATTTACATCTTTGTACGTTTCATAACGTCTCTTGACATTATAACTTAATGAGTTTTTACAAGCGATTAAAACCCTCAAGCCATTTTTTCTGATTTTTAAATAGTTGAGAAATTATCTTAAGTTAGCATTCCGAACCATAAATAACGACTTCAATGTTTACATGGGTGATACTTAAGATCCATCTAGGAATGATTATTTTCAATTTCACTGCAAGAAGGTTCAGATAACTAGATATGACTTCCTTTTCCCATTGAGTGCTCGAAGACTCGAACTGCTTAGTTGAAAAAGTGACGTCAGCCACATCAGCGAACACTTTAGGAGAAATTAATTTGTCACCGGAAAGAAAGCTGCTGGGGTTAACACAGTTCAACCAACCTGTTAACGCTGTTCGTGAAGACAGAAGACTGAATTTGACAGTTGTTTGGAGGTAAATATTTAATGAACAAACATGTGTGTGCTTTTCTAATACAACAGGGTTACAACGGTCAACAGCTATCACTATATATGTCAGGAAGTTGATAGGCCCTGGTATGAGGGGTGCAAATAAATTGAATGCATGATGGTTTTCGAGTCCGCAGACGGTACGCCATGGTTACGGGCGTAGTAATCATATCTACCCTTATTTGTCCATTGTAGGCCGCTGAAATCACGTCAGCCGGGAGAGTACTAGATCTTCAAATAATATTCGTCTTAATTACTATAGTGAAACGTAGTGTTAGTGTTACAATGGAATTCTTTATTTAGGATGACTTCGATTACATGTTATATCGTATGATATTGTTAAATCGTCTCATTACCTCTGTCACCCAAAGGAAACGATCTGAAGTTGAGACACACATCGTCATATAATATATCCCTTTTTCATACCACTCAATTTGTTTTCCATTCCTGTACCTGCTGTTGAGAAGAGGCTGTACAATAACGTCGCTGATTTTTACACGTGGCCTGACAAATGTTTTGATGTATTTACAATTGATTGGTGTTGCTTTTCAGACATTGGTCCTCTGAATTCACTGAGATTAACTTGTTCCAAGATCTGTCATACTGGATGACAGATTTCCTTATTCCGATATATCTTATGGCTGTGGACTAAATGGTGGAAGTAATTACTTTACGAGCTCCTATGACCAGAAGCAACCGATCACACGTAAATCCACATAGGTTTTTAGGAACATGAAATATACAAAACTAGCTGATTGGATACTAGCGAAACGCTATTAATAATCCTCAAGTGGATACTGAGACTATTTCTCAAAGAAACATGTGGGTTTTCTCGAACCATCTAAGCCAATGATAAGTCTCAAAAATTGCAGATTTTTAGAGAACAGAAAGTGTGCTTGCAAATCATTTTACTGTATTGGGCCTCTAATTTTAGAGTAACTTTAGGGTGATTCGTCTTGGAACGCTAGCATGCATCTATAGAGCCTCAGCATAAACCCAGACTATATACTAAGTATAAGCAACTGTCTAGGTAAAAAAAGGCCCGTAAAGATCTCCTATTCTTCGTCGCTGCAAAATTGACGAGGAGGTTCGACACGAAAATCTGTTTAATCCTTCGACAATATACCTCCATCAGTATTTCGTTGCGAAATTCTCATGATTTCTTCGCGCAACTATTTTGGTGGCTCGATCGTGGTAGCATCCGAACTGTAAGCCCTTGTTGTACATTGTCGAACATGCACGTATGATTGACTGCTGTCGGAAATAATTGCTGTCTGAATTGTCACAAGAAGCGACTAGATTTAATTTGTTTCTTATACAGCTTGAGGACCATTGTCCCTATTCAGTCAACCGAGATTCGTTAGCTCCGTGTTAAAGGTCTGAAACCAGTTCGATGGCTTTTTTCATTGTCTTCTTTGAGAATCTGACGTCTTTTCTCGACTGACGCTGCTGCAGAATTATAGCTTTGAAGTGTGGAAAGTGAGAAGTATAAAGAAACCGCAAATAAGGTATAAAACTGTTGAACTCAATTTATTGGTGATGGAAAAGTTTAGGGTGTGATTACTAAGACTCTTTGTTTTTTAGTTGGGTTGTAACGTCGGTGAATTCGAAGGAATCGACGAAAACGAGTTAACAGCACGGCGAGAAATGACAGGAGGAACATATAGTTCTAGGTACTCTAAAATAGCGGAAGCAGTTTAAGTCAGTGTAAATCATTAAAATGTACTAACGGACATATCGTGTTTGTGTTTGTAAAAGACTATTGTCTTTTTTGGATATCAAATATGAAAATCATTGCGGGTGTCACTGGAAAGGTCGAACTCCAGAACTTCAAACAAATTGAGAAATTTTTTAGCAAATTAATGATGTTCAATAATATTGCTTTAATTCGTGCTCTATGTCGTATACCTTTTTGAAATACACTATCCCTACCAGTAACGCTCTACGAGCGGCTCAGACAGCTATAGCTTGTATATTAGAGTTTTAATATCGACTTGGCACGTCAGACTGATATAAAGTAAACTAATGGCGTCAACTGTAACTTCATGTCTAGATCATTTGCACTTTGGAGACGTCAAGTATAGGTGACTAATCAAAGGCTCTGTTCAGACATGAAAATTGTTAATTTGGTATATCATAAACTGGAATAAAATCTCCATGGATCGGGAGAGTAAACGTTTGCAGTTAATATTCGCGTCAGTGTTCAAGGATATTTAAGCAGGATCCATAAACAAGATGAACCACCTCTCTACTTTAAATAAAAATTAAAAAGGAGCGGACTGACATCAGCCTAATCAAAAGCGTGCGAAGCAAAATGGCCATGCATCATCAAACTTTAAGCACGCGTCAAATTTGATAAAAGGAGCGAAAAGGCGTGACCAACTTTTTTTAGTGAGAGGAAGGAAATCACGGTTTAATTATGTACTGGTACTTATAAGAGTGATAGTCGTAGTATGATATATTAATGACTGCTCAATAGTTTTTCGAAGTAAATTTACATGTTGTACGGCTTGTTAAAATATGATTCAGAGTTGAGTTGGAATTATAGGAGCAGTAAAGAAATCCCGTTTCGAGTCTAGGGGAAAGGTCGTTAGTCGCTTAAACTTGGTGATAGTGTCGTAGTTACAGATGTACAAGGACAGTCTGTTCCACGGTAAACTAAGTAATACTGTGAAGAACTGTTTTCTAGTGCTTTAGGATCAGTAATGCTTAGGAATTGTTGATGAATCATAAGTAGTTAGGAGATTAAAATTGAGAGGACATATATTATTTTGCAGAATAATCTAAGTTTTTTTGTTATACGTCAGCACCATAAAGGTATAAAGGAGAAGCAATTCTATTGAGCTGTGTAGGCGGGCAAGGAGTAATTTTCTAACAGTCAACCAGAATTTTTGGTCACAGTACAGTAAAATGATTTGCAAGCACACTTTCTGTTCTTTAAAAATCCGCAATTTTTCAGACTTATCATTGGCTTAGATGGTTCGAGAAAACCCACTTGTTAGCCTAGAAATTAACGTGCTACAGCAGTCCACAGTAAATTTCGAAGCGTTGAGAAACGAGCAAGAGCAGGATCTAGAATTACAAAACCTGCTTAAAACAAACAATTCAAGTCTTAATTTAAAACAGTTCCCATCACCTGTCGATGGTATTCTAATCTACTGTGACACGACCAAGGCAATTCCGCGACCTTTCGTCTCCAAAAGTATGCGAAAGTTGATATATAATAATTTTCATTCTTTGTCTCATCCTGGCGCAAAAGCTTCAACAAAACTAATCAATGCCAGATATATATGGCAGAATTTACAGAAGGATGTACACAAATGGGTTAGAGAGTGTTCAAAATGCCAACAATCAAAGATTAATCGTCACACAAATTCACCCATGGGTGTTTTCTCGCAACCAGATGCACGTTTTGCCCATGTGCATGTCGACTTGGTAGGTCCTTTACCACGTTCAAACGGTTTTAATTATCTTTTCACATGCATAGATCGATTTACCAGATTCCCTATAGCCATCCCAATAGCGGACATCACAGCGGAAACAGTAGCCAAAGTCTTCATGCAGAACTGGGTAACCATTTTTGGTACACCCATAACAATAACGACGGATAGAGGAGCGCAATTCGAATCCGAACTATTTAATAACTTGGCTAAACTTCTAGGCTCCAATAGGATACGCTGCACCGCATATCATCCTCAGGCTAATGGGATGGTAGAACGTTTTCACCGTCAGCCAAAAACCGCCCTTATATCTCACTCGAACCACAATCAGTGGATAGAATTCCTACCGTTAGTTATGTTGGGAATACGAACATCTGTCAAAACTGACGCACAGTGTTCAGCTGCGGAACTGGTTTTCGGAACAACTCTGAGACTACCCGGTGAATTTATTAACCCTAATACTAACAGTCAAAAACTTAATTTAGAAAATTATGTAGATCAACTACGGGACCACATGTCTAAACTTAAGCCGATTAATACTCGTGAACAATCGCGCCCCGTATATATACCTAAAGACCTAAGCAATTGCACGCACGTCTGGATAAGATGTGACAAAATAAAAGCACCACTCAGTCCTCCATTTGAAGGTCCTTTCAAAGTCGTCTCAAGAAAA